TGCAGGTTATCAATAAGACTACTGTATGATAGGTCTATATTTAAATAAGTGCCGAAATCATAATGCCGACGGTGCAATACAATATGTCACTATTACGACATCCCCCGTTTTAATTAGACCACTTCAGTAATAATTTGAAATTTGTTTCAAGCCCTTATTCCTAAATCAAGTAACATGTGATCAAGATAGCATAAGTACATTTATACATACATTTAAAAAAAAAACAAATTACAACCACAACAGAAAACTCAAGTAGACAGAGGTAAGTCGATTAAATTATTTTTCATTATATTTTGATAACTGTTATCAACACCCTGACAAATTTCATTTAGGCTTTGATAACTCTTATCAAAATATCTAGGATTTTCTTCAAAATATTCACCATCCTTCAGTTCAGAATCTAAAATATCAAACTGATTATCAATACAATTTATCATTTTGACAAAATCTTTTTCTACTATTGCTTTTTGAAAGACCACTTTTCTCACTTGAGAGCTGCAGCCTGTACCATAACCGGGTTGCCCCTTACTGAATGTGTTGCTGTTGCTTTTCCCTGCGTTTACCCTGAATATTGTCACACTGCCTTGTATAGAAACTAGGAATGATTGGATTCTCCACAAGCCGAAGCCATGAATATCTCCACATCGACTTGATTTACTTGATTATCATTTCTGTTCCCACGATATCTATTTGAAATTTCTCTACAATGTTCTTGGCATTTTTCAACATTCAAATTAAACTGCAAAACTTCATCCAACGATTTATCATTTGAAAGTTCTAATAAGTACAATTAAAAACATTTTTCGTCATACGGTCTCCCAACTCCTTTAATTCACATTGCAATGGTAAATTTTTTGCTCGGTTATAAAACGCACCTTCTTTTTGTTTATATGACAAAAATTTATCGGTTATGTTCGTCAAATTCTTTTACGTTAAAAAATGATCTTCAAATTTTTTAATAAGAGGCTTAAGCTTAACTTTTTCCTCTGCTTCAAATGAAAATGTATTGTAAATTCTCATACCTTCCTCACCAATCAGCGTTGGAAGATGTGCACATTGTGTGATCTCTTTCTTTCTCGTGATTTCTGCGGCTTGCAGGTTTGTCAAAAAACGTTGTTTCCAAAAAGTCCAATTTTCGCCGACATTTCTGCATGTTTTCATCGGTCGAACGCCTTGTTTGTTTATATTTCTTACGAAAAAGGTCCAAAAATGTCATTTCAACTGCGCCATGTTATATTTTATTCAGTCACATTTATTTCTGAAAATGAAGGCATGCCATTCTACGAAGAATATTCGAATTTTACCCAACTTTGATATTTTAGTTGTCTGTTATTATTTTTCAAAAAACTAGATTTAATAATCAAGAATACAATGAAAAGAATTAACAGCATTTTTTAAACCTCTTTAGTAATAATTTTTTTTTCACCCCCAGGATTAACGACAATTACTTGTGTGTGTTTCACGGAGTATTAGATACTCTTATTTTTGATTAAATATTGTACAAAAAATACATTACACAGTAATTAAATTATAAACAATTAATAATATTAATCTCCGCTTGACGTTATAATTAATTTTTCACGACGTATTTCATGAAGTGTAAACTTCATATATGTATTAGTTCCTATTTTATTAAATCATCTAGCTATTACTACTACTGAATCAGCCTGAAGATATTTTTCATTTCACCAAAATGATCTTCAAAAACAACAAAATTCATGTTCCTCCTGTATGTTACCACTAAAAGATTAGCGAACCTTTTGAAAATCGCGCTTAGCTTCTAATATGGACGTTTAGTAATCCCTTCCATTTTTCTGAACGCACGACTGTCCTGGTACTTTTTTCACCGCCTTCCAGCAAAGTGTCCCAGAAAAATTTTCTTGTTATCACTGTCATCCGGGAGGAATTCTATTTAAATCTTATCCAGACTGGGTATTCCTTTTTTAAAATAAAATAAAGAGAACTTTTGGTCTGCTTGGGTTCTTTCGAAGGTGTTGTCTTTCTTTCTAACAATAACTTAACTTCCAACTCCGGCCATTCGTTAACCAACATACAATATACCGAAGATTGGCTCCCCTGTACATTTTATTGCAAAGGGGTCGGTATGATTAAGTCATGTGCCGCGTTTGAACAAATTTTGCTAAGCCTATATTCAGTTATTGAATTAAATATGATGGCAACATTGAAAAAGGGCAATACAATCAATACATCAGCAAATATTTTCCAAGCTGGACAGTGACATATGAGATTACAATAAAGGCACATTTGGTTAAACACATTCAAAATAAACTAAGTATGTAGGTATATCATTATGTTTTTCTTAGGACCAAACTCAAGAAGAAGAAAAACAAGAAAGTTTCAAGGAACAACTATAAATTTGACCCTCAAGTCTTTTATTAAAAATAATTAATAATTATAATAAAAATACGGCTACAAAACATTGCTAAAAAGAAACATTATTTTCTAAGTAAATGTTCAAACATTAACAGTTAAACAACATCCTAAACGTTCATAAAATTAATTTCTAACATTGCTTAGTTGCTTGCATTGCTTAGCATTTTGTTACTGGTTAAGATTTTCAAATTTAACATTTATATAGATAACACTTTTCAAGTGACCCCACAGAAAGAAGTCATTCGGCGAAATGTCAGGGCCAATAATATTCCCGTGAAAAGTATTTCCCAAAGACCGTACGGTAATTATGGGCGGCACAACCATCCATCTCCTTCTAGTGCTGGTTCAATTTGATTTTGTAATAAGTCCAAATAGGTTTCTGCTGTGAGGTTATAGTTCATAAAAAGTAGCTCAATAATATCCACAAATTCCCACCATAACATTTATTTTTTGGTTCGTTATTGAGCGTGAATGTACCTTCAGCAGGGAAACAAATATTTTTTTAAAAATCCGTATCGTTACATGCCTTTTCCATAATTTCAAAACAAAATGCCACTCTTTTTTCTTCATCGCATTCCCGGAGCTCTTGTTTCTTTTCGTATTTATACGAAAAGCAACAAGAGATATATTTATAGATATGTTTTTCTCCACATGCGGTAAAATGTTTAAATCTGTATTGTCCCGATTCGAATAATACGTTTAATTGTTGCTGCTCTAAGACTGTTTCCTGCATAATGCCACTTAATTATGGTTACCTTTTTTTAAAAACATTGTTACTGTCACGAATTTTCTAATTTTTGCTGGTGTTCGATTTATTACCTAAAATAATTTTGCCATCATGTTTAATTCAATAACTTGGCTTAATAAAATTTATTCAAACTATTATAACTTTGCTAGTATTTGGCCACCTAAAAATTTACGCGGGATTGCCTATGTTCCGTTCGGCAATACATCACGCGGTACCTATGCATGTCCCCTTGTTCTGTGAATATAACCGAAATGATTTTCCATCATGTAAGCCCTACTATAATACCACCGGACTTCCACAAAGCGGCATATGTTCCGGCACGCGAAGCATGTGAGGTCATCACATGACATTCATTTTAAACCCGCGAGAAGTTGTGTTTCGAATTTTCAAGGTGAGACCGTAAATCGATCTTTATAATTATTGTTTTTGTCGATTCTGCGGAAAATAAATGAAAAGCGTTGTTCGATTTCCATACTACATTTATCCCCGTTGATCACATTTCGATGGAGACGATGCATCTGCCGCTTTCATTCCATTTGCTTCTTGACTGTGTCTTCTAGTCCCATGTTCGGTTTTGTTTGTTTGCGTTTCCTAATTGCTTGATATTAGCCTACTATTTATGTTATTATTTCCTCAAGATATTTGGACACGCTCAATTCTATCTGGGTCGAGCTTATCCAGGCATGGACATGCTTTATTTGTTAACGTGAGGCTTAAACGCCTTAAAGTTGAATCAAAAAATAAACCGAAAACGAAAATTCATAGAATCTGGTGAGATCCTCGTTTAATTTAGTTTGAGCTAAATCAACTTTATCCTTGTTAAAAGATTGTTGAGATGGCTACTCATGAGTGTCACTTTACCCCTGTCAATCGCACGAATCATATCATGTGACCGGAATTGTGGCCAAATTTTGTGACATCATAGCATTATTCTATATATTTTTTGGTAATTGGTTAAATTTTAGAAGTTTTCCACGAAGCAGGAAAGGGCTACGACTTTCGAAGTACTTGCTTCTCTTTGTTGAAATGATACCTGGGAATAGGAGGCTAAAAATATGTCTCTGGTTAGTCTGTCTTGTTGTTTTTGAAAAGTCATTTATCACTGGACTTTTAACAACGGTAGACATTTATTTTTGTCATTGATAAAGCCCATTTTTAAAAAAATGTCTTAACTATTTTTATTTGTTAAAAATTATCAAAAATCAATAAATAACATGTTAGCGAAAAGATAAGCCGGAAAGCTATTTATATTTCTTGCATGTATTTTCCTATCTTCCAGAATAAAAGTTTTCCATTGGTAGAATGGTCTAAACAATGTTCGACAAAAATTTACTTTTACATTTTTACGGTAAAATTAGCACCCTATCAATCAACTGCGATAAGATCAATATGCAGATCATAATGCTTGATTTAAAGCAACTGTATGAATATTTTCAGGTATGTATCCAACTAATTTTAAGGTAGCAACAATTCAATATAAAATTGTGCTCAATTCTAGTCGCTACATAAATATGCAAAATTTTAAAATGAATCTTAAATTTGAATTACCTACATTTTCGTTTAAAAAAATTATTTGCAATACTCAAACTTAAGACACTGAGAATTTGCCATTTTTATTTTAAGCCGACATAGCCTTGAGTATATGCAAAGCTTACTTAAGCTCAAATTGAGCTTAATCTATTTGAACCAAGTTTTTTTTTTGTTCGTGCTTTGAATTTTAATAGTATGCGTATTGTCAATTGTTATGCCTTTTTATTATTTATAAATATTCTTTGTTTTATTATGTAATTGTCCTTGTCGTTTAATATGATTTTGTCGGAAATAAAATATTTGTAATAATTATATTTTGTTGTTTCAGGACAGTAAATGGCTTGGTCCTCTCTACCGTTCGGCGCCCATGTTCGTCCCCCCAGTCCCCCCCTGATACCGCAGAGGCGACCGCCACCAACCACATCCCCACCGCCATTTCCCGTACGATTTTCGCCAAACCGAACCGTGCAATAAACAAATAGGATCTTTTTAATTGTTGTACAGTATTTATTTTTTTAAAAAGTACCACATAGGCGTATTTCTACCTCCCGCATCTTTTGATAGCCTATAGCTAAGTATACCTTTTATCTTATATATATACAATATAAATATATTTTTTCGGATAGCACTTTCGGCAGTGCTAAAAGTGACCTTTAAAAGTTGTTGAGAGTTTTACTAAAAAGCAACCGTTTTAAACGAACTTTTTGATGTTTCACCGTGAAGTGGCCTTAATAAAGTAAAAAAAATATTGAATCGGGCTGGTCCTGGTATTTGTTATATAAGAAAACCGTTCCTTTGCATTTATAGACCTTTTATATTCCACTTTCCCGAACAATGGCCGGTAGAGCTTCATTTAGGCACAGTCGGACACACACCATAGGTAAGTGTCGACAAATTCGTGGCGATATTTTTTATTCCCGTACATTTATTTGTTTTGTTTAATTTAAGCAAAATCATATTATTTCTATTAGAAAATACGACGATGATATACAAGTTATCAAAAATGTATCTTGTTTCATTTATTTATTAAGTAATAAACACAGACTTATAATGAAAGATTGCAGTATTTGATATCTACATAAAGAAAACGGCTAAAATACGGAACAAATTTATTTAAAAATCAGGTATTGGATTTCAAGAAAAATGCTCATTTTTATCACCCAATATAATCTAATATAAATATACATTTCTTGGTATTTTGCGTTTTAGTTCGATATGCTCCATATTCACTTTCCTAACTGACAGAAATGTAGTTGCACCTGTTTACATAAAAAATACACACAAAAATTCAGTAACTGAATCATACCCTCACCATCATATGGATAAACTATTTGCACAAAGTTGGAGGATTCTAAAGTAACCATTTTCTTAAAAGTATTTATGTTATCTACCTTCAATAGATTTGCTAGAGAACACATATTATACAATGCAGAACTTGAATTTGGTACTTGACTTTGGAAAACCAAATAGACTTCATTTTCTAACATTAAAATGTGGGCTACAATTAAAACTAATTTGCGATGGTTATTGAGGATTGTCAATTTTAAATTTGTATAGAAATATTACAAATGCTACTTTCCTTCTTACTTTTGAGGATGCATTACTAAATTCGTTTGGGTCAGTCAACATATTGAATATGTTACGACCATGATTTTTATTATGCATTACATATTTTAACTAGGTGTTTATAAACTACGTACGCGGAAAAAACAAAATGCTGGGTTCAAACAGGTGAAGCTCGATTTGAGCATAAGTAAGCTTTGCATATACTCAAGACTTGGTCGGCTTAAAATGAAAATTGCCAATTTTCCATATCTTAAGTTTCTTTTAACAAAATGAAATGCTTCGCTTGATCATTTCATATTTTTTATACAAAAATGTACGTAATTCAAATTAAATATTCATATTCATAATATTCATCATTCATAATAAATATTCATCATTTTATATAGAATTTTTGCTGGTTTTAAATTAGATATATTCTTAAAAATATTCATATAGTTGCTTTAAATCAAGCATTATGTCAGTTCCATCCAACAAGTTATACCTGTTTTGTTTGATCTTTTCAGAGTGTTATATTGAGGGTGGAAATTTTGCCATAATATTGGAGATATTTTTAATGTAAATATTTGTATAATTGTTTAGACGATTCTACTAATTGAAAAATTTAATTCTGGGAGATAAGAAAATACAATCGAAAAATATAAATAGCTTTTCGGTTGATCTTTTTACTAAAACATGTTATTAATTGACCAATGATTTTTGATTTTTTTTAACAAAGAAGTGCTTTTTAAAATGTTTTTTTAGAAGTGTTACGGAAAATGCATTAGCAATTATGACAAAAATAAATTTCTACCATTGTTAAACACCGCGCAAAACCACACCACAAAATAACACATTTTATTAAGAATTTAAGCCGAGGCAGATATTTACATTATTTGCATTAATTTTATCCATCCAAAACTAGTATTTCTATTATTATATACATATCCAGAATACAGATTTAATGTAACATATACATAGTTATTACTTCGAAAAGGGCTTTGTATAGGCAATATTTCGTATTTTAAATTTTCTGTTAGTGTTTGATTGTTTTCTGGCACATATTCTTTCCTAGCCTTAAATACATTAAATTTATAAACAAAAACAATTACTTCAAAACTGTGTCATGACAAATTTTCTACTGTATCCCCAATAATTTTGAGACAATTATTTTATAGACTTATATAGAATACGCCACAGCCATATTTTCAAACGTTTTGTTGTTTTTATTTGAATTTAAGGACGTTTAAAACAGAAAAAAGTACATTTTCAAAATAAGTATATTGTTTTTATTTAAACTGGACTAGAAATATTGAAGATATATACTGTGTGTGTAATAGGGTGACCAGATTATTAGATCCTATTCTAGTATGCTAGGAAAAACCGCAATGTAACGCGTTTGTAGCGTTTTTGATTTACTAAATTTGTAACTTCAATAAGACATATTAATACTGTGCTATTTTCTTATTATTCACATGTAGAGGCATTTTTTAATGTTGAAATGAATGAAGTAAGAGGTCAAATATCACTTTCAGTCTTTGGTAGAAACTGTGTCTCGTAGATTTCTTCGGTTTCAGGTTTTTTACTGATTAGAAGAGATCACTAATTTCCGAAATATAACATACATACATAAATTATTTAATACGATTTCTGCAAAATTAACGTCGGTTTAATTGGTTTTATTTTTATCTCTACATTTAAAAAATGTCTCGCTGTTATGAATAAATTATCAGTCGGTTGGGTTTAGGTATGAAAGTTGTTCTTCTTTTTTGGATATACTTGGAAACACTTTCAGTTTACTCAACTTTTACTTACGACCTTGCTTATAAGATATATTTGACTCACTTGGTAGATGATGATTATAGATATTCAATATCCCGTGTGTCTTGTCCAATATTTACGCGATCTCTGTGTGGGTTTTCAGCATAACGCAATTGAACAATAAATATTATTACACATTGACGACAATTGTGATTCGTGTGATGTTGATTGATTGATTGATGGCGTCCTTGGTGAAAATGTATGCTGGCCTTTGAATTTAATTTAAAAAAAGAACGTCGTCGGGTGCCATCAGTGATTTCTTAAGCTGGATTTTTAAAAACTTTTACTGCCAAAAAGATGCCGAGGCTGTTTGAGAATCTCTTGCGCTTGTACTTGTTAGGATGGTTGAAATTTAGATAATTTACGAACTCTAGATGGGAAATTAATCAAATATCCAACTCGGCGACCCCACCAGTTCTTAAATCAGTTTAGAGTATTTTTGCCTTCCACTGCAACATCTGATTAGATGGGTATGGTCTGTTCATAGATATAAGAAATTGCCTTTGAACGGATTATCCAAGGGTGTTCATTAACATACAATGCAACAAGTATATTATTAAAATTAATAATTACCTTAATTAATAATAATAATCTTGTTGTATTGTATTGGATAATCCGTTCAAAAGCAATTGGCCACTTTCTTATATCTATGAACAGACCATAACTATTTCGAAAGAAATCATAATTGAAAATTTGGCAAAAAAGCACGAAAACTTAGTATAAAATACTGGACTGACAATTCGGGTATCTACAAACTCCATCTGATATATACGAAAACATCAGGATTGCCGAATAATGTTGTACAGAATGTGTCAACTATGAAGGAATGCGTATTGAGTTTCGTAAGAAAAAGAAAACTACTTGCTTACGCGTAATAAATAAGGATAAAAAACCTCAAAACAAAATCGCTTTTAATAGACAAAGACAAAATTTTCTCTTTCTCTGTAAGTTGTATTGTAAATTTTAGATTTTTTTTAAATAACAATATTTATTACAATTTATCTGCTTTCATCTTATTCTTACTTCTGTATAAGTTTGTATTTGCTTGTACTTGGAATAATAAGGATCTCAATTATTTGCCCATTGAATTGATTATTGTTACCAAGTTTTACTCGCCTCCTCCAATGTATACTTAAGAACAGAATAACCAAAACAGAAACTAACTAAACTGTCAAATACGATTAAAAATGAAATCGATAATATTATTATTACGATTTACCAGCAAATTTTTAAGAATATATTTGCGTCTAATACATACAACTATTTGAGCTCATTATTTATTTAATATACTTTAATATACATGTAGATAAGATCGGAAATACAACTTAAAAACAATATTTAATCTATCTGAAGCTATTTACACAACTTAAATTAAGGGGGCGTTTTACTCTCCCTCCCATATACCTATTTTTAAATAATAATCATCTTTTCTCCGTCAACTTAAGAACAGAATAACCATAACAGAAACTAAACAAGTAGTTGCTTATTTTTTTAAAGTGCTGGAAGCCAATAGCAACATTGGACGCCGGTCAAATATTTAACGCGTCAGCGTCAGAAAAACTGGGCCATTTTTCTTCCGGCAGTTGAGCAAAGGGCCGCGCGAACAACCTTGACACTAAACTTTACCGCTGCGACCTTATGGAAAAGCCACCGAGATCCCATTAAAAATGTATAATAAATAACGAGGCACCCGACGAAATATCACCTGTTCCGAGTTTTTGCTTTTAATTATTAATGACCGTTGGATCGAATGGGAAAAATACCATTTGTCGTAACGCGGGGAACCTGGACGAAATTTCGCAAAACGATAAGGCCACGTGTAACAAATAATACGATTTTGGTAAATTGCTACCATTTCCGAAAGTTTTTCGTGAAGGAGATATTCAATCCACGTCCCAATAAAATGTTGGAAATCAAATGTTTAGAGGTTATTGTTTACCGCAGAACATCTAACCAGATAGGATAATTCCATGCCTGATGTATTTTGGCCATTTCTTCTAAAACGGTGACGATATTGTCCTCTGCGAGAGAAGTTTCATGGGAATTGCGTAGAGGACGTTAGAAAGGGTTTTCTTTGTTTGTTTGTATTATATTTAAGAAGAACAAAACGCTTTTTATCATTAATAATTTTTGTCTCCTCATTTCTTGTCATTCTAATGAAGTTTCAAACCGAGATGTAGCTAATTTTGTTTATTTTTTTTTTTTCAATACCACAAAATACACGTATATAAGAAATAATGAAACGTCATAATTGACTTCGAATCCAGTATTTGTGTTGGTTTTATAAACTACATGATAGTTCTTGTCATACGAGATCAGTGCGCATGCAGTTTTAAATCAAATGCCTTTTGAAATGAAGAAAAGCAAGATGTATTATAAATTACTTGCAACCGAAAAGACCTGAATAATGATTTTCTAGAAAAATGTTAAATTTGATGTATTAACGAAACTGACCTAAAATTGTATGCAGTATCCGAATTTGTAACGAAATATGAGATCTTTCCTTCGAAAATCCAATGTTGCTATCGATTTCGGAAATATTTCCGAAAATGTACTCTATCCGAGTATCACGTATTATGGCCGAATACCTACCAAACTTTAAGAAGTTTACGACATAGTCCATCCGAAATTTCAATAGAGCAATCAACATACCAAATTTCTTCTATGTGCTGCGCTTAAAGTTGGGCACATTTGCAAAAGTCATTGGCCGATCGTATGATTTTTAGGTGTGTATCCCGAAACGATCAAAATCAGCCCAAACAACAGTTCTGGAATTGTTTCAAACTCGTAGAAGTTTCCGAAGTTTTGATTTAGGCACAGACCGAAACTTCAAACTTTAAAACGAGTGCCCGTGACGCCATCTGTGCGAACATCGTAGAACCTCAAACAACATGGCGCTTAAATGCTAGAGGAGAAAATTCTCCGCGCAAAAAATGTATGTAATTAAAACGCTATTAAATGTCTCCGTTCGTAAACGTGGTGAAATGTTTCCAATTCGATCTGGCAATGTTAAAGTTTGTGGGTGTTGGGGAAACGTTTGCACGTAGGTAAACAGAAGCGCGAGCAAATTGCGAAGGTTTTGACATATTTCCTCTTGGATTCCTCAAGTGTAATATTTTGTTTATGCAAATTGATTGCCAAAGCGTGTAGTTTCCGCGTGTAGCGCCCAAAACGTCCAGGAATAAGAAAACACAAAATACAAATGGTAAAAAAAAGAAAAAAGGGAAAATGGATTTTGAGCTGGAGGTATTCGAAATTTATGACGAAAACGAACCTCAGGTGTCCAGGAAACACCCCAAACATACCAGGAAAAAATGCAAGCAAAAGGAACCTATAAACATAGAACTAGGCGAAAATGACATTGGGAGATTGAAGACTAGTGTCTCCAGCAATGAAAGAAGACATTTAAGTTTTAGGGAATCAGTTTTGAATGTTTTTACTAAACTGGTGGTATGGAGGGGAAGCTCCAGATACCACACCACAGTGTCTGATAAACCCGACTCGCCACACACGTCTAGGGATTTTAGGAAAGGGTATATCTCGTGTGGTGAGTCAATGTCAACATGATTTGTTTTAAACTTATAAATTAAAAATTAGTTGTAATTTTTTATATCACTGAGTAATGGGCAATATGTGTAGCAAATATCGACTGAAAGTTATAAAATATATGCTCAAGGTATAACCACCATTACAATTTTTTATCATATATCAAGTCTAAACATGAAGAGTTGTATATGTATGGGCTCCTCAAAAGCCACCTTGTTTTTAAAAAAATTAGTGCTGATATGTAATTTTTATGTAAAATATCATAGGAAATACAGAGACAAAATAAATAACAGTTATACTATTTAAACAGAATGTTTGGTAAATTATATACATATTGTATTATATAATATGCATAGCCACCCAGCTATTATTATTGTGTTCTCTTTTTCAGATAATCAAAGGAGGATCCATGCCAATGATAGAACCTATAATTCACAATTTAAATATGCGGTAAGTGTGCCCTAAATTATTCTACTTATATTAGGTAGTTCCATTAATAATTGATTGGTGGGTTTATCCTTCCGCCTATATTTTATTTAACAAGGACATTTATATCTAGGCAAGTCTTGTGTAAAAGTTCTTTCCAGATTCCGGATTTAAAAATATATTTATTCAGCACTTACAGATGTTCTTAGAGAATGAGGCGAATTATGTTAAAATATTTTTCAATACGAAATATTTAGGAATTTGGGTCCAGCTATTGGTGCCCTTAGAGTACCTAGTATGGGTGCCAATTAATCAAAAAGTAATTGTAAAGACTTGGGGTCAAAAAACTTGTAACTAAAGCGGCCAAGAAATTTTAAATCTATTTATTTATATTTGTCACCATATTCATTTGATTTGATTAAGGCAATTTTAAGCTAGTTAACCTTTAATTGTTAATTTTGGTTATCTCAGAAGTACATTCTGGATATATCTGATACTTTTTCAGTGACAACAATTTCATTAGTTTCTTCATAAAGGTCTTAATGATATAGCTAGCTTTACGCTAGGATGATGAAGATGGGATAAGTAGAGAATAAACTTATGATAACTCTAAGATTTCTAGTGTAAGGTGAACCTTATTGCAAGCTAACATTTAGCTTTCGTATGGTAATAAATTTAGAGAGGTTTATCGGTTTATATTAATAACAACCTTGCTTTGTGATTTATTTCAACCGTTATTACTGGAATTAAAAAAATTATTGTCACTTTTATTTTGCGAATGAATTTTTGAAAAACAATTACATTTCGTGTGGTGAGTATTTGATGTCAATGTGGTGCATTACACTCGTCAAATTTGCTCATCAACCAACTTCATGAATTACTTCTTCTAGGAATTGTCAGCATAATACTAGGATATGTGAGATAACCTATAATTTTGTTGGCTAGAAACGCCGAATATGATAAGCCGTTCGTATTTTCTTGAACCGCCATTTTTAATAGAGATATATTAAATCAGGTTATAGTAAATTATTTTAAATGGAAATCCCTGTATATGATTTTATGTGAGACTCCATGGAAATTTGATCATAATGTTTAAAGAAACAAATAAAACTGAGTTTTTTGTAGATATTTTGCGGTATCTTTGTTCTGGGATTAAAATTTCATGAAAATATTATGCTTATTTTTAATACTTCAACGTTTTTTTGTTAATTTTTATGTTATTTACTAGCCGTCATTTTTTTAACTTTAGCTAACAATATATCAAAAACTATTTTTTTTATTCAAAATAAGCAAGATAGAAAAAATTATGCAAAGTGAGGCAGTGAACTATCGATTTTCCACAATTACTTAAAAATCTGGGACGGGGCACACCTTTCTTTTTTCCTGCTAGCATTCCGTTTTAATATGCAAAATTTAGGAAAATAGGATTATTATGCATACTAATTTTTAGAAAACACGTGGAAATCTGCGAGACTTAAATATGTTAAAAAATTGATTTTTGTGATTAGAATTTAACAAGTGTAATTTATGTTCCCAACATTTTGACAGAATCTGTCTTTGCGGCTCACCCTGTGTAAATACCTCTCACTGTGTCACGTTAAAATATTTATGTTTCCAGATATTTGAATTTAAACGTTAATTATTTGCCAGTTTTTGCACGCACGTTTTTGCAATCTTAGTCCTTGATAATAAACGACCGTAAGGTCAATTAAACATTTGGAAACAATTTAAACAGGAGAGTAGTTTCAAAAACCACAAAATTGTCAAAAAACACATTTTACAGAAGACTTAATATTTTTAGACTTTTAAAGATTCTCACCATATAAAGTAAATAAAATTAATTTGATTGAATTATATTTTAACTTTGTTATTTATAAATAAAAAACCATAAAATGTTTGCGTTTGTGTTTTGCAGAGTAACTTCATAAAAACTTCGAAGTACTCGATCCTGACGTTCTTGCCCTTGAACCTGTTCGAGCAATTTCAGCGGCTGGCGAATTTTTACTTCTTGTGCCTTTTGGTGTTGCAACTAATCCCGGCCATCAGTAGTCTGACACCCGTTACGACGGCACTGCCTCTTATAGGAGTTTTGGGTCTCACCGCCATTAAGGACGCTTACGACGACATAGTAAGTCCAGCTATAAAGACATTATATCCAAACGCTTAATTTTGGTTGTCAACATCGAAAAGCTGTGGGATGTCACCATAGATAAAACATGTCAATGAATAGTGATTACTAAGACTCCTACTGTGTTCCCATCGTGGATAGCGTGTCAACTAAATTTTACCTCCAAAACAACCAAAACTAACCTCTGTTAATGTGAGAGAGTAATAAAATGTTAATTTGCAATATGAACCGTGGATAGCTTAAAGTGTTATACTATTTACGAACCTGCATTCTTCCTGCATCGGTTGTTAATGAATCGAAATTGCTGACGTTTCGCCAATCATCCTGTTGACTTCTTCAAGTTCGACCAAGGGGATCCCTACAGGGTGGTGCCATAAAATTGTGATAAATTGCAATGGTACCTTTCCATATTTCACTTTTTAATATGGTTTATGAACTAGGGTTACACTAATTTGCATATAGTAGAGAGACTACCATTAATTTAGTAAAATAATAAATATAACTACAATTATACATTATTAATTATTCTAAGATGAATTTTGTTTCTAAAAACTGTAGTCGTCGGAATCCAGTGAAATAATAAGGGGCTGTAGTGTTTTTTAACATGTTATTAGCTTCAACACTTTTCTATTTCAATCACATTTTTGACTCACTTACTCCATTTTTCACAATCCGCTGTCTTGATTCCGTGTTGCAATAGGCTTTCAACTTCCCTTGTTTTAAAAGTGGCGATATGCGTTGCTCCAAATTATTTTACTTGCTCCCATACCAATTCTATGGGGTTTAATTCCCAATGATATAGCATGAAACAGGTTCGAATTGGCATTGGCTATTTCTCCAAAACATAGCAATATAAATATATAATTGCTTTTGCTAAATATTCTCAATCAATATTTAAGTGTTGGATTGGTTGCTCGAATCTACCGTACTGTTTAGTTCTGCCCTATCTTTGACCTAAAAATAAATGTAAAGGAACCATTGCAATTTTGATAAGTCTAACCACAGTTGGATTGCATTAGATGGTTATATATTTCTCCTTGCACTATTGCGGTTCCGTGTATATTTATTTATGCCCCCTAATAGAGTAGTTTTGGAGAGGTTTTCTTTAAACGCGAAGAGTACAGTCCTTTATTATTGTTATTTGGGATTGTTTTATGGTATTTGGTTGCATTAGTTACTGACTAGTTATTCTAGCATTCTAGCATTAATTACCACCCGATGTTTATTGACCTAGGGGTTTTAGTAAAGTTGAACCCGGTCTATTATAAAATCCTAACACCCGCGTCGAATTTCTGTGAAACTTGGTTTTGGTTCCCAGAATCTTATTTCTTACCGGTGTACCTGGGGGACAGCGGAGTTTATGCTTTGCAGCCATGTAATCGGTTTTGTCGCTTAATTTACCGAATCGACATTTCGACATATATTTGTAGCAATATTGACAATATCATCGGAGGTGTCGATTAAAGTCGCTTATATATGTGTGATATAGATGGAGACGTTTTCTTTTCTTTAAAAAACTTAACTAATTTATTTGATGTTTCTTGCATCCAAATAACGTTTTTTAATAAATTAAGTAATTAAAGAATTGACTAAAAAAGGTTAGCAATTGTTGGTTCTATCTCTGATTTAATTTTGTATTGTATTTATGAAATTGTCAGATGCTTCCCATTCATATTTTCATTCATGTTATACTTAGAGAGGAAGAAAGAAAATGAGTTCTAAGAGAGCGAGGATTTATTAGATATAACAATGACCCATTTTTCATGACGCATGAACAGTTTTTTAAGTCTTTTCCAGTTGACTAAAGAGATGGTTAGCCATATAGTGTACCCTTTTTTGATAGTTCACATGCAAATCACCAATTCCACGGCGATATGTCCACAGCAAAGTATTCTAATTGTATTAAATTTTTTTGGCACTGGACACTATCAAACGCGTATAGGACTAGGCTATACTAGACGTATAGGACTATAGGTCAATAGTGTCAGATATTCCACATTAGGTCACTCTAACTATTATTAAGCAACTAGGAAATGAATGGATAACATTTCCCTCCGAAAGAAATTACATTGATAGAGTAAAAAGTAAATTTATTAAAGTATTATTTATCGAGAGAACTCAATTTTTTAATTAATTAATTAAGTTTAATTCAATTAATTTTTAATGTCAGAGGATAGAGTTCCCATTATCAAGAATGGGATAACGGACATTAAAATTCAAGTCCAATCATCAATCAATCAATCCACTTCGACTTCGAACCCTTATGACCTATGTATGTTTCTTGAGTACTCGCCACGGGAGTGTCAGTGCTGGCATAATTGTGTTCATCTGTTTCTATTTGAACTTTATTAGAAACACACCGTCAACAATATTTTCAAATTTTTCATCATAGTGAATGGCTTCATTTAATATTTCATGGTGGGGGTGTCTAGTGGTTTTTCTGGAGGTTTGCTGGGGTTTATAATAATTGAGGTTTAACAAATGCCAGCATCGAAGTTTGATCAGTTTCATGTCCGTTACAGGAGCCTAACCCCAATTCCTCTACTGTATAACCCTCTTAGAACTTCTGTCCCATTAGTGCCAATAACCGTAACCATAACCTTAAATTAGTTTTAACCGAAGGCCCTCCTACAGTCCCGGTAACATCATTTTTACTTTCAACAGCTTTGCTTTTGGCATTTGACTTCTCAGTCAGTCTCTACAAAAAATTAACTTCCTTAGAAAAGTAAAGTAAAAACCTACACCAACACATTTTAGTAGCGTTTCCATACTTTCTAATCCGCAAATAAGGTTACATATAGTTAATTAAAAATAATTGTCCTTTTGTACTCGGATGTAGTTAATGTCCCTGAGAGTCCCATCCAGTTATTTGTTCTTTTTTCGGGGTGTTGCTCCGCAAAACAGAAAGAAAAATGTTTTTTGACAATATTTAAAATTTACATACGCTGACAAAGTAATTCTTTCTTCTTCTTTTTGGGGTCAACGCTGCTACAAACGGTCAAGACGATCACATCTAAAAAAAAAAACAAAAAAGGGACAAACAATTTCCAGCACTCTGGGACTTGGGATGGGCGTTCCTGGCCTAGGATGGACCATGGGACCAGGCTCGTCAGATCTGAGAAAAAACAACAGATTCAAATACATGTAATTTAAAATTGCCTAGTATTTTTACTAGGAAGAGGCTGTCCGACCTCGACTCCAAACTTAAAGTTTTATCCTATTATAATCTAATCTAAAAAAGTAATTTTTAAAAACCAAATCAGGTTAAAACCATGGAAAATCCCTCAAAAATGCAGCACCCTACTGGTAAACGTAACAGAAATAAAAACCTCAACAAATTTTTGACAAAAAGTAGTTTGTGTCCAAATTTGTCACAATCTCTCAATTCGAGGCATGAACTCGGTTGTCCCCCTTGTGGCCAAGTTTTCGATCTGAGAAGCTTTGTCGCATCTCGCCGTTTTCGAGGATTAAAATGGACTGATAACTTAATTGTGGAGCGTCATCTTGTTGATGTTATTTCGCTTGGACGCCTGCAACAGACCAATTTGTGCCGGATCAAAGAACATATCATCTTGGCACTCGGCACCACTACCCCCCACCACCCACCATCAACTTTGCATTTAGAAACAACAGTGTACAGTAAGTCAAAGTTATTATCATACAAGTCGGTAATATATTTGAAAAATTGGTATCTGACGATCATATTTATCCTACCCTTAAAATTGAACCAATGAATTATAGACAGTCTCTAAAATTATTAACTAGTTTATGCAGCGTGGCCGTAGATAAACAAGTCCGTCTATCCTTAAGAGACTCCATGTCAAACAGTTGATAATATTCATGTAACATAAATTGAAAATATTTTAAGCATTTACGCTGGGCATTCTCGAAACTATTTTCTTAGATAGGTGACCATATTATGGATTATAAACGAGTTATAGTGTAAAATATGTCGGACATACCTCGCCCAGTTTCTAATACTGTAGTCCAGTAATTTGTGCTAGTTATTTGTGATGTGTGGTCATTAAAAGTAAAGTTAGTATCAAACACAACTCCCAGATCTCTGAACGTATCTCTGCTCTCCAAAGGCACATCGTGGAGTGTATAGTCGAACAACATGGGACTATTATTTCGTGAGAAAGATAGGACTTTGCATTTGGCAGCATTAAGTTTGGGAGAGCTCTCAGGGCACCACTGACTTACCATGAGGAAAGCGTTTTTTTTTTAAATTTTAGTTTACTGATTTCCAGAAATATTCTACCAATAATTGAAAATCAAAAAAGGATATAAATGGAAAATGAGGGGCAATACATCTTTTTATATAATAAGTGGTTAAAAACACAATCTTCTGAAATAGTTGAACTGAGGTGGCTTTTACTTGATAAAAATCCATTGAACACAATTAATTTAGAACAAAAATTGTTCAGATTTGGTTTATGACAGCTGTTTCGGCAACACCGTGCCTTTATCAACTACATACATTTATCAGTATTTGATGAAGGCACGGTGTTGCCTAAACAGCTCTCATAAACTAAATAAATAACTGAAAATCTAAACATTTTTCTTTCTAATATGTTTGTTCCGAATTAGTCTATACCAACAATTCTCTTATTTATTCGATAAAACTCTCAAAAAGTGAGTACCATATTTCTAACCAAAACTGATAGAGTGATCTGCGTATGTCTGTCGGGTCTCTTGGATATAATGTCTTTGGTCCAGTCTCATATTGAATGTTCGCGTAAACTTATAAACTACTTCCAGCAACGTCACGTTTCGGATTCGCACGTGAACAATAGAAAATCTAGGGTCGTGCGGAACGGTAAGCTCGTGCAAGAGAAATGGTCAGCGGTTCAGGTGGGTGACATCATACGCATGGACAATAATACGTTCGTGGCCGCGGATTTGCTGCTTTTGACGTCCAGCGAGCCCAACGGTTTGTGCTATATAGAAACCTCGGAATTGGACGGGTGAGTTGCCTCCGTTTTCGGTGTAATAGTAAAAAAGAGATTATTAGCAAAGAAGCCACGAGAAATTGCCGCATTTGGAAAAAAATACGCCCTCTATAATTTAAACGGACTCTGTATTTCGCTCGCCCTGTATATAATAGTTGGAAAAGGTAAATGCAAACATTGTAGCTCTTGACGCGACCCAAAAGGACGTTCAATCCAAACTGCGCCGTTTGCCAAGATTTAATAGTTACGGTAAATGATTTACACCGAAAAATGGCAATTTTTGGTGTTTACCATAACTGGGACATCCTGTATATTTTGGATTAAACTATATTTTCCGGTTATTGCACCGAATCTCGCGCGTTTTCCGGTTTGAGAATTTTCCGAATCGGACGGATGGTTGTTGAGAAATCGAATTTTTTCGTTTCCGAAAGAAAAATTTTGGAAATTAAAAAAAAAAATGGCTATTCTCGATCCCGCCCAATTTTAACAGGTTCGAAAATTAATTTATAGACCTCAAAATTTTGTTCGTAAAAATTGTGCAATTTGAAATGTTTTCCTATTGCTAAACTTATCTCTGGAATAAACATCTTATGATGCCATTCTTTAAAAATCGCTGTTGTCATTCAATCAGCTTTCGAATTTCAGGAGCAGGAATAATCGAGGATTTTTGGATTTTCCAATCACTAGTGGTTTTAATTTGTGCATGCTACAAAGGTCATTGTTTATTTCTTACATGTTTTTCCAGGAAGGAGCTTCCAGCGTTGTGAATCTGATCTTTCGCCAGTTGAAAATCTTTAATTTTTCTTCTACATTTAGTTACGGCCTATGATTTACACCGAAAAATGGCAATTTTGGAAATTTTTAAAAAAATAATTAACTATTCCCGATCCCGCCCAGTTTCTGGGGATGGAAATGTAAATTCATGCCGAATTTCAATTCGATAGCTCCCAATTTCGGACGCACTGACTGTGTCCCGTAGCAATTTGCGAAACAATAAGCAAAAGTAGCCCACAAAATGGCCGCCGATGTCGGAGCGCCCGCGATAGTTTTACATTTGAAAATGTTCGTATATCTGGTACGAGTCTATTAGGAAGGCGCTCTTGATATATTCGCCTAGTTTCCCATTTTAAAATAACAATGCTCGGATATTTTCAACACCAAATTAATAATTAATAATTTAATAAGATTAATAATAATTAATAAGATGCGAAGAACTGAATTTAAAAACAACTTGACAACAGATATTGTTATGAACATGCAGAGAATTGATTTTTATTTCTTTAAGCGAAAACCATACGTCGGACTGGAAAAAATCAAGGAATAAAATTTCTTTAGAAATGATTGGAGATTCTAAGATTAATTTTTATTTTAAATCATATCAGTGGTGTACCATCAATGCGACAATAGACAGGTGAAAGTCTATACGCTCGCCACTGGTGTATTGAAAAAAAAATGTGTGTGTGATACATAGTACATGGGTGCCAAATTTTAAAAATGTTAAAAGCCGTTTTTGTTTTAATTATTTACATTCAATTTGAAATCACCCTGTATATTCAGTAAAACCGAAAACCACCCGGTAATTTTTTTTTAGCGAAACTAACCTGAAGTGCCGGCAATGTCTCGTCGAAACAGCCGAAATGGGTCAAGACGACGCCCTGATTAGCGAATTCGACGGCGAGATCGTCTGCGAGACGCCCAATAACCTCCTGAACAAGTTCGAGGGCGTCTTGGTGTGGAAGGGCCGCACCTTTTCGCTCGACAACGACAAGATCATACTCAGAGGTTGCGTGCTCCGCAACACCTCTTGGTGTTACGGGGTGGTGATTTTCGCCGGCAAGGACACCAAGCTGATGCAAAACAGCGGTAAAAGCAAATTCAAACGCACCAGCATAGACAGGCTACTTAATTTTTTAATCATAGGGGTAAGTTTAAATTTAATGATGATATATAGGATGATGAATTAAGGCAAGGGCAAGTGTGAAATGAGAAAAAAGGTGTCAAAGATTTTCTTTTTTGTTTTTTCGATTTATCTCCCAAAATAATTTGTAAGATTATTAGCTAAAATTTGGCATACATATCAAAAATGCAATATTGTATCCGAAAAATATTAGAGAGGTCCTTTGATCAAAAATATATATACAGTAGACTCGCGATATAGTAAACAAATTAATGCAAGTCCCAATCACTGTACCAATTTGTTCACTATATGGAATATATCTACAATTCACTAAAAAACGGTTGTCGGTTTTTGATCGCTTTAGTTGTAGTCTTGAGACCAATAACTTGCGATAAAATACTTTTGTTAAACGAATCGCGTTTTGATCCATCGGTTGTATCAATCGAGTGACGAAAATGGATCATTATCACTTTTTAGCTCTTCGAATGTTGAAGATCTTTAATTTTTTCTTCTATGTTTCTTTTGAAAGGATCAACAAGCTCAGACTGTGATGACAATTTTTGGACTGAAATCTTTAAGCGTCTTTTGTATTTTTGTAACTAGCTGCCGCTTGCATGGAAAGAAAAAAATTAAATTGCTCACGAGAAGGTTCTGTCTTTGTTTTAGAAACCACTTATACAAAACCTTTTTCATTCGTAAACACTCTGAATGTCTTAAAGTGTTCATTTTTCCTGGTTCGTTAAAAGTATTGTTAATGCTTTTCTTACCCTTACTCTTCTCTTTCGAATAGCGCATATAGTAAATTTAGCAACGTCATATTCTTTGGACACTTTTCTTTAATTCTTCTAATTTCTTGACTTTATCATGGAATTGGAAACGTTTTCCTGTATTGACGTTTTTTGTTGACCAACAAATTTTTTTGGGTTCATTATTTCGAGAGCCAATTTGTTCCCTCTACAGAATACATTTTCTATTTAGAGTAGTTCACTATACCGCGAGTCTACTGTATTATCATTTGTAGGGTATGGTCCGAGATGCATTTACATATTTTGGGATCTATAAAAAATGTATCAATATCAATATCAAATCCTGCCACTTTTGGTGATATCCAAAAAATAAAAACAAACAAAACAAAATCAAATTCCATTTATTTCTTTTACTGTTTTTAAATACCTGCTGAAGTTTTTTTTAATTTTGATTTTAACTATGAAGAAAGTTACGGCTTCAAATAGCGAGATTCTAGGGTGTAACTAGAGCTCTCTACATACTATGTGAAAAAATACAATGTAATTGTATTCCTCATCTCCAAAAACTACCGAATGAAAGTTTTCATGTTGATTTATCACAAACAGCTCTAGCTATAAAGAAATAACAATTTCGAGAAAACACCATCTTTCACTGATGAGGGACATTTTGCTAAGGTATTGGAAATGGAAATGGAAAATATATTATTTAAACACAAAAGTATTGTTTCTTACTATGAAATAATCGTCGCAAAACACTTGAATACACTTTTTAAATCAGCAGAAAACCCCAAAAAATATACCTAGAAACTGACATGTCGGTTTCATTAAGAGCACTTTCGAAGATGATTTTATAATTTTTGAGGTGGCTAATTTTTAAATATTTGCTGCCCACACCGAGACAAACGATAGTTTGTACATTTTTTTTTCGCCCTTTCAGATAGTGTTTTTTCTATTGTCGATGTGCCTTTTCTGCATGGTGGCCTGCGGCATTTGGGAATCCCTGGTTGGCCGGTACTTCCAGACTTTCCTGCCGTGGGACACGTTGGTGCCCTCCGAGCCATTGGGGGGCGCTACCATCATAGGTATGAGTACCATATTGTAAGGGAGACCACACCACAAACACGTGCGTAGTATGTACTGTAGACAGACGCAAATGTACATACAGATATCCATAGGACGTTCATTAATGCATCTAGTTTAATCTTGAATGGACATAATAAATCTGATCGCATTCAACAAGAAAAAGCTTCTGGTTCAATCAGAAAATGATGTTTTAAAAAATATTGATCGCCAATAGTACTAGAAACTACATCAAACCTGCAAATACCAACTTATAACTTCACTTTATAATTCAGATAGTAGTAACGTTTTCTTGTTGGTTTCAATCAGATCCCAGGCAAAATCGACTTTCTGCCACTTATTATACCCAACCTTGCATCAAATCTGCAGATATCAACCTAAAATCTCAGCCCATGCAACAGGGCTTTCATATAAACATTCTGCATAAAATAAAAATAAAACTGTTCTTTGGTTTTATTCCTTTGCTTATGTCGTCGAAACTTACCTATTTTTAGCTCTCTATGAACTTCTCCCATTGGGTTCTTCCTATTCCTAATATTAGAAAAAAAAGACAATATTATAATAATAATACTTCGTTTTTGTATTTGTTTGTTTCGATGAAGGTAAAGAGTTACAATACGTTTTTCTTAAATTGACGATTCACAGATAAGAAGGATCGCTTTGTTTTTTATTAATTAATTTTTATATTTATTATTTTTTAATTATTTTTAATAATACTCCATTATTTTTTTTTAATTAAATAATTTAAGTAAATAATTTAATTATATGTAATTACTTTTATTGCTTAACTATAATTACTTTAAATATTTTCACTATAATTAATTTGTTGTTTGTTTTTGTGTTGAAACTTAATCCCGCAGTTTAACCATATCAGATTAAGGAACGTTAAAGAAACCTGTTCACTGAAATTTGTTAAAGTGTATTAAAGACAGACATCAATACTACTTATAAACCTGCCATTACAATCAAACCAAAATTAACGCGATAACTGTAAGACGACTATTAAATTTTAGAGTTTGATGGAATGGTATATTAAATTAATTATGATGATGATTAAAAATTAATTATTCATTTAAGAAAACGAGGTTTAACCGTTATTCAATCATTATTTGTTGATAAATTTTGCAAATGACATTATTGACAAGGACAAAGCCTTTAAAATTAGGAAAAAGGTAGAAATGATTTAAAAAAATATCCCAAAAGTACGAACAATGGTTTGGCGACACATGTCGACCGTTTTTTGAATTAAATTTATATTTTGATTAACGGTCCCGTAGGTTTCGTGTGCTTCTTGTCTTACCTACATGAAATGGACGTTTTACGCTGTATGGGTTGTGTCGTACGTACGTCGTAACGTATCGTTTCGTTTCAGCTCTTTTGGTTTTTTTCTCGTACGCCATCGTGTTGAATACGGTGGTGCCGATTTCGTTGTACGTATCCGTAGAGGTTATAAGGTTCATGCAAAGCTTCCTGATCAATTGGGACGAGCAGATGTATTACAAGAAAAATAACATGTACGCCAAAGCGAGGACGACCACGTTGAACGAGGAACTGGGCAAGTGTTTACAACTTAGTTTTTTTACTTTTCTTTGCAAACTGACTTTTGCGCGTGTCTAACCGAAAATTGAAATAGATTATTTTACAAAAGCAATTTGCAGTAAATACAATGGAATCAAGTTGAGGAAAATTGTGACGGTAAAATTAAATTAGTCACTACACGTAAAACTTAACTGATCTGACAGTTTATTTCTTCCAAAATAACAAAATCGCTAACACTACACTGCTATTTACTACACACTACTGATCATTTATATAACGTCTCTATATTAGTTTGATTATTTACTATTTTCGATTCCCTATACATAGATACTATCAAGCTGACGTTTCGCCGATCATCATCAGAACTTAAGTGAAACTTGCTTGCATTCTACCCTGTACCTGCTTATATATCGTTTGAGAGGGCTGAGTTAAAGGAGGGGCATGAACATTGATAGTTCTATAGTTCTATACAGCTTACCTTTCACTAATATGGGAATCAGTCATCTGAGATAATGTTCATGTCCCTCCACCAGCTCCGCCCCCTTCAAGCGGTATATAAGCAACTGGGCAGTAGAATGCGAACCAGATTCGGTTAAGCTCTGAACAAGAGATCAGAAGATTAATAATAAAAATCAAAACCATAGTCTTGAAACTCCTGGACAGTATAAAAAGCCTTCGCCCCAACAAAATTAGGAAGTTTATGCTTTAATTGTTCAAACGGTAGCCAGCTAGAACCTTGTCGAAAATGTTAACATTTCTTTGACTATACGTGAAGTTAGATGTGTTTTTTCTTGAAAATCTGTCTTCGATGGCCCTGCATTCATTTGTTTTTCAAATGTCAACCTATACTCGTTGGATGATGTATGTAGACCTGCAGACGTCATTTTTGATATAAAAATCAAAATAGCAAATTTTTTTTTTGATTTTTTAATATACAGGTTGTTCTATTTAAAATAAGAAACTTGTTACTGGTCCAAAAAATATCAATACAAACAAATACAACATTTAGTCACAAAAAAATATATATTTTTTCGAGGCTACGGTTGATTGGCGAGTTTTTTGATTTAAAAATGGAGGCGTGGCAAAATAGTAAACCAATGTGAAACGTAAACAGCGGCGTACTAAAGGATCTAGTTTTGGTTTGCATTGGTGTATATTTGCTTAGGACATTTAATATCTTAATAGGTGAGCGTAAACACATCTAATGAAGTGCAAACAGATTCTAACGGGCAAACAAATTAAAATAAATTTGAACAGACGCCCGTTAATTTTATTAGTCAGCCGTTGACTGGTGTCAGATTTTTAGGAAGTAAAGCTAGATTAGTATACGCAGAAATCATTTAATCATTATGCCAGTACATGTTTAGCAAATAGCTAAAATATTCACCAATAATTATAAGTAACAGAAGTTACTATCGAATGTTTACGAACTTAGGGTTCAATTTGAGAGTGGAAAGGAAAAGTTGTTATATAAAATTAAATTATAAATAATGGTAATATAGTAAATTAAATATTTTAAGTGATTTTCTATTGAAAAGTGGATTTAAATTTACTTTTCAAATTGTTTTAACAAAATGATTATAGTGAAATTCCACAAGTGCCTTCAACTGTCTATATAAAAAAAGGACCGACGAGCCCTGATTTGTGCGCTGTATTTCAAAAAAATCACATCCACGATAAATACCAATTAATTTAAAAATTTATGAAATGCAAGTTATAGATGAGACTAAACGAATAAAATGTAAAAATATTTTTAAATATGATTCATAAATATGTTGGAAATATATTTAAATGAAACACCCTAGTACTCTATTTGGATACCCTGTATATTAAGCCCCTAAATAAAGTCGACTTCAAGTACGTATTATACTCTGGGTCGATAATGTAAAGAGAAATCCAGTTCATGTGGTTTGAAGGGGCTTCTGCAAGGCAAACTAAATCGAGTACAAGCTATATTTCGTTTCTTGGTGATGGTTTTTCCGTATTTCGTTCGTTCATAAATTAGTAGGGTCGCACTAATTTGTATACAACAGCAAAGTCGAGTTTGATTAATGAAATTAATGTGACAGCGGCGTTACTGCCATATGATATCTACTCAAAAAAACCTTTTTATCATTTTATTATTTTTTATTATTTTATCATATCTTACATTTCTGCTTTTAATATAATGTTGTTCGTGTACAAATTTTGCCCATTTGTTGTGTTTTCCATATCCTCACCAATTGTGGTGTTTCTATGTGTTCCAGTGTCGATTGTACTTCAAGGTCCGTTTCTTATTTTGTCCATTTTGGTGACTCTTTAAGTATTCGGAAGTATTTCATCTCCGGAACTTCAATTTTGCTTTTCTGTTGATTAGTCCCGTGTCCACAATTCACAACCAAATGTTGAAATTGATCTATAGGATAGGATCTATACCCTTGAAGACATTTATTTTGTTGATATTTCGTTTTTACTCATGATGTTCTTAAAGTACAGTGTTAATTTTTTTTTCTATTCTGTTTTTTTTAGCTCTTTTCTGTTTTCCGTTCTATATTTCTACTCGTCAGTAATTGAGTCTTGTAACCTGGTGTGTCAATACAACATCCAATGTTATATATATTTATCCAGATCCATGTTTATCTTCAACCGCGCCCTTTAATTCCGATCCAGTCAATATACCTAACTTTACCTTGCAAGATCAGCAAAATAAAATGAGTGCCCGCCCTGACGGCATACCAAGTTTTATCGTTCCCACGCACTGTGTGCTCTTTTATGTCACATTTTTAACCTGGTACTTAAAACGGCTGTTTATCCAGAACTTAAAACTGGAAAATTGCCAAAATTTATTCTATTTTCGAAAAAGGCGATCCTTCTGCAGTTGAAAATTACCGACCCATTTCGATCTTTTTCAATTTTTCGAAAATATTGGAGATTATAGTACATAAATTTATCTTTGCTCAAATTTGAAATAAGCCTTCTACGCAACAACATGGTTTTTGTTCGAAAAGAACTTTGTTTTCCCAACCTTCTTATGCCTGTGACTCCCTGAACAAGCCAGGTCAAGTAGACGTTATATACACTAGACATTGTACCACCGTCGACAGTTCATTGAAATTGAGGGCTTTAAATCAGTTGCTTTTGTTCCAACTTCTGATATGCCTCAAGCTTCTAACTCTGGTCCATTTCTGTTCAATATATTTATATACGATCTCATGTCTTTGATCATCGGCGACAAGTTTGCCAATGTGGATGACCTGAAACTATATCTGTATTAAAACCAGCACAGACTTCATGACTCTCCAGGCCAACATCAATATTGTTAGTTAGTGGTGTACTAAAACTAAAAAAAAGGGTAATGTGGTTTATTATCACCTTCATGATGCTGACTAGACTAGACTTGCTATTGTAAAGGATTTGACCAGCCTTTAGATTACTAAAATGGTTTCCAGTGCCAAGTTGTTATTTAACTGTTACATTAGGTCCAAGCTATATGCTCGGTGGAATAGTCACCAATATATAACTGCCATGCTCAGTCCATTGAGAGTGTGCAGAGAAGGTTAATGAAGTATCTAATGTCCAGGGGAGTTGATCATGATCTTCTTCTTAACCTGCCCAACACGTGGTGCGTTGACGACTATCTCAAAGACAAGGTTCTACTGATAGCACCATAACCAAGCGCATTAGTGTTGTTTACACCTGTCTAATGTTTTATATTACGCAACCACGAAATCTGTACTACCGACACCTCGAGATCTTTCCTTGCAAAATTAACTGCGGGATTTTGTATGATTTGTATTTTGTATGAGTATGTGGCCGATGTAGCTAATGTTACATTTTTTAATAACTTCAAAAAGCTCTCTCTCTCTACGCCCGCTTTTCTGACAACCTCCTTATCAGCCATGAAATTCGGAGCATTCTCCTTAGTGACCACATTTCGAATGCCTCTAGTCTATTGATTGACGAAGTTTTTAGAGTCCATGATGTTTTACTGAGAAGGTTCGTTATACTGTCTCTGAGCCTACGCAGAGACTTGCAATCTGTATCATTTCTCTATAAGTTAGTTCATTACCGAATCGATTGTACGTTTCTTCTAGAACAGTTACGTTTTCATGCGCTCCAGTTACCCAGATCCGATATCCAGTTTCAAAACCCGATTTACAATATGTGTGTTTCCTTCACCAAAGTATCATTGCACTGTGATTTATATTGTGATGATCTCCAAGCTATACTTAGACAACTTCGACAGACAAATCTTATCCTTTTCTTTCTTTTTTTTATGGTAGAAGTTTTAGGATTAGTTTTTATGTCCCCTGTAAATATATCATATGATTTATATTTAATATTTCCTGTAATTGGGTCATGTTATCTGTTGGAAATAAAGTGCTCATCGTGTTCAGTTACTATCAGCATTACTTTTGTCTTGGTTTTATTTAGTTTGATTCCAAAATCCACCAGAGCGCTATTCCAGATCGTCATGCTATGCTGCAAGTCTATCTCTTTTCCGGCTCCTCCTTCGGATACGTTTACATTTTTTGTGTATCTATAGCCCACGTTATATTTCTTTACAGTTGGTCTACAGTTTTTTGGAATGAAAAGTTCCCAGCATTACGAAATTTAAGGAGCCATATCCAAGTCTCCCATTTTGCATATTATTGTTACAAGTGAACTTGAATGAATTGACAAAATTTCCAGAGATCACGGTTTGCTTTTGAACCCAACAATGTATTAAAAAGATTCAAAAATGCTGCCTGACGTTTACGGCATCCGTCGCGGAAGACCTATCAGCTTCTGCTGACCGGGTTGGACGAATATGAAGACGCGGCGCTTGATCCATCGCTGTTGTCTTTATTTCAAAATAATTAAAGCAAAATATCCCGAATACCTCTCCGAAAAATAACTTAGAACAGACGTGAATAACTTAAGTCTAACATTTAAAGGGGTCATAATTCCTCGTCACCGATCTGGTATATTTGAAAGACTTGGCTAAACTATATAATGACCGGCCCCATTCCGTTCAGAATGCGACAATAAATTATTTTCCAAATAAACGAAAGACGTGGTTATGTTCTGGAATTTAAAAAGAAAAAAAATGAAGAAAACATCTAGAAGTTACAGAAGACAGGCAGAATCAAACCACCGTGCGCTGCTAAAATTCTTTAAAAATTTGTGGCACTTCAGTACTTTAGCCTCGACTTTAGTTAATAAATAACTATTTACAGAGGTAGGTTTAGGTTTTCTTTTTGTTTATAATTGAGTGGGTACACTACCATAGTGTGATGTTATGTTCAAGGAGAAGTGTGGAAATCATCAAGCAGATACGTCTGGGCGCTGCACTCTTGCCTTTTCTTGTAATTTTCCTTGTCGAAATTACCTGAATAAAGTATATTATTAAAGTATATTATTATTATTAATTAAAATGAGATATTCAGCGAAATGGTTAGATGGAACAGGAACTATGCGGAACATGGCATCTGTAACATATTGTTTTGCATTTGTTACGTATCGTAATTGGTCGTCCACGCCCCTTTCCAGGACAAATCGAGTACATATTCTCCGACAAGACCGGCACGTTGACCCAGAACATAATGACGTTCAACAAGTGCTCGATAGCGGCCAAGTGTTACGGCGACGTCGTCGACCAGAGGACGGGCGACGTCATCGAGATAACCGAGAACACGGAACCGCTGGACTTTTCGTTCAACGCGAACTACGAGCCCGAGTTTAAGTTCTACGACAAGAATCTGCTGGACGCGGTGCGGAGGCGGGAAAAGGAAACGTTCGCTTTTTTCCGGCTGCTCGCCTTGTGTCACACGGTGATGTCGGAGGTGAGTCGGGTGATATAATTCGAAAAGTCGAACGTCCTGTTTTTTTTTGGTCCTCGTTCGCAGGACAGGGACGGAAAATTGGAGTACCAGGCGCAGTCGCCGGACGAGGCGGCGCTAGTGTCGGCCGCCAGGAACTTCGGTTTTGTCTTCAAGGAGAGGACGCCGAACAGTATTACGATAGAGGTGTGTTGCTTTAGTAATAGTAATAATAATGACGATAATGATAATAATTATAATAGATAATTTATTTTTATTGGTAACAAAAATAGATAAAAGATAAAGGAAATGCTCCGGTGGTCATGAATACAAGTGCATATCAGGAAAATATTCAAGATGTTCTTTCAGACGGATAGTATCGTAAAAAAGGTCCTACCTTATCTGTGAAACAACCTTAATTCTCTTATTAAGTATTCTTCTCTACTTCTCTATCAGAATCCTCAAGAAAGTCTCCCCTCATGACTCTAAAATTCCTCGTCTCTATGGACTCCCTAAGATTCACAAATCAAGATTACCCCTTTGGCCATGGATTCTCCAGTATATTCTCTAGCAAAATATCTAGCTTTTATATTTAAACCCTTTACAGGGAAAACTGATAGTTCCGTACTAAATTCCTTTTATTTCATTAATCAATTAAAAAATTGCTGGAACATATTTTTTTTTATAACGGATAAATTTTTGAACAAACTTCGGGAAGAGCTATGGGTTCCCCATTATCACCATTCATCGCAAATATATTTACGAAGGCCTACAAGAACAAAGCCTTCGAGACCTTCCATCTAAAACTAAAATTATAGAAACGATGATACTTGGTTATTTTAACTCTATACGCCCTATCATACGTATTAACATTCATTTAGAAACTAATAATATTCTCCCATTCTTAGATATTCTTATCAGTAGAAAATCAGACCTAACATTGCCAATACCTTAAAGTATGGTCACATCACTATCCGGTTATCAACTCTGTCGAAAAACGATCTCAGCCCGAGTCATTCACAATTGGCAAAATTTAAATATATATATTTTTTATATTTTTGATTTTTGCAAACCATTTCAGAAATATAATTAGAGAAAAATAGTTAAAACAACCGACTGTTTTTGATTGTGACGTTCATACCAAACGATGGAAATGGAATGATAAGAAATAAATTATTCCAGACTATTCATTTGATAGCATTATTATTCCGCGAAATGAAAAATATGTACTTATATTTATTTCAAAATTTTATGATTTTTTAATCCATCCCCCTGAAACGGCCCACTACTGGGACACCCTGTATTAGTGAAAAATAATTTCAAGCCAATTAAAAGTTTAACAAATGATGGGCATGGGAAGGCATTAAGAATGTGGTTTTCAAAACTAATTTATTCAGGTTACTGAAATTTTTTGCCCAACTTCCCTGGATCATTACTGCTCTTAATCGCCAGTCGCAGAATTAAGCATCTGCTCAATATAAGGTCTATAGCTGCATTAATCGCAAAATTATTATTGAGATTTCAATTCATTCCGATAGGTTATGGGCGCCAAAGAGGTTTACGAGCTTTTATGCATACTCGACTTCAACAACGTCCGAAAGAGAATGTCTGTGATACTGAGGAAAGACAGCAACTTACGGTTGTTCTGCAAAGGGGCCGACAACGTTATTTACGAAAGGCTGAAAGACGGTCAGGACGAGCTCAAAGCCAAAACGCAAGACCATCTTAACGTAAGTAATAACTGAAGGATATTTCGGAAAGCTGTAGAGTAATCGAACCACATTAAAGGGACTTCGCAATGATTTAGTCATCGCAACATTAACATTGCTAGTGAAAAACGATTCATCAAGTTTTTATGAAGGAGATATAGATAAAATCATCCAAACCAGCCAAACAATTGAGATAAAAATATGTACCCTAAAAAATTTTGGTTGGAAATTAAATTCTATTTTTAAAAAACGAGTTGTTTCTAAGAAATCTTAAACGTAAGTTTAAATTTTTTCATTTTGTCATTAATCGCGAATCATGTCGGCATCAGAAATTCGCCGGCGAAGGTCTGAGGACGCTGTGCCTCGCGTACTGCGACCTGGACGAGGATTTCTTCAACAACTGGAAGCAGCGGCACCAGGAGGCGGCAATCGCTATGGAGGATCGCGACGAGAAGCTCGACGCGATCTACGAGGAAATCGAGCGCGATATGATCCTCATCGGTGCCACCGCCATAGAGGACAAGCTCCAGGACGGCGTCCCGTCCACCATTGCCAACCTCATACTCGCCGGCATCAAGATTTGGGTACTTACCGGGGATAAGCAAGGTGTGTGACCCTGTTACTTTGTACTTGCATGTTCTTAACCCCCCCCCCCTCTACCCACAACCCAAAAAAAAAGCCGAGATGTACAAAAAAAAGAACTATCTCAGAAGATAAGAGAAATAATCTAACCAACTAACCAAAAAAAGGACTTGAAAAAAAGATGAATTTCTAATTTCTCCAAAAAAATGGGCTATTTAAAAAAAAATAAGGAAAATATTTTAATACGCTTAAAAAAAGGATTGCCTCAAAAAAATAAAAATAATCTGAACTCTTCAAAGAAAGGATTATCTTTAATAACGTAAAAAAAAAAATAATTTAAACTGCAAGAAAAATAATCTAAATTGCCCCAAAAAAGGACTATCACGAAAAGTTAAAAAAAACATTCAAAAGTGTACCATGAAAAAATTCTATCCCAAAAAATGAAGATATTCTAAGATGCACCAAAAAAAGAACTGTATCAAAAAGATGGCGAGAAATAATGTAAATTTGACCAAAGAGACTAAAGACTAAAATTTCTCCAAAAAAGGGACTTAAAAAAAATAAAGAAAATATTTTAACACGCTTCAAAAAAAAAGGATTGTCTAAAAAAATAAGAAAAATATTTTGAACTTAAAGAAAGGATTTCTTTTAAATCGTAAGAAAAATAATCTAAATTGCAAGAAAAAGGTTTGTAAAAAAAAAATGATATTCTAAAATGCTCCAAAAAAGAACTTTCACAAAAAGTTATGAAAAATATTCAAAATTGTAGCAAAAGAAAATACCATCTCAAAAAATTAAGATATTCTAAGATGCATCGAAAAAGGAACTGTATTAAAAAGATGAGAAAAGTAATCTAATTTAGACCAAAAAAGGACTATCTTAAAAAAAAAACATAAGATAAATAATCTAGATTTCTCCAAAAAAAGGACTATCTTTTAACAAAAGTAGATAAATATTTTAAGATGTGTAATGAAAGGATTGTCTCAAAAAATTAGAAAAGTAATCTAAACTTCTTCAAAGAAAGGATTTTTTTGAATAAAATTTTTGAAGATATTCTAAGATGCACAAAAAAGGAACTATCTCGAGAAGATAAGGAAAAATATGAGTTTGAAAAAGAAAGGACTACCTCAAAAAATAAAAATAATGTAAACTCTCCGAAAAAATTAATATTTTTAAAAACGTAAAAAAATAATCTACGTTACAGCAAGAAAGTACTGCCCTAAAAAATATAAGGAAAATATTCCAACACGCAGGGGATTGTCTCCAAAAAATAGGATTATCACAAAAAGTTAAGAAAAATATTCAAAATTTTACCAAGAAAAAGGATTATCTAAAAAAACTGAAGATATTCTAAGATGCAAAAAAAGTACTATCTCAAAAAAGTGAGAAAAATAATCTGAGATAAACAAAAAAAGGACTATCTTTAAAAAATAACGGATGTATATTAAGACGCACAAAAAAAAGGATTGTCTCAAAAAAATTATAAAATAAAAAATACTCCAAAAAAGGACCATCACAAAATTAAGAAATTAATTCAAAAATGTATCCGCTTATCATTTGGAAACACAGAATAGATTAAATGATCAAACTGACTTTGAATTTTATTTGTTTGTATTATGCAATTATTAAATTTAATATCTAACTGATTTTCTATCCATCTTCCCCTAGCGTCATTATTTACATGGTAAGACAGCCTCATTTAGCGCTGCTTCGTATTACGCTCTACTCTGTGTAGATATCTATCTCTTAAGTATTTTTTAATTTTGCGATTGGTTGCGGGCGTGACAAAACTTTTCCCTATAATTTTCCAGAAACCGCCATCAATATCGGATACTCGTGTCAACTGTTGACCGACGAACTCGTCGACATCTTCATAGTGGACGCGTCCTCTTTCGACGAAGTGCAACAACAGCTCCTCAAATTCCGCGACAACATAAAGATCGTGAACGTTTATAGGCCGCATTCGCCCACCCACGTGACTGACCCTACGTCCAACGGTTTTGGTGCCGCCAACGATCAACACGCCGCCTCCGGGTCCGCTCCTTCGAAGACGGGCGGAGGCCAGGCGATCAGCGTCGTCACGTTCAGGTGGGACGAATCGGGGAGAAAGTGCAAGAGAGCAAGGTAGACGACTCTAAGGAGGAGATTTTTTCAGGGGATCGATAATTTCTCCCTCTCTCGCTGTCTTCTATCTTTGACTTATTGCCTAAATTATTTATTTACTTACCCAAACAACAAAAAGGGATTCTTATCTTTGTGGTGGCTAAAGTTCGAAGCGCAAGTGACTAACCCACGTGGTCCTTTCGGGCGTAGTAGAGTCGCGTAGATTAGCGGAATAATTAGATAATCTCTACCTCTGCTCTCTAACGTTTTAGACGTCTTATCGTTTAATTTTTAGATCTGTGTTCGTTCGCCACACGCACAGCACTAATTTTCGTCATTTATTTTCGCAAAGTATTCATCGAAGAAACGAGAAAATCACATTTTTCAATATTGCAGTAATTGTTTTATTACATTACATTGCAGCAATGTTGCAGTAATTGTTTTATTTAACATTTACATTGCAATATCTGCAACAATTTTGCAGTAATAGTTTTATTTAACATTTGCACTACATTCCAGTCTGCAACGATGTTCCAGTTATTGTTTTACTTAACATGTACATTAAAATATATGTAATAATGTTGCAGTAATTATTTTATTTAAAATTTCCATTGAAATGGATGCCACAATTTTGCAGTAGTAGTTTTATTTTTACATTACATTCCAATCTGTAACAATGTTGCAGTAATTGTTTTATTTAACATTTACATTGCTGTGTGCCACAATTTTGCAGTAATAGTTTTATTTTGACACTACATTCCAAACTGCGACGATGTTGAAGTTATTGTTTTATTTAACATTTACACTACAATATGTGCAATAATGTTGCAGTAATTATCTTATTTAACATTTACTTTGCAATCTGTGCAACAATGTTGCAGTAATTATTTTATTTCACATTTATACTACATTTCAATCTGCATCGATGTTGCATTAATTGTTTTATTTTCTATTTACATTGCAATGTATGCAACAATTTTGCAATAATAGTTTTATATAATATTTACACTACATTCCAATCTGCAACCATGTTACAATTATTGTTTTATTTAACATTTACATTACAATATGTGCAACAGTATTGCAGTAATTATTTTATTTAACATAAATGAACGTTAATGTAAACATTTGGCACCATTTTTGAAATTCTGCAAAACTGGGAAAGTATTTGAATGTTTTTTCATCATATGGGGTGTTTCAAAAACACGCACCAACGCTCGGTAAAAAGTTCATATAAACGTAGGAACGACAACCGCGTTTCAAGGTTTCGGAATATGAGGTCATATAGACTATTTTGGAAAGATGTAGAGTAGTAAAACCTGATTCGGTATACAAAGGGACTACCGAGTGTCCCAATGAATAATTAAGGCACGTTCACATATATTGTCACATGTGAGTCACTATGATTTGTGCCTATTGTCTTGCCTAAGGCATGTGAGTGGTCAACTCACAAAAAGGAATGGAAATTTTAAAAGAAGAAAAATTACTCATTACGTACCATGCTTATCTCGATAGAAAAAAGAAAATGTAGGGTTGCCTTAACGACCATTTAACATCAGACAGAGATTTCAGCCTATTTGATATTTTTTTAAGTGAACACCAAGTATATTTTATGGGTATTCAATGCATTGCAATTATATATTTTATTTAATATATTTATACAATTTATTGGATAAATAATAATTAAGCACATACGACAAAATAGACTAATTTTCACTTAATTTGGCTTATAATTCAGATACACACAGCGTGTATTATTTATCAGCAATATCGACGGTACTAAGTAAGGTATAAATAAAAAAAATTCTGAACATTTTTTCCCTCTTTAAATTTTACAGGTATATCTAACTTAATCAAGTAGTGAAATTAATTTTAAAAAGCAGAACTGAAAGTAGATTCGATAATAAAAATCTTCAAAAATTGTTTTATTCATATTGTCTAGCTTAAACCTAAATAAATTTTTCTTTTGTTCCATCTTGTCAATAGTATAGATACAATCATTTCTTTTGGCCCCTTTTCTGATATTTTGTAAAGTTTATACTGAATTTTTCTTTCATATAAGTAATTATAAAATGTTTGTTGCACTGCGATGAAGATTATACTGGGTTAGTAAAAATTTCTGGAACATTTCAATGTCTCCAAAACTGCCCATGCTGGAACGATAACATTCAATACCCCCCAGGTATTGAATTGCTTTTTGATAGCTACATTTTGTTCTATTTATTATCCAAAGATAGACAAACATCACAAACTAAGAAATAAAAATGAGGCGTGCCGTTTTTTGCTTAGTTTACTTTAAAGTAGCTATTTTGCCACATGCTGAAGATTCAACATCCACAAAAAATATCGAAATTATAGCTAGTCAATATTACGCAACTTTATACTTCATCTGCCGTTGAGTTTAGTTTAGACAACTGGTTCAAACTTTCACAAACACCATTCTTCGCCGTTTTTTATTGTAATCGTCACACTTCTGAGCTTTCACAACAGTTTTTTTTTTTAATTCACACATTTCGCTTTGATCGATTTTCATCGTGTCGTCACTGGTATTTTTTCTTAACGTCCCTTTTCAATAACTCTCCCCAAACGTTTCTCAACGACCCCGTCGTTGTAGTACGGAACTTGAGTATCTGGGAGGAGTCGAGGCTCCTCACGCCGAAGAAACCAACGCTGGATTCGCGATCGTCATCAATGGCCACTCTTTGGTGCACTGCCTGCATCCGCAAATGGAGCGGTTGTTCTTGGACGTGGTGATGCAGTGCAAATCGGTGATTTGCTGCAGGGTGACGCCTCTGCAGAAGGCACTGGTCGTGGAGTTAGTGAAGAAGAACAAACACGCGGTCACTCTGGCCATCGGGGACGGTGCCAATGACGTTTCCATGATCAAAGGTACACTTTATACTTTATCGACACACGAAAATATTTTCCACGGTCTTCCTTCCGCCATTTGGTGCAATGCCTCGTGTTGTGCATTTCAACGATTTTGCAGTAATTGTTTTATTTTTAACATTTATGCTCGAATCTGTGCAACAATGTTGCAGTAATTGTTTTATTTAACAAGTACATTGCGATCTTTGTGCAATAATGTTGCAGTAATTGTTTAGTTTTTTGTCTTTATTTTAATTTTACATTACATAAACGTTGAAGACAGTTATACTTTTCACAAAACTTCTGGATTCTTCTGGATAGTTGGAGACAGTTGTATCACTGCATCGGTGTACACTTGTAATACAGGGCGGCCCGAAGTATAATGGGCAAACTTTAGTAGGGTATTCCGTGTATAAAAATAAGTAAAAAAGTTCATTTAAACTCATGTCCAAAAATGATTCGTTTTGGAAATAGAGGGACGCTGAAATATTGCGAAAAGAAAAACATTTTTTTTCCTTGTTTTTCAAAAAGTTTTTCTAGATTTTGATTTTAAACTCGCTAGGTATTGTTGACATTTAAAAGGAGTTATGGCCTAAATAAACTTGTTTTTGTTTAAGCAGTGGCGTTCGCGAGATCTTTTTAATTAATTTAAATGTTAGAAAAAAAAGGTGTATCTAGTTGGCGTACCATTTCATTAAATAATTATTTGGATATTTTAAAGTAGAGAATAGAAAAAATAATGTTAAAACGAAGGTAGGAGAATACTAAAGTCGGATTCATGCATCGCCATCTACCGAGATTCCAAAGGAAAACTGCAGACAAAACCTGACTTTCGTGTGGCCTAAAATTTTCCATTTCAATTTTTAAAATTGCCCGAGCACCGGTTACTTCGGATGGGGGTTATATTCGGTGTCATCGAACAGTTTTTTATTTCAATGTTTAAACGAATTTTCGCACCCGGTATATCTATGGTGGTTTTTGCAGCTGCCCACATCGGGGTGGGAATTTCGGGTGAGGAAGGGATGCAGGCGGTGCTCGCTTCCGATTACTCGATCGCCCAGTTTTGTTTCCTCGAACGGCTGCTTCTCGTGCACGGCAGATGGTCGTACTACCGGATGTGCAGCTTCCTGCGGTACTTTTTTAACAAGAACTTCGCGTTCACGCTGTGCCACTTTTGGTACGCGTTTTTTTGCGGGTTCAGCGCGCAGGTAGGTTACCATCAGCACTACCATCTAGTCAATCGATAATTGGCCACTTGGCTCGTACTAACCAAACCAAAAATTATATTTGAAGGGTACAGGGGAAAAACCAACATAGTCCAAGACTGATAAAATCGGAATTATCATATCGATACGTTGTCGAGGTTATAATTAAATATATTATATTATATATTATAATTATTGCCTGGGAACAACCCAACATAGTACTCCTGAATCACTTAAATCATCAACACAGTTCATAAAATATTAAAATCTGTGGTTCGTCCCGCTCGAATCGCGTCAAACGTTTTTATTTAATTGTTTTGGCACGTTTATTGTGTGCCGGAAGTTTTCTTCTTGTTTAAAATGTCTGACAGTGACGAAAACATAAGTGTTATTGAAGAAAAATCGCATCTCATTACGACCTGTGCCAATGCAAAATGCAGAACATTCTAGATTAAATGATTAAAGGTTTGGCCACAAATATTAAGGACGCGTACGAGACGTTTGCTTGTTGATAGTGAGTATATTAGTGCAGCGAAATTATTGAAAATGTTTAGAAATTTTACAAATCGGGATTTGCCTCTAGCATTGGAAGAGGAAGAATACGAAAACACAAGGAGAAGAAAAAGAAAAATATGGGTACACACAGCACCTGGAAAAGCAGATGCAGAGAAGGCGAATTTATCACATTGTACCCACATTTCATGGACGATGAGAGAAATTTTTTTTAATATTTCCGAATGAACCAAGCCACATTTCATGAACTGTTTGAAACACTACAAAGCCATATAAGTAAAAAAGAAGACACGTTTTGGAGATCTTCAATTCAAAGATAATAGAAATGTTACTTATTCAACAATCTATATAATATGTAAAAAATGCATTTATTTTCCACAAAAGATATAAATTAAAATTTATTTACTTAACCTAAAAAAATACAAAAATAAAAATTCAGCTAACTTAACTACTGATGTTGAGATAGAACTGGAAAGGTTTGTTCTAAAAAAATAGTCAAACCAACACACGCGTTAACAACCTGTGCTCGGTTGGGTTGTGTTTTATACTGGTTACTATAATTATTGCTGCGAATATGGTAGTGAAGGGGACTGAGGCTGAAGAGGTGTGGGACAATATCCTTCTAAAGGTGCCGCTAAATTATCTCGATCACAGGGCTCGGTTGATTGCGGCTCTGAATGGAATTGAGGAGAACGGACAGGTTTGAAAGAATACTCTCGAGGTGAGTCCAAGTTATCGTGAGGATGAAGCTGATCCAGGTAGTAGAATTTCTCTTTGGCTTGCCATTAACTGCCTAATTTCTATATCTTGAACAATACTAAATATTTTTGTTTTACCTTCATTCATTAACCTTTTGAGACGGAGGTAGACGTTGGTTAGCATTGTCAGATTTTTTTCTTGTAAAATGTATTGCATCAACGTTTCTTTTCCATCTTTTTCTTTTTGGTTGCGTTGAATGAACGAATGGTTCTTTAGAGCAATTGACATTGCTATGGGACACGTTTACTTCTTGATTTGAAGTGTTTGGGGATAGTTCTCTCATCTTCCACAATATTTTCAATTTCTTGGGATTCTTCTTCTTCGAAAATAGGAAAGTTCGAGGAAAAGTACCAGGCATTAAGAAATAAAAAATTATGCTGGAAGTAACACAATTATTGAATTCGACAACAGCTAAAACTTGAAAACAAAAAAAAAGAATGTTTAGTACCTGGTATTTTTTTCTTTGTATCTTTCTTATATATTTGGCTGTTGTTTTTCTGGCATGTTTCATATAACTTTAGATTTGTTTGTTGTTAATAGTGTTTACGCATTTTTTTTAACCGAAATGTGCTCTATAATTTATTTCACCTTGTCTGCTATTTACATATCTTCTGCTATTTTGGGCCAAATTCTTCCTCGGAGATCCGTGTTTTTATATTTTTCGTCTTTTAGATCGTACAGTGTAGAGTACTTCCTCACTTCTTTTAACAACCTCCCTACATTCATTTTTTTTTGTGAAAATCTGCTAGATATCTACTATACACGCAGAAATGCTCACGAAATAGGCACGAAAAAAGTAAACTGAACTCGTCATCTCGCACTCGCGTCGTTTATATGTGGCCAAACGCGTTTAGACCTGTAGTGCTCGTCTCGTTCATGTGAGGCCAGTTATGTTTAATGGATGGGATGTTTTTTTTTTGTCCTCCAAGAAAAGTTTCCTTTTCCTATTAGGCAACTAAAACAGTATTTATTCATCGTATAAAAATATGCAAAACTGTTGCCCGAAGAAAACTCTGCTGGTTTAAAAGTTCTAATGAAATTCTGTGAAGAAGATGAGTCTAAACTAGTAACACAGCGAACTTCTTTTTGCTACCCAACCCGGATCGTTAATGCCTGACTCAGAAAATGTGCCAGAGTTTTTAGTTCAGTTTACAGTTTTGGTTCTTTTATTGTCACGTAGAAATTCCTATAATGGCGATTCACCTTTTTTTTTTTAAATAAAAGTATTGAAACAACGGAATAAAAACACAATTATGTTAGCTATTAGACAAAAGTAAAATAGTTTGCTGAAAAAGCTAGACAAATGTCGGCTCCCTATCGTTTTAAATTTTGTTTCTTTCTTTCTCCGTGAAAATTGTCGTTTGAGGACTTGGTTAACTTCTCCCCTGCAACCTTCATTTATACAGTGTGTTTACTAATTGAACGGCAATAATTAAAGGGGCCATTTTTGGGTTCATTTTAAAAATAAAATTTCATATGAACGTATTTCCTAAACATCTTCACTTTTGAGATACAGGGTGGTAAAGTTTTCAAAAATAAAATATATTTTTTTAAATATATGTCTGCCCAAATAGATAGGTCAAATTCCGTACGCCTGCTACCGGTGTGTTGTAAAAAAATTGTGGTACACTAAATAATGCCTCGCGATACATAGTACATGTGTGCCAAATTTCATTAAAATATCTAAAGTGGTATTATGGATATTAAGAAAATATATTTTATTTTTGAAAACCTTACCACCTTGTATCTCAAAAGTTAAGACATTTATTACATATGTTCATGTGAGGTTTTCTTTTTAATGTGGATCCAAAAATCGCCCTCTTCAATTGGAAAACACGCTGTATATTGCAGGCCTTTCGTACCCGAAAAAAATTACAATATTTTCGTTGTTATAGTTGATATTTCCCCTCCGTCACATTTCTTCTTTTAACACATAGCCGTACACTTTACTCTAATGTACAACTGGAACGAGTCATGAGTATTTTCCTTTTAGACGGTGTTCGATCCCATGTACATTTCCATATACAACCTTTTTTACACGTCGTTGCCCGTATTGGCGGTCGGCATTTTTGATCAGGATGTCAACGACAAGAACTCTGTTCTCTATCCGCAACTCTACCGTCCCGGCCACCTGAACCTCCTCTTCAACAAGAAGGAGTTCTTCCTTAGCGCCCTGTCGGGCTGTTACGTGTCGATCGTCATTTTTTTCGTGGCATTCGGTAAGTGATTAGTTAGTTACATATGCCATATCGAAATCTTGGCGCCTAAACTAACCAAAATGAAGTGCTTTTTTGCTTGATTATCGTTAGCATTTTTTAAAATAAATAATTAGAAACAATTTGAACTTTAACCTATTTGTGTTAGAGAAACGGATGGGCTAAAAATTTTACAAAAAAAAAACTATATCAGGCAATGCTCCCTTTTTGCAGATAAAAATTATTTTGTTTTGTGATATTTTCAAATAATTAAATAACTGTTTCAGGTAAAAATCTGAACTGTTGGTTACGGATTGACAATTTGATGCTCTGTCATAATGAGGGTTCACGACAGTTGGATCAAATTTGGTTCCTCAACTAATTAGATCATATTTGTGTGATAGAAAACGATATGTCAGGGTTATGAACGCAATAAGTGAAACCTTGACAAATAATTGTGGCGTGTCTCATGGATTTGGTCTAAGACCGCGGCTATGTTCTCTTTTTGTTCTAAATCTGCTAGTGCAGGTCTTGAGAGCACATGCGAATGACACAGTAATGACATATTGTAAAGAAAATAGTACGCAACTTACTAATTTGGTCAACAGTGAAACAGTAAAAGTAAACACGTGATCTTTAAAGAAAAAAATAAACAGGTCCTTGCGAGATCAAAATTAATGATGTGTGGTCATAAACAAGGTTGGTTAATAGTTAATAGTTAGATGTAGAAAATTATTAATAAGCAGTGCTAAATATAAATTTTATAATACATATATTTTTATCTATTACCTATTTGGGATACTTGTGGGCAACTCAAATTCAATAAAACACAAGTCTTCCAGAAAAACTTAAGAAAAACTCTTGGATTATCCAACTCACTCAGACAATATCTTCACTATCCTAAAAGCTTTGCTAATTTCTGGTGTGCTTAAAATACCGAAATTATTTACATTAATGAAGCTTATGATAAAACTCATTTAAAGGGAACTTAAAAGCTTATTACAACTAGGGTCTCTAATAAACCTTTATGTGCCTCTGATACCAATACTTGAAGTAGTGTTTATTTTTTTAGGTTAGTTAGAAATCAGTTTAAGAAAAAAAAACAGTATATTTGTTGCCAAAAGGGTATTAACAATAAAAAACAAGTTTGGTTAGTTTTTTCAAAATAATTTCCTTAAAATAACGAATTGATTTTTGGATTGGTAATTTCTGACTTTGAACTCTCGTCTCCAGGTACTTACTACGACGCGGTGGCCCCGAACGGCCAAGGACTCTCCGACTACATGCTTTTCTGCAGCGTCGCGGCCGCCATCTTGGTCATAGTGAACACCGCGCAGATCGCGATGGACACCCAGTACTGGACGGTGTTCAATCACGTGACGATATGGGGCTCGTTGGCGTTCTACTTCGTCGCGGACAACTTCTACAATTACGTGTGCGGCGGCCCTTACGTCGGCAGCCTCAACTACGCGATGGCCGGCGCGAACTTTTGGTTCACCACGGTGGTGACGGTCACGTTGTCCATCATGCCGGTCCTCGCGTGGAGGTTTTATTTCGCGGACGTGTTCCCCACGCTGTCCGACAGGGTCAGACTGAAGCAGAGGTTGGCTCAGGTACGTTTACATTTAAAGGTTTTTTTTCAAGCTTTTATGCTCGTCGCAATAATAAAATGCAGGTTTAAAATATACGCAACGTCTTCCGACAAGGAAGCGCGATATTAGGAAAACGAAAAATAAAATCCGAGAACAAAGATTAATGTGCACAGTGCCGCAGGGATCAGTTCCCCTGCCGGTTTCTCGTTTTTGATCTTTACAAATGACTTTGTTGTACAAATTTTATTCTCGTGGAAGAGATACTCGAGAGACAGTAACAGTGACGACCTATCTTGATTTCACTCTGGAACCAACACTATCGTAAAAAAACAAACTAACACGTTACTGGTGTTATTAGCTTGGCTCTTTCAGCATTTTGGGGTATAAGTAAAAAGAAACTCTTTTAAACATTTCAAGGGATGGTAGAAAATTTGTTTATAGGATTAGAAACGTAAACAATACAAGAATTGTTATAAACACGAGTGGCCAATTTCGCCCTAATTGTCAATTACTGTAACACTCATGTAGGGAGTGATAAAAATCCCGTTGCTTACGTGCAATGTCGAAACAACAACAATGTTCTTTAAATGGTTGGATAAAGTATTGTTGGTCAGCCTTACTTCAAGCGCAGTGGGTGGGCGCCATCTTTTGGATGCACGACTAGCGGTGACGCGACCACCTTTAGACAATTTTGTGTTTTTTTTTTCGGATTGAGTATATGTTATCAATTAATAGCTTTTTTGAGATTTTGAGATCATATTAAAATTGATGGAAACCGTGACCATGTATATCACTTAGGTAATTGACACAAAATATGTTGTTGGTGCCTTATTACGAAATTATTACAGAATAAATTGATTTGTTAAACTTGGTATGTCCAGGTATCCAAAAAAATAATAAGACATGTTACCCAACAATGCTTGTTGGATAGTTTTTTCATTAACTGAGTCCTAAAACAAATCTAGTGAACGGCAATCCTGCAATTTACATACTTAGTAAGTGGGGAAATTTTAACTGTGGTCGCCAAATGACGTCCTGCTGCACAGTGTTGCCAAGTGGCTATATTTCTTCGATTTAACTAAGAAATTATACAAACTAGCAAAATTGTGGTTATATGCAATTTCCCATTTCATGTTCCATAAAAGTAATACAATTCACATTCATTTACTTTTTCTATTTCACTTTTGAGCCTTTCAAAGAAATTGTTAGCCACAGACTTTTGTAATAGCAAAAATTTATAGGATGTGATAGGGTGTTATTTAGTTGTGATAACTACGTACAAAACAATGTATTTACTCTATGTACATCAGTTGTTGCTGCTTCAAAATTATGAAAATAATGTCACTTAAGATTATCGGCAGAAATTCTACTCTGATAGATAAACGAAAATCAAATTCCATCGAGTTTTGGTCAATATTACCTTCAAAATGTAGCGGGGCCAAGCTTCAATAGTATGAGAGCTATTTTGACTGCACCTAGCCTCGTGCGCTATAAAAATTTGGATATAATCCAACAATAGTTTGTCTTAAAAGGAGAGGGCTTCTGGCTAAAAAGGATCCTTGTTGGTGCTCTGCGCGCTTGTGTACAGTAGGCGTTTCTAGGTCGACTTGTCTTGAAGATCCGACCCCGTTTATTATTGAATTGTTAGAAGTCGCTCATCACCAAAACCTATACGTATATCGTAACAGTATACTGTGAAACCCCTCAATACGGACACCTCTATTAAACGCACATGTTTTTTGAAACGAAATATTTGCCAACGTTTTACCTGTAAAACAAACTTTCACCGGACACTCCATTAAACGGAGGCGGACCATACTGTATGACTAAAAAAAAATTACTTCTCTTAAACTTCTTCAAATTAACAAAGTGTTTTGATTGGTTTTCTTGGTTGCGAGGTCAAAACATTCCAATATAGGGGCATTTAGTAAAGGCCAAGGCTCAAGAAATAGCCGAAAAACTTAATGTTCGACATTGGATGGCTGCAAAAGTGGCGCAAGAGGTATGCAATAAGTTTTAAGTGTATTGCCGAAGAATCAGCAGATGTGGTTCAAGAAGACGTAAATTAGTTTAGAGATAAGTTTACAATGCCGATGAGACTGGCCTTTTCTTTCAAGTCTTACCTAACAAAAAAGGTTTGCTTTGAAATCCGAAAAATGTAGTGGTGGAAAGCTTTCCAAGAAATGCTGTCCGATGTAGGGCATTTAAAAATGTAGCAATTCAAAATTTACCGGCAATATGGAGATTTAACAAATCATGGATGACACGAGACATTATGAATAAATGATTGTTACAATTTGACAGAAAAATACCCTACAAAAGCGAAAAATTTGTTATTTCTTTATAATGCAGCATCGCACCCAATTACAAAACATAAAAATTATCTTCTTCCCTCCAAATTATCGTGAACTCATACTGAAGCACATTTTATCAAAGATGGATCAAGTAATGTCTGCGTCAGATTTGTCAAAGTCTGTAAATATTTTACAAGCACTTTATTTTATTCAGTCAGCCTGGAAAGTTTCGTCAGAAACCATTCAAAATTGTTTCAAAAAAGCGGGTTTTCAAAACAATAATGATTTTTCCACAACAATGGAATGGTATCCAGAAGATAATATCCCACTATCTACGATACTTGAAATGGAACGATGTGTTAGAGAAATGAACATAACGCAAGAAACTCTTGACAATATTACAGCGACTGAGGAGACTAGTTTCAGCATTGAAGATGCAATTGAAAACAGGAAAGAACCTGAACCGGAAGAAGACAGTGATCAATAATATAATAGTGGGGAACCTAGCATAATTAACAGCTATAATGAAGCCTTAAAAATAATTACCGATCTAAAAGTTTTTGTAAAAACTTTAAAAACCTTAAAAATTTAGAAGATCGTTTTCAGCCAAGTTTGTTAAAGCAAAAAACAATAAATATGCGTCAGACTAGTATCTTCGAGTTTGTCAATAAATAATTAAAGTTCATTCATCTACATTTTTTTCTAGAGTTTTGTGTATGTTTTTAAAGAAATAAACGTAATACATACTTACGATTTATGTTGTTTTTTTTTTTCATGCACCTCTAATGAGCGGACAAGTGTCCAGTTATGGATTTTTTCACTGTAACTGAAAGCTGGAGTACTCAAAATTGTAATTTAAGTATAATATAAAACTAACCTAAACCTTGAAGGGTCAATTATCCGCCATCACAAGTTGCGAGGAGAATGAAAGGATAGAAGGAAGACGATCTAAAAAATGATAATTGAATATTTGGCAACAACAGCATTTTTCCTATCTACTAAATACGTAAACTGCAGGATTACCAATCGATCTCCGCGCACCGTCCCGAAAACTCGTGTCAGTCGCATCTCACGTCCCATTGTTTCCGGTTTTATAGGTTAGGTCGAGGCAAAGTCAGGACGTGCTGCGCACTCCGTCTGCGCGTCGCGCCAGACGTTCCATCCGTTCCGGTTACGCTTTCGCCCACCAGGAGGGTTTCGGGAAACTCATCACGTCCGGAAAAATCATGCGCAAGCTTCCCAACTCGGAGTTCACGATACCGAACATCATGAACAAACTGAACATGTCGAACGCCTCCAAGGAACACAAAAACAATTCGGCGCTGTCGCATGACGGCAGTGGGGGGAGGGCCCCGATCCAGGACCTGGATACGATCAATTTGTGATAGTAGTGGTTATTTAGGGCGGGAAATTAGGAACTATGCGAGTTTTCTGAAACGACCTCGGGAGACTTTTCGAGGTAGGTAGGGTACTTGGGTGTTACCGGTTCCTAAGGAGACGCTCTGGACGCTTTCGCGTCGCTTGTGCCGAGTCTGGAACGATTGTACGAATAAATTTCGTCTCTTGTATATATATACAGGGTGCCTCGATAATCGGAACCGTATGAGAAACTTTTGTATTATTAATTAAAAAACAAACACTTAATTTCTTAAGAAAATATACCAAAATTTAAAATACGGTCGTCGGTTATAGATTTTTTCCAGTAATGTACGAGGTTTGGCCAAAAATTGTAAATTGCACATGTTTTTCGTTATTGTCACATTTAATGGCCCTTTACTATCTGGTAAAGTTCATATTTTCGACGCACCTCGTATGCTACCGGATTTTTGGATTTTAGATTTTGGTTTCCCCAAAATTAATAATAAAAATGTTTCCCTTACAGTGGCAACATTCTGAGACTCATTGTATACTGGGCGTACCGATAATTGGCGACAGAAAAAATGCTTTAATTAGAAAATTGCACACGAGCGGGGGACACATAACCTAAAATTGTTGTCATGTATACAGGATGTTTCATAAGTGCTTAAAAATTGTGTTTTTTACGTGATAAGGTGGCGATTTTAATGAAAAAAAAAAACATACATCAATCGCTTTATTTTTTAGTATACAGGCTCTAAAAATTAAAAACATTATTCTCTGGTTTTTGCTAAAACTGCTTTATATATGTGGTTGAGTGCTCAGTTGGAGCATAGACAAAAACTCTTTTCCAACTTTACCGAAAAAAAAAAAAATGGTGCGCCGCTGCACTTTTCGAAAAAAAAACGTTTTTCGCTAAAACTCTTGCGTTGCCCGAGCGGAATAATTAAAAAGAAAAAAAATCTTATTCAATCGTTAGCCGTTAACCGTTTGAGCTCTGGATTTTTGTACTTTATATGGCTATTAAAATCTCGAAAATCTCTACACAAAATTTTGTTCGATTTGAACATTTGAAACAGTTTCTTGATACTTGAAATTTTTTAAAAGTGATATTATTATTACTTTTTGTTTATAAGGAAATAAAAATTACTCCTAGAACAAGTATCTACCCAGCTGTTCCACAAAAAACTTTGCATCTTTAACCATATTATAAGCAGTACATGAAATGAGTTTCTTTTGGTCGGAGACTACAGTGCAAATAGAGCTAAGGTATTTTGAAAAACAGTTACTGGTACTTAAAAACTGTTGTAGAACGTCAAGGTTAGCGTTATTAAAACTGCGTTTTAAGCTTTTTGTGTCCGGTCTAAAGTAACTTGGCCAGAAAGTTTAGACTTACTTTATGTATAGTTATTTTTAAATGAGTCGCCAGAGACCAGAAGAAATAGATTGCTTCAAAATTATTAAAAATTAGATGTGATTTTTTAAAAATTATCAAAACAGCGTGAAGCCCAACAAAATGTTTTTTGTAATATATATGTAATGTCTAACGTTGCCACCACTGAACCCAGCTGTCTTAACTATTAACTATTTCGATTTCGTATGAAAACATTTAAAAGAATTTCTATGTTTACTGAAACGGATTTGTCATTTTTCACAATTCATGCGGCTAGGACTTCCACGTGTCTCTAACCTGCAGCGTTATTTGTCTATCTATATAGGCCAACGATTAGCTAATACCTCTGAACGTCCATTGGCGAGATGAGTTACTAGTACTTCTGTAGCCGAATACCTTTTTTGTATACGTATAATTTTAGTTTACGTCTCTCACGTAGCCGTTGAACTTTTTAATTTAAAATGTTTTTTCCTATTTTTCTTGACGCGTTATAGGGACGCCCTGCATATATATCAGACGAGAAATTTCGGCTCGCGGAACGCTATGAATTAAACAAGTATTTTAAATCGTAACTAGACTTGATGATAACTTTAAGCTTTACTAGTCAAAAAAAAGTATGTTTTAATGTTAAGAAATTTCTTATTATGAAAGTTATATTTAAAAGAAGTATTTGCATTTTGTTTTTTTATTAATAAATTTATTTTTTCTGTAAAGCGATTTTGGTCGTGACCTTTCGTGACTTTTCGAACAAGTTTATATATTTGGTAAGTGTTCATCGCACAAAAACTTTAAAACTAATTACCTATACATACTGGTGTACCGGTGAGGACTCGCATTTTGACTGGCTGTGACTTTTTTGCTTTTAAAGATATAAAAAAACACAGATTTAGGGAAGTTTTTGCCTAGAATGGTACGCTATATATTTTAATTATTTCAATAGAACGCGTTGTTTCTAATTACAATCATACGGGGTGTCTCACTGTTAGCTTCGTCGATCTGTTGTGGAAAATGGTAAGTAGCCAATTTTGAAAATTTGGAATTGGGGGCGATACGGCTGAAAAAATTTCAAGATGGCGGCATATCCTGATATACCCAAAGGGGGTGTCAGCTTTCATTATTTTCAATGGAACACCCTATGTGTTTTTGCTTTTTTAAATTCTGCGGAAAAGTCTAGCCATAGGAAATATGTCTTCACCGTTTCTGAGACATTTAACATTTTATATCAAAAAGTTATTTTACTTTAATACTTACCCTGTAGAAAATTGTCTGATCTTTTGTTAGTAATGTGGTTTACTAATAATACATGATGTTCAAAAAAATAACAAAGTAAAAGTGAAAAAACTAGCCAAACTTTTTTTATGAGAACTTATCAAATAGTGTGATTTTGGGGAAAACTCGCCTAGCCATTTTTTCATTTTTGTATTTACCTCCGTATTTTTAAAAACAAAAAAGTTACAACCAATCGAAATGGTACCGAGATAAATTGAACGCACGGTATGTAAGACAGAGGCGGCGAGCGAGAATGGCTTCCTTTAAAGAAGCGGGCATTTGCGAGGCCATGGAGTTTTACTGTAGCGCGGTAGAGTGGCAGCAGAAACAGGATGGCGACCCAATGGTCGGGGTACAATCGTTCGGATCAGGAACGTAACGCTTTTAGATTGACACCATGGGACACTTTCTTTTTGGTGCTTTATGTCGTAAAAGATGCGGTTTGAACCCGGGCACCGACTACTTGAACTCTACGTAAAATGTGCAGAAGATCCATAGAACGTGAAGTAGGAGCGGAAAAAGGTGGTAAGCGAGACGGTGGGTCAGTCTGAAAAAACAGCGATGGGCCCCGTGTGACAGTTCGGAGGCAACATTAGGGACACCCCCGTTCGCCGACTTACACTTGAAGCGTGTTTGTGTTGTAAATTAAATAGTTTTTTAATGGCTGATGTTTTATTTGGCGTATATATCTCTACAAATCGTCGAACAAATTAGGGCAAACTGCAATAGATGGCGCGATAGCGCAGCCAGCCTTCCTTAATACAGAACTATTTGAAACAAACCCGAATAGCACCATCTTTCCTTGAACCTCAAATCTAATTAGTTGAAACGAACGTTAATAGAAAGCAGAATAATAGCGCCATCTCTCGTTAAACACCTAAACTTGTTAGTTCGCACCAGAGGCAATAGATGGCGCCGTTGTAGCGCCATCTTTTGAACGCCAAAACTAGTTACTTTCAACGAACGCCAATAGATGTCAGAACAGTAGCGCCATCTCTTGTTGAACGCCAAAAATAGTTACTTTCAACGAACGCCAATAGATGTCAGAACAGTAGCGCCATCTCTTGTTGATCGCCAAAAAGTAGTTAGGAAGTGAAAATGGATCGCCCAATAATAGCGTTATCTCTCGTTAAAACCGGAAACTAGTTCGAATTTGGGCGAATAGGTGGCAGGAGAGTGGCAACATCTTTTGTTAAACCCTCGAACTATTTGAGAAAAACTCCAATATATGGCAGGACTTGTTAGACACTGGAAGTAATTAATAGAGATAAACCTCAATAGGTGTAACTAATTCGTTGAATTAACTATTTCTACGGGAGAGAAAAGGCGCATCTTAAAAAACGACCATAAATACTTATCCATCGTCAAACTTCTTGAGGTTTACCGTGGAGCAAAGAACACACTCAAACCAGAAACCTTTGCAACAACCCCCCTACGGGTTTTATGACCCGTCTTTCCAAAGTCTTCCCTCTACCCCTTAAACACAAAAATTAAAGGAGTTCGTTTTCCCAATCTAATTTTATTGTGCACACACTGTACAGGATGTCCCAAATTCGAGCGGGACTATTGGTATCTCAAAAACTGTAAAACATGCGAAGTCTGTTAAATAGTAGCAAGTTGCGTATTGTGTCGCTTAATTTAAAACTGTTTCAATATAAAGAAAATTCCGATTAGTTTCGGAGATATCAGGAAAAACCGAAAATCAGAAATTTCTATTGAATTTTCTCCTGGCCTTAATTAAAAAAAAATTGAAAACAAACGTAAAACTTTGTATTACGAACAAAATTTGTTGTACTATTAGGTCTCCATACAATTAATCTACTCTGTATAACGAATTTCTGACTCTCTATACCGAAAGAAAAAAGGGCACGACTTATAATTAATAGAGTCTCTTACCTTCTCAGAATTCCTTGCCCAAAATCGAGAACCTGGTCGTCCTAAGTGTTTTTCTCGGAATAAGCGATTATGTTAATGCCTTTATCTGTATGTATAAAAGCACATCATTGTTTCAATCAGTTCGAACTTGACTTTGTGACGTGCCAAAATCTCAGGGGCGTATGGTAAATGGCACCACAGTACCCGGCTAGGTTACCCGTAGATATTCAGGGTAGTTAAGCTGCTATCACCAAGCCCTAACAAAATGTTGAATTCTGGGCACCACGTGAATTGTGAATCTACGGTCCGGCTTGGTTACCGCAGCTGAACCAGACTGAACAGCACAAGGTGAGCCCCCAAATCACGAAAAAGCTCTGCCTGCTGTGCACCTCGGCACCTTCGCAGTGGGCTCAACTTCTTAAATGGGGCAAGAAAATGAAACTCTAAATTTAAGTGAATGAATTTAATTAAGATGGAAATAATATAACCTAATTCGGTGAAACTTGCTAAACCAATGTACAATGCTAAAGCTCAACCAACTAAATTACGGGTGTATCAGGTGATTTTCTGAAACTTAGTAAAGTGTGCACCAGGGGTATACAGAGCGCCCGCGGAGAACAGGTACTGCAACGTGCGATAGTAGAGGTTATTTTCGAATAAATCGGGCTAGTGCCACTCATACAGGTGCGTCACAACAGGGGACGGCCACTTAAAGCATTAACAAAATCCCATATAACTAACGGTACCTCACAAGCTTCATAGTTTCATGTCCCGTTGCATTACCGTCCTCGGCGTCCACCGCTCGCCACGTCCTGGCCCAAGTGTTTCTAGGCGGAATACATATACAGTGCACGGGGCTCAGTCAATAAGTGGGTCACAGCTCACAACCCAACAAAAGCAAGTCCAGAGACAGTGCACGGGCAGACTCCGTGCCAATCAGTGGGTCACAGCTCCAAAAATCCAACAGAACCAAACCCGGACAAGGAGAAAAACCAGGAAGATAAAAAAAAACCCTAAAAACAAGCGTCTCTAGAAACACTACCCCCTAACAGCGTAAAATTAGAAAACAGTGCCAGATTAGAGCAAGGTTAACCTACCTCGGCCACGAGGGTTTTCTTAATGGGGGGACCAACGATGTCGGGTGCCCCTAGGAGGCTCTATCGGGAATTGGACGGCAGATAAATCCCCTCTCGGGAAACTTGTGCACCCAAGCAACAAGTCGTAGTAGCCGCGGCGGAAGGCTCGATCCCCAAACTCGGGAAATTTCCAACCAATATTCCAATCACCTTCACCAGGCTTCTGCCGCCATCAAATCCATCGAGGAAAAAGAGGAGTCCCAAAACCCCGTTCACCACCTTAACAAACAAAAAATTGGAGGGAATCGAGGCCTGAGAATAGGAACCGATCGAAAACTAGCAAAACAAAATAACCCTAGGCACAATACCAACCTAACACTTCCAAACCAATACTTCGGAAATCCGGAACAGAACTACTACGGACTTCGATAGAAAAATCTACTGCTTCGCTGTAAAGCAGCTTTGTATAACGTTCAAAAAAAATAAAACCCATTAGGAATCAAATCCGAATTTGTAATTTTCGGGAACTATGCAACCAGTATTTTACCAACCCACAGAAGCCGCGCTAAGCCTCTAATCGGCGTTAGCCACATTCACTAAGGACTCTCGCCCAAATAATACGACGGTCCTAATCTGTAATAAATTAATATCTTAAATACGCCAATAAAGGGTAATAATAAAACGGAACCGTGACAACTTAGTGAATACGGCGAGCATGGCGAGTAAGCCAAAATTTTATCTCTAGATGATAAAGTTGCTTTATTTCGGGAGATGGAACGGGGAGAAAAGCAAAGTGACGCGGGACTTCGATACGGACTTACACCGTCGATTGTATCCACGATTTGGAAGTGCAAAGAAAAAATCATTCAGGCTGAAGCGGCAGGCAGTTCTAGTAAAAAACTAAAAACGCTAAAATTTAAAGATTTGAATCGGGCAATGTTGTAGTGGTTGCCAGATAAAACTCTTAAATGTTGAAGCGAAAAGTGTATGGGTGGAACTTTCTAAAGAACGTATAATAGTGTTAGTGGCTGCCAATATGAGTGGGAAAGAAAAAAGAAAACTAGTCGTGATTAGAAAATCAACTAACCCACGATGTTTTAAGAACATCAAGCATTTGCTGGTCACTTACAAGCCAAACAAGTCTGCATGGATGACATTGCAAATTTTTGAAGAGGGGATAAGGAAATGGGAATCAGAATTAAAGAGGAGGAAAATATTATTTCTTTTAGATAACATCCCCATATTCCAAATCTACGGAATATTAAATTGGCATTTCCTCCAACTAAAACAAGTGTATTACAGCCGATGGACCAGATGCGGTCAACTTTATTAGTAAAGCTTGGAAAGAAATGACAGCAGAAACAATTCAACAGAATGTGAACAGGACTTGAAAGATGAAGATTTCATGGTGATAGATCAGTATTTGCCTACAACAGCAGACTTGACAGAGCAAGCCATATTACAACAAGCAAGAAAGGGTGAAGAAGAGCACCAAGAGGAAGAAAAAGATGAAGAAGTTGATCTGGGACCACCACGAACCATTCAACAAGCCCTATATTCAGTTAAGCTGCTAGAGAAATTTTTTATGTATCATGGGGAAGATGCCCCCCACGAAGAAATGGTGAAAATACAATCCAAAGTAGGAGACGCGTATTGACATACTAAAAAAATTCTAAAGAAAATGACCGATTATTTGAAACATTAAATGTAGTTCTTAAATATTTATATAAAATGTTCCTACGTAGATGTTAAAATATGTATATATAATAATTAAATATTACAGAACACATATGCGTATTGTTATTTTCAATTTCGCTATATCGAGTTTCGACTGTACTTCTCATTACAACTTTTGCTTCCTCAAAGGTTTGTATTATGAAGTCTCAAGTATGGCGAAGAACAATTTTTAACTACAGACCTGCATCTTTTATTCAATACTTTGAACCAGTTCGTCATTCAGAAAAAACACATGTATGCACTCTTAATGATTTACTAAACAATACTGCCCTAAAATTGACTACCAATACCAATAAATACCTAAAATTGATAATAAAGCCAAATTTACACAATAAAAATAATGTAGCCACGAAAAAAAAAAGCATTATTATCTCAAACAGTTTTGTTAAATATTAGAGTTTTATTTTAATAACTAATTATTACGGCAATCGCCAATTTTGCCTATTTAACCGATGTCAGATCTCTTACGGTTTCAAATAGATTTCTATAGTGTCTCTCGAAAAAAAAATTGATTAACAGAAACCTTAAACTAAATTATGAGTATCAGGGCAGAATAAATCTCAGATTAAACAATAATTAGTAAAAAAGTGACACAGAAAAAAGTGATATATTTTACGGGTAATTTTGCTTTCATTACATCTAAATGAAGCATTAATTGTGCACTTTTCAATGTTGCCCTTCTTTATCCAATATTGCCTACCTCTCTTGTAGTTTGTGTTTTGGTGTTTTTCGCGCTAGCAATTCTCAGTTCTTATATGGTTTCCTCTTGGTAAAATATGTTGTTCAATATGTGAATTCAAATTTCGGCGATGTTTTTGATCTCCGCGATAGCAAGACTTCTCTGAGAGATTTCTCTACCCCACCATGTACATGGAATTAAAATTTTAGTTTTTGTGGCGCATTCAACCTTCTATTTCTTTTTAGTTAGAGTAAAATACATTTACCTGGTATAAAGCACTCATAATTTAAAAGTTAGTTTACTAGAATGTTTTGGGTGCCGTGACATCATTTAACAAGAGAACAAAAAGGCCGTATTATTTACTCGCAGTAGAGTATAAAAATTCGTGGCCTTCTGATTAATTAAAGATTGGGCTTTTTAATTTACCCGAGCAAAGTAGAGTTAGGTGATGTGCCCTAGGTGGGTTTACAATTACTATGCAATACAATCGTTACAACTCCACTCACCTCAGAAACGAGCCCCATGATGCTTGACTTCGCATAATTGTATGCCTGCATGCTCCGCAAAATCACCGACACCTGCTTTTGTAAATATCTTATTTTTTAGCCCTATTACGAGAAACTTATTTAAAATTTCTAAAAGATCTGGATTATGGCACTAAAGCCAACCGCCTAGATGCACAGAAATTAATTAGTAATCTGTGCTTCTCGCGCAACTTGGTGTGAAACGTATAAGAAGAAGGAACGTGTCTGTTTTTTTCCCAGAATGCCTAGATCACCAAGGCCACTCGCCCATTACCGATACCCGCTTAGGGTACGGTAGAATACGTTTACGTCCCCCGGCGATTATTTTAGACACTTTTATAGGGAAATTTAGCAAGGATAAAAAGTACTAAAAACAATGAATAAGCTAAAATTCTATTACTTCCCTTTTCCCCATTTATCTGAAGAAAAAATAAGGCAATGTAATCGATAATGCAATTATATATTTGTATATAATAAACAACAAAACAAAAATATATTCGTAACTTTTTGTGTATTTATTAACACATATGTGATAAATCACAAAATTTGGTCAGAGAGAGCCGTTGTCGTATAAATTCGGTAAGTTAGGTTAGGATACGAGCTCCATTGGCCAAGTAGGGAATGTATTATGCAGCGGTAACACTAGTTCGAGATTCCTTCGTGACGAGCTGTAACAACGTTCCTGATTCGGGCCTTCCTTCCCTCTTTGCCCACTTGACAAAAAGATCCGCGACAAACTCCAACGGGGTCCAAGTCGAACGGTCCGCATCGGGCATCCACTTTCTGTTCATGGGCGTATCTAGCGTTACGGGTAGAATTGCCAGCACCACCGAATTTTCCGGAAGCCCTCCGCTTTTATCCGCAAGAGATTTGGTCAAGTGGTGCACTGCACTTTTCGCCAGACCGTACCCTATCATCCCGGGGGTCGGTTCGAGTGCGGCTTTCGCTCCGGTTAGTTGCAGGACGCCAGATTCGTTCAAATATTTGGCTGCCAAGGAGGCTGCGATCAGCGAACTGCACACGCTCTGCTGCCACATGAGCTCGGAATTCTTGCAAAGGTCTTTCTTAGCGTTACCTCCAGCCCAACCACCGGCTACACAAAAAATACCGTCCAATCTCTCATCCTTTAGCGCTTCTCCGACTGCTGCTATTATAGAAGTCTCCTGTCCCGCGAAACTTTCATTTTTGTCAACGACGATGTTACAGTTTGCTTCCGGATTTTCAGCCAAGTCGATGCTGCCCACCCAGAAACTGTTCGCTTTAAAATGGGACACACATTTAGCGCCCAGCGCTCCTCTGCCGCCGTAAATCAAAACTCTTCCGGCGTACGCCATTTTTGTAACCGCTATCGATTTGTTAGAAGGAGCACTCGCAAAGAACGAATAAACTTGTTCTCCTTTCTAAAATTTACGAGCGGAACAACGCCTTCCACTTTGAGGTTATCGTGACCTTCGATGGATGTCGGACATGTTCTGATAAATATTTCATCAATCTTGACACCAATAAACACGTTTTTGTGCCGTTGATATAATCCCGATTACCAGATTTTTTAATACGAAATGCACAATCACAAAAATTGCAAAAACGACATCAATAGAAACTTCTATTAAGCAATTATGATTGTTCTGTCCAATTATATATTTTTTTCAGTGTTATACCAAAAGTGAAAATACACTGCCCTGCTACAACTTCAAACAATTAAGACCTAGTATTATGAATTTTATATCTATCTATCTATAATGTTCCAATCGAAATGAACATGAGGGAAGTATTTTCCGGTTAAACACGATTTTGTTGCTTTTACTTACTCACCTGATGTAATTTTATAAGGTATCCATTCCAAATATTACTTCAAGACACACATAATGTATTTTCACTTAAAACACATTGCACCCTAAAAACAATCTTCACTCTATCGAAATGATTGTTTATTAAATAACAAAACTAGAAAAATATAAAGAAATATATAACCTAATTAAATAATCCTTGTGACAAACGTGTTTTTTGGTTAGTTTAAGTCTGCCCAATCAAACAAAATAAAACGATCTTTGCTTACGTATTAGAACATAGGGAATTAAATCATAACGAATAACAGGAAAACATTAAAACTGGTAAATAAGTTTCGAGCTACTGTTAAGGTGCCAGTGGAGAGTTAAAGTTTAATTTTATTATTTTAGGGAGTCATATTTGCAGACCCGCCTGCGTCCTCATGGTGCATGCAAATGAACACAGGTCGAAACATTTTTGTTTTGATGTTTATTTTTTGATGCAAATAAAAATTTGCAAGAAATTTTGTTTCTTGGGGCACTATAAATATAAGTGTTTGTAAATCACAAATCGCCAACAATGCCGATTCCATACTTTTCAAATATATAAACTAACAGCGCATATGACATGTATCATACGCCTTTTGTAGGTCCAGAAAGACCACCGTCCGGATGGATAGAAATTTCGTTAGTGAGCTCCACCATTCAGTTATTAGTACTCATCCCTTGAATGAAAGCAAATTGACGGCTGTTTAATAGATTGCTTCAAATCAAAGAGACGCTTATGAAGACATTTTTAACATATTTTGCTTAAATTTGATAATACACTAATTGGTCTATAATTACCGAGATCCGATTTACATCCCGCTTTATATATAGGGGATACTATAGACATTTTAAACTGATAGGGTATTTTACCAGACTTAAAAATATCATTCTTGTGATATGACAACAAAGGATCAACAATACGTAAGTGTGCAAATTTTATAACTTTTGAAGTGATTTTATCATTTCTTGGAGCATAATTCTTTTTTAAATTATTTATGTATTCTATTTTCTCATTTTGGGATAACTTAAAAACATTGATAGTTCACTTTTTTGTTTTATTATTATAGAGATGGGCAACTCTATTTTAGCAATCATTTTTTCTCCTATTTTGATAAAATATTCACAGAAGTTATTAGCCACTTCTTTTTTATCAGTTATTAAAGTATTATCTTTTTTTAAGTACATGTTTTCATTAAGTCAGCTTTTATTTTCATTTGCAGCTTCATTAACTAGTTCATAAAGCGACCTAATATTTTTATTTTCATTGACTTTTTGCATACAAAAAGAATTTTTAGCATTCATTATAAATTTATTTTACCAATTTCGATCAGTTTTGTAATCAGTGCAGGTGTGTGTGTGTGTGTGTGTGTGTGTGTGTGTATTTTTTTATTTTGTATCTAGTTTTTTAAAAGTATCCATAGTTTTATTGTACGGTAATTTTGATTGAAAGCTACTATCTGCTGAGACTTATCTACAATCTTACCTAACATATTAATGAGAAGATCAATTGCCATTCCAGGCTCATGAATATCTAAAATATCATAAATTTGTCAAAGTTTTTTTTTTGTTTTGTGGGAGATATTTTCATCTGCACCTTCTGTCCTACAAGAATAATTTATGTGGACTTGCAGATGGTCTGTGATTTCATGATCAACAATTGCAGCTTGCGCCTTAAACGGGAAATTAACTTTCGTTTTTAAGAATACATGACTGCGGTCTACTGACGTTCTGATATAGAGAAACAAAACCATGTGTTGCTATCAGACCAGACAGGGCCATCCATATTAATACATCCAAAATTAATATCTCTAAGAAAAATGTCAATGTCTCTAGCTGGTATATTAGCAAAATAGTCTAAGTCTAAATCCTTGAGAGAGTTTATAGAGTTTGAGTTTGGAGATCGATAACAATTAAACTAGATATATTTATTCCACTAATTTCTCATAATAAAAAATAAAATCGAACTTAAAAATTGAATATAAATTATGACCTTCTGTTAAAATCACTTTATTACACTCACCAAGATTATAAGTCTGAAGAAAAACCTATCCAGATTGCACTTAACACCTCTAATGTTTGTTAACTGTAGTTAAAGTGCTATTTTAAACCTGCGACAAATTCATTTTTTTATGTTTTTTTGTCGTCTCTCTGCAAGGAAATTGGTGGAGGTGTTTCGAAAAGTTTCTAAAATAAATATTCGCATTTCCAAAAAGGTCCAACGAATTTTAGTGCACTTGGAGTAGTTAACCACCAGATGGCGTTTTCTGACATACCCTAAAAAAATAATAATTTGATTAGATAGTCAATTAATTAGATTTTGCTAAAAATCTCCACTGATTATTATCTATTTATTATATATTAAATAAAATATTTTTTTTAGTTTATTTTTTTACAATACTTCGAAGGGCGCCAAAATACAACGTACCTGACATTTCCACGTTTTAACTTAGCAGTTTTAAACTTCTTTTTTAACATTAAGTGCTTTATGATAATTGAGCCTTAAAAGAGTTCAATTTGACCCATCCTGTACATTTTCGCCGGACCGTTTTATAATAGGTCCGATAAACAACAACGGGGAACAATCAAAAAAACGCAACGTAAGAAAATGAGATAAAAATCTTTTAATCCTAGATTATAACCGCGAAAAGTGTTTTTCCCTGCCCGAATAGCTTCCAATTTCCGCCGCGCCATTTGGAAATTCAATTACTTATCAGCGGTAAAAATTTTACGACGCTTCCAAACACCCGTAACTCGGACATATTGATGTCAAATGGTTTGTTTTACGACTCCCGTATTCGCGAAATATCAAAAATATTGTATAATACAAACAGCGTTTTCAATTATTGTATTGAAACAAAAAAAAAAACTTAAAAAATACGGAATTTTCAAATGTTCTATTCCAGAAAAGTGTAGAGTAATGAAGTAATGATACTTCCGTTCAATATAGACGTGCGATTAGTAAGGTTATATACTGGTATAGAAGAGACTAATAATCGTCCATATTGGAAGCGGTATAAAAATAGACGTACAATATTTCAGCCACCTAATATTCGCTCACGATATAATACTACTCATAAGCAGAACAGTGGAAGAACTCCAGCAGATGCTAAAACAGTTGAAAACGGACTCACAGAAGCAAAATCTTAAAGTCGAAATAGAGAAAACGAACATATAAGACTGGGTACGCACAATCAAAAAGTCCAATAAACCTAAAAAGAAAAACATTCAACATTGCACTCATTGATCAATAAGATGGACTCAGAGATCTCTAGGGAGAGCTATGTCGAAAGACCATTTTCAAAATGAAAAAATGAGGAGAACAGGAGCCGAAGTAAAGGCTCAACAGGTGAGTGACCGATAAACTAAAGTATTTGAACAATAGAAAGTGCGGAAACATAAAGCAAGCACAGAAAGACCATCAAACGCTGGTGAGATGATATCAATCCAAAAGGGAGGTCTATATCCAGGAGTAGCAGTAACAGGCTGTTAGAGAGGAGGGCAAGAATTGGGACATTTCTGAAGACTGTTTTAGAGAAGTGATGAAATATGCTTTGATCAATTCATTAGTAATTATGGACAACGTAAGCTTTCATGCTATCATTCACGACGCATATGAAAAACTCCACGTTCGTCTTGGAGGAAACAAGAAATTATCCACCAGAAATATTGAGGATAATTTGATGAGAAGAAACAAAATCCTGTAGAGTGACAACAACACATTTAGCACCATAGATCTGGCCCAAAGCAGTTCAACATGCCATTAAAGAAGAGGAGAAAATGTGGAACCAAGAGGAAATGACCAAGAAAAAATAAGGGTACCTAATACCTGTACATAATGTGCCCCAAGGAAGCAATTATTTTGTTTATCAATGGTCTTCCAAAAGCCCTTTGTGGCTCTATTGGAGGGCTGCCACCAATTGCAAGCTGATTTGGTCAGGATTACGGCACATTACGGCATGAAAATTAATGACGATGACAAAATGTGATCACTTATCGGCGATTTAAACAGAGTCAACGAAGTTAAGCGCTTGGCTGTATATTTCCACTTAAACATGAAATTCAACAACCATTTTATTGATGTCAACAGTAAAGCATACAAGTCTGTTGGCTTCTTAATAAGGAACTCAAGAAACTTGTAGAATCAGACTTTGAGTAATAATAATAATAATAATAATAATAATAATAATAATAATAATAATAATAATAATAATAATAATAATAATAATAATAATAAGATCTCTTTGGCTCTAAATTGTATTGACTTGATCGAAAAAGTACAAAAATGATTTTTAAGATGTCTGTAGTTACCTGAGGAGATATAAATCCGTTTATGATGCACTTAAAAAAGACTTTTGGAAATGTTTAATAATAAAAAAATGCTGCAACCGTAATCTCATTTTAATGTTCCTAAGAAACCCCAATAACAATTAATTTGAGTTGAAGTTCCTATTATTAATACCCCCACTGGACAGAATGATATGTAATTGTAATGTTTTCGTATAAAAATATATTTACTCGTTTTTGCCAAAATACAATGCCTTGACTTCCTTTTCCTCAGTAGCGTGTAAATATTGGTGTTAAGCGAAATATAACATTTTTGAAACTAATTACGTATATGGAACAGACACTCTGCCTATTTATGATTCCTTGAAAAAAACTTGAAATTACCATTAGAAAAATAAATTTAAGATGATGCTTACCTACACAATGATCTTCCCTGGGTAAATTATCACGGCAGCGTCATAACCACCATCTATTTGAGCGAAATTAAATTATATTTCCTATAGGTAGGAGAGTCAAGTCCGTATTGGTAGCGTGTATCACAGCCCTCAAATAATCGACTTCCTCTTGGCGGACGTCCCAACCGCTCAATTGCCCCAAAATCCTTAAAGAAGGGCAGTGTCCCATCAGCAATTCCACTGATGTCGAAGTCAGGCTTCTAGCGTAGGAAAACCATATTTCTTCCAGATGGTTAAAGCTGCATTCCGCGCACAATCTAGAAGTAAAGTGTGCACTTTTGAAAAATATTCCGGATAATAGTCTTACTGTATTGGATAACGCAGCTTGCTACAAAAAGCACCGATTTCATCAAAAATAATTCATATGATGTTAAAAAACTATGTATGTGATAGTTTAGCTAAACAGAATGGCCATATTGTTTTGCGTATTCGTCCATACCATTGCATATTCAACCCTTCAGACCATTTGATATATGGTCAGAATTTAATAAATTTAATTAAAATAACAATTAATTAATCACATGCCCGTTAAGAGTTGGAAAGATTCATTTTAAAAATTGAAGATATTTATTGTTTTTTAATTATTTAATAATAATCAGAAATGTTAATTTTTCTGGATTCCTCCTCCGTTGTTGTTTATAAATCTTGCTGACGTTTCGCCAATCATCCTCTTGGCTTCTTCAGAGCTTAACTGAAACTGGCACGCATTCTACTCTGTACCTGGTTATATACTGTTTCAAGGGGGGCGGAGCTAAAGGAGGGATATGAACATCGTCGATTTCCATATTGGTGAAAGGTAAAGACCTGAGTCGCGGTTAAGATTGTTTGGTTACTTATAAGTTTCTATGGATTTTCTCCGATTTTATTTTTTTGGCAGAAGAATTGATTACACTCGAGAATTTTAGATTTACGAGGTAAATGCCAAGATTTCCCGGCGTGACATAGATGCAGCATAAAACTTTGTCTTCTTTTAAATACATATCTTAGTAGGCTGCGAAAAAAAATTGAAGTCTTGCGTCAAATAGTGTATTAAAGACAGGCAGGATGGTCTGTACAGCCAAACTTTTCCTTCGTATTCTGTAGTGAAAAAATGGGCAAAACGTTTTCGAACGGGGCAGGAGTCCCTTGAAGATGATTCAAGAACTGGTCGACCAATGGAGGTCATAACGCAAGATACTGTTGCGATTGTGGAAATGGAGTGATCGACGTTTAAAGGTCAAGGGAATCTCAGAGATTACTAAGCTTTCTGATACAAGTGTTCGTCGAATCCTGCATGATCATTTAGGTATGTATAAGGTTAGTGCAAGATGGGTTCCTAAAAACCTTTCGGCTATTCAAAAACAACGCAGTGTCGAGTGTGCGCGGGCTTTTTTTGGAACTCTGTGGGTCGGAACCGAGGCCTGTGATAGAAACTATTGTGACGGGAGATGAAACTATTTTGACCCAATATCGAAAATAGAATCAATGGAGTGGCGTCGTAAGGGTGAAGCACTTCCAAGAAAATTCAGAGTCCAGTCAACAAAAAAGGTGATGGCTACGATCTTTTGGGATTGTGATAGATTTTAAAGAAACTCTTACCACTGTCAATGAATTGCGAGACTGCATACGTGTAAAACGTCGAGGAAAACTAACCAGAGGCGTGCGTCTTTTACATGATAATGCACCCGTCCATACTGCTGGTGTTGCACAAGCTGCCATTTTAGAGTGTGGGTTCCAACAGATAGATCATCCTCCCTATAGTCCAGATATGGCCCCCAGCGACTATTATTTGTTTGGATATTTGAAAAAGGACTCACGTGGACGGCGGTTTAACGACGAAGTTGAGTTAAAAGAGGCTGTTTTAGCTCATTTTGCAGACAAACAAAAAGAATATTTTTTAAAGGGATTGAGTTGTTAATAAACAGATGTAATAAGTGTATTTAAGTTAAGGAGGATTATATCGAAAAATAATAAAAAATTGTTATTCTACTTTGTTTCTTTCATATTCAGGCCGGGAAATTTTGGCGCTGCCCTCGTATCAAATAAAATTTGATTTCCGGTATCGTGATTGTGTTCGGCAACTGCTTATGTCTTTTGTCGTAGTTTTAAGAGACTCTTTCACGTTTTTTTAGTCTAGTTTATATTTTCCATCCGGTCTCTATGTATTCTTTGCCGCATATGCATGGAATGGTATCTCACACGGAATTTTGTCGTTGATTTTTGGATAAGTGGTAAATCAGGCTTTAAATTAAATTTCTTAAGAACTTCTGATATGTGGTCAGGACAACAGTGGCAAGTATGTGTGGAAGGTTGTGGTGAAGTGCATTTTGTGATAAGACCCTTAATATCTCTAATACGGAATTTATTAGAAAGAAGAGCAGATGTAAGATGTATAAATTCTGGATGGAGTGACTCGGGTTGGGATAGTTAAACAGCTTTGTAAACAAGAGAGTTGAGCAGATGAAAGATATCAGGGGTTCAGGGAGTTTAAATAGTTAAAAAAAGCTCGAAGCGATTGTTGACCTTAAGGCCAAATAACAAAAGAATCTGTATCAAACAATGTTCTGAGATGCAAAATTTAAAATTATTTTAAAGTATACAGGTGGCTCAAAAAAGCGAGACGAACAAAACATTTTTTTTTTAATGGAAGACAATATTTTTAAATTTTGTTTTGAATTTCCTTTAAAATTCTTTTTTATTAATAATAATAAATAATTAAACCTAATAGTTTTTCCAATATTTTAATTTTTCTAAAAAATACTTTTTTTCACACTTGCATAAATAATTACAATAGCGACATTATTTTTAAAGATGACGTAAATGATATCTGCAAAGCAATTTGATTTGCTTTCTACAGAGTGTTTAAAATAAACGAATGCATTTGGATCATTTGGATCAAATGGCACACAATACTTATTATTTTTTTGAAAGGTCTTACAAAAACCCACAACTTTTATTAAATATATCATGTTTTTAATACTTCGCGATTTATTTTAACTTTTTCACTATTTACCCTTGTGTCTATCTAAGACTATTGCTATAAAAACAGTTAAATTATGAATGAATAAATAAAATAAAAAAGTTATTGGAAACTTTGTTTTTTCGCACACCGCTTAACGGGCTTAGTGAATTTTTGTGGCGATATTTTAAGGATCGTGTTTATGTGAATCCGCCTACAACACCAGAAGACATGGAAAATAGGATTCGGGACGCGTGCAGGAGAATAACACCGTTTTTCGCGAGGAACGTCCAAAAAAGTAGAAATGTATAATTAGTATTAGATAGAAAGAAAAGTAAATACTGGAATACTTACTTAATAAAAGTGTAGGTTTTTGTAAGATCTTCCAATAAAAAATAATATATTTAGTGTGCCAGTTAAGAAAATCGCAATTTTTCAATTTAAAATGATCCAAATATACTCGTTTATTTTGAACACCCTGTAGTATGTAATTGGAATTTCTTTGGCTATATCTTTAATGTCATTTTCGAATAACGTTAATATTCAATATCAGTGATCTACCTTAAAAAATAATGGCGGTTTTGTATTTTTGTAAGTGTGACAATTAGTATTTATTTAGAGAAATTCAAATATTGGAGGAAATATCAGGTTTTTATCAGGGATTCAACACAAAATTTAAAAATAGGTTCATCCCTTTAAGACAATATATGTTGTATTAGTTACGCTTGTTTGATCCGTTGTAAAATAATTTTAAATGAATCAATTGACAATTTTCACAACTTAGGTATTTACCATTTTCTCCTAACTTTCGAAACCAGTAAGATAATGAACTTTACTTTCTCGTTTTTATATTTTTAGGAATCGCATTATATATTTTAGTGCCTAAGTGGTTTACAAATCTTTGATTTATGCTTCACTAGTTGTTTGTCATAGTTCTCGTTGTATCTGAGTGTGACGGATGTATTGTTATGACCATACATTTGTTTGAGAGTAAGAATAATTTCAATTCTGCCAAAATAGACAGGTGAAATTTCGTGGGCCTGCCATTGCGCTACACTAAATAATGCCTCTTGATACATGTGTACCAAGCTTCATTAAAATATCTACAGTGGTATTACAGATATCAAAAAAATATATTTTCATTTTAAAATGGCCCCTTATATGACCCCCTTAATTATTGACATTCAACTAGAAAACATCCTGGGCCAACCTGTACGAACGTAGTTTAATGATGTTGCATTCGTCCATTTTAAGAAGGGACCCAAAAATCGTCCCTTTAGTTATTGATATTCAATTACAAAACACCCTATATAGATAATAAATAGGTATGGTCCCAGTAAAGTGCCTTGTGGCACGCCAATTTCTCCTTCTTTGCGTTCATTGCGATTATTTCCAAGCTTGACACATTGGGTACGACCAGTGAAATAGAGTTTGAAGACTCTAAGCCCATATCGGTTTAACACTCCTATGATAATGGTGTGAGATAATAGTGAACGTTTAAATACAAAATAACACATTGTAATTAATCTTGTAATGGTTTATAATTTTTGTATATTTGGTGTCATCGTATTTTCTAATGGTAAAAGTACCTGAATACGTCACCATCTGTCATGTTCAACGTGCATCCGACCACGATCCTCCGTAAAAATGGCGAATTCGTCATTATGTACCTCACGCACTCATCAGAGACCTCGCAGTACGAGATCTCGATACTCTGGAGGGACACGAAGTAGGTGTCGATCTCCGTGAAAATCAACTTCATCTGGAAACAATCGAGAGTTACGATGCAAGGCGCTGTCACGCAGATTTCCGAAAGGTCTAGTGACGTGTTTTTGCTGTGGTTCAGCTTCAATATCTGCAGTTGGTCGCCCGAGCGGCGCAGGTATTCCATAAACTCGTCGAAGCCGCCTAAAAGAGCATAGAAAACATAGAGCGTACAAGAGCTGTCAAAAAAACAGTACAACTTTACTTTTTAACAAAATTTATAATAAATATGACGGCCCTAGAACGGTAAAAATTGATGCGCCGCAGTTGGCTGTGATATTTTCCTAGAGAGAATCTTTTGCGCATGCGACACCCCTCAAATGACTGAGTTGCGATATTGCCGTCATTTTTCTGAAAAATTGATTAATTGACAACGCCGAACTAAGTAATTACTAGTGGCAAAGAACACTCTGCGCCCTGTACCATTGTTGTTTTCATTTTTGGTGCCACTGGAACACTCATGTTTGTGGTCAAAACTGTAAGGAAAACTTGTATAATTTTTGCTTTCAATACTTTCCTGCTCGACGAAATTACAACAAATGTGGCAAACGTGACGACCTAAGAGAATTTTAGAAAAACAGTGGTGCTTTTATATTTTTCATTTAACAAACTGGAAAATAGACTTACCCAAATATTTACATGTGAATTTACTAAATAGAATTTCCTACATCTTTAGGTACACTGAAATAGCAACAGGAAGGATGTTTGGGTAATAAATTTTAATGTACAAAAGTTGCAGGAAATATAAAAAAACAATTAAACTACAAGTTGAATTATTTCTAGAACAAGCATAAGAAATACCCTTTGTTGACTGCAAATCCTCGTAAAATCAATATAAAAAAGTTTTCGCTTGTCATCACGCTTAGCGAAAACGAAATTGCCTTTCTATTTCTACCGCAAAAAAGTGAAATTTTTGAGAATAGCCAAGAATTCTAGGCAGCTATTAAAAATTAGGGTATTTCATTGATAGGTCAGGTAGGTGAGTGAATACTGCAGTAGACACACAATTTGACACTGATCAAATAAAAACATGCCCAATCAAAAAATACTGAATTTGTAATAGGAAAAATACAATATGCACAAATTTGAAATTAGAGATCTTGATTAGTCTCCGACTATTTTCCCAACCCTTGCTTGGCTCGGGAGTAAACTATGTAAACCTGTAAGGATCTTGTTTTTTACAAAACTTGTGGATTCCTCCTGCGTCGATTTTTGCTTAGTCGAAATTGCTGACGTTTCGAAAATCATCCTGTTGGCTTCTTCAGAGCTTGACGGAAACTGGCACGCATTCTACTCTGTACCTGGTCGTCGAAACGTCAGCAATTTCCACGCCAGCAAAAAACCGACGCAGGAGGAATCCAGAAGTATTGTAAAAAGCATTACAGTAGCATGTAGAAATTTGTTTGAAAAATTATGTAAGTATCTTGCGTAAATAACTATTTAGTACCACTTTTTGGGTTACATTACAAATCCCCTTTTTTGTAGACTTGCTTATACGTCTGGTTCTTATTTTTGACGTAATAATCACGTATCCAAGTAGAGTCATTTAATTTGCATTTTATTTTTTAGTTTACCAAAAAATGAAATTATAAGGAAACAATAGATACATTCCTTATCGAAAATGGAGCTGCCAGGCATGGTTTCATATCGTGATTTAAATGAAATTCCTATTTTTTAAAATCTTTTTTTATTGAGACCATCACAAAAAGCAGAACGTAAAAATATTATCACGAATAAAATGTAAAACACGACTTTTTAAAAAAGTAAGATAAACAACTTATTGTTTCTGCATTTTCGTTATATGGTTTGAAAAAAAATTAAAATTTTCCCTCTTTTTCTATTTCCATCCTGTTCGTTATATCAGAGTCTACAAAACCAAAAGTGCTGAAAGTGCTTGCTACTGACGCTGAGAAAGCAGTTGCACACTGGAACTGTTTTATTACTGGTAGCTGTTTCGCAATTTCTGGCTCATGCTTTTGTGATGTCGTCCACCACTGTATTCTATTTTCATTTTTTTATTACTTTATCCCAACACATATATTTTTTTAAATTGGCAACTGCGGGCAAAAGTCCAGTGTTTTCATAGAATTTATTAATTATTTCTATAGCCAGATTGTTTTCTTCGGGTGTTAACTCATAATTTTGCCTTTGAAGGTTCAACATGTAGTCTATAAAATGATGGGTAAATAAAAATGGCATGAGTATATTAATCCTGAATTTTTTGCATTTTTGATAAATGTAATTCTGCAACATTCTCGCAGATACACTGCAAATGTGTCCACAGCTCTACGGCATGTGAGACAGTAGCGTTTTTTTCTCTGCAAAGTTTTAAAATACTTAAATATTCTTGTGCTGCTTGGTAAATGGTCGAATCAATTTGGTTTTTGTTTTCTTCACTACACGTCTACATTGTTTCCTAAGATAAAGAAATTATACGAAATACTTTTTTTATGTATCGTAAAAAATAAAAATAAGGAAGTATCTAAAATTTATAACCATTAACATAAATAAAATACGTATGAATTCAAATATTGGCAAGAAAAGACAAAATGGATATGACATTTTTTAAATAATAAATGCCTTCATCTTTTCAAAACTTTTTGTGACTCCCACACTTCTTCTATCTTTTACGAGATGGAAAGTTAAATAAAAACGAAATAAGTAATAATAAAACAAAATATTATTTACCATTCGTTTCTTGTTGCTTATTACCACAAATATCACACTTTAAGTCTTTGAACTATCCCTCGAATTTCTTTCTTGCAGATTTTACAACTGGCACTACCCCCAGATTTATTTGAATCTGTTGTATTAATGTAAAACTGCCTTATGCTATTTTCTCTTCTTCCAGGCCTTTAAATGTTTTCACCTCATGTTCTATTTTCCACTAGTTTCACTATTTTGAAATCAAAAAATCAAAGTTTGCCCCACACTGCTGCCAGGGAGGCTGCTAACTTTAGAAGAGCATGTGTGGGGATCTCATCACTCCTTTAAGCTATAGGAGAGGTGGATCCATGTTTTCTGGTCTTTCTATTTGTCGATGGTACCTGAGAGACGATATTTAGAGTGCCAAATGGAACCTTTTTTCCTTAAAATTTTATTATTTATTTTTTCGACTGCAGAAGTTTTTCAAATAATTCCACATTCATTCCTGAGGTCTCAAAAATATTATTGTGTTGTTAATTGATATATTATTGATATTTTTCTTGAAAATTTTCAGTGTTCTAAAAATTCTACACATAATTTGTGAATGTGAATGTTATCATGGATATCTTTCCATCTTGAACTATGCAGAATTTTTTGTTGATAGGGGACGTTTTTGGGCTTTATTTCCAATTCATAATAAAAATCTCTTTCCTAGGTAAAACAAAAATTACTTTCTAAAAATTGTCACTGGGCAGGACAAGCAGCTTTCTATTTCAAAAAGAAATCACTTCGCGGTTTCTTGTCGAAAAAGGGACGCATTGTTTTTCTATCGTGCTCCTGCGGATCACTATGAAAATTTCGCAAAATCGATGTAATTCTGTTGTGCATGCACTCTGTATAAAATGACTTTCACGTCTCGCTGAACTTCAAAGTCACGGCAAACTTTGATAAATATAAAAATTTGAACAAATAATAGCGATTTCCAATTATATATTTTTTAAATATTTCGCGCCTGTATGATAGACGGAACCTGAAAATCTATCTCCACACAATTTACGATACCGTTAAAACCAAATTATTATGTTTTAAACTTTTTCATTTACAGCTAATAATTTACTCACGAAAACTTAAATTTTCGGGGTTTTTTTGATTTCTTGCCCATAGTCGATACACCCTGTACACCCTGGATCTTCCACGTTTTCTGGTCCAAGAATTGTTCCAATGGTTTTCGAGAAAATATATTTTTTCTTATCGCGACTGGACTGAGGGCGAGAAATTCATATAATTAATAATTCATCCAGCCTACAAACGACGTACCCTGTATATAATTCTAATGTTCGAAATAAAGGATATAGCCCTTTATATCCTTAGTTTCCTGGTGTCCGAATTTTTCCAATGGAGTAGTAAATGGTTTTCAAAAAACTACTTGTATTCTGAAACCATGCAATACGTGGTAATATTAAATGACGTCATCGCGTCTAGATTGAGAACGAGAAATAGTGATTTTCATTTGGATTTTTTCAAATATCTCAAGCAGCGTAGGCGATAGACGAAAACCGTATATACAAAAATTGTAGTTCTTGATGCAGCCTATAATACCGTTTGAACCAATTAGGCATATTTTCTACAAATTTTGATTTACAGCAAATAATTTGCTCTGGAAATGGTTGAAATTAAAGTTATAGAACCGGATGTTCCGCTTCTCTTGGCTAAATAATTTTGCCGAACGGGTTAATAGTTTTGGACAAAATCATTTTTTTCTCTAAACCAAAATAACAAAAAAAGACACAAAAATTTCTAAAAAAATACTTCGTGATATTCGACTTTTCAATTTTTTTTTTAATTTGTGGCGAACCCCGTGCATTTTCGAAAAATTGTCAAGAATAAAAGTTTATGGGGTCAAATATTCTGCGCCTTCTCGGTCAGGAATTTTTTCGGTTCCATAGACGGTTTTTGAGAAATGATCTTTTTCTTAGACCGTTGTAAACGCGGCCCCTCAATTTTAATAGGTTCTGTCGCGAAACCAAGGTTTATATGTGTGCTAAATTTTAAGTTGATAGCTTCATACCAATGTCCAAAAAACAGTGGAAAATCGAAAAGAAAAGATGGACGCTGAGGTTCGACCGCAGCCATTTTTAAATATCTTATGCACACTGGAGCAACAAAATTGAAGCGTTTTACGCAAATAGTTTGGAGGTTATCCTTGAAAAAATAAAAACGTTTTTTTTTTCGACGTTGATTGCATCTGTACCAACGGCGACGCTATAGGACTCACCGTTATCGAGATCTGGGGTTTAGTGAGGAGCACGTATACTTTCCAAAAGAATCGATTTCATCGATTTTTCGAAAGTAACTAGAGCATACACCAGCAGATACTTAATCTTCAGTGGTTGTCAAAATAACAGCAGCCTTTAAAAATAATTTACGACACAGAAACATATTGTCAACGAGCAAAGTGCAGCTGATTTAAATTTTGTTTCGAATATACAGTTAATGAAATTTTTGTTTCTTATTTTTTTTTTAATTTAGTTATTCTACTAATAATTAACAATAGTTTAATGTTTATAAGTGAACACTTTTTTATTGCTTTTATCTCCCTTTTTGCAATTTTTAATATAAACGTTCAGAGTAACACTGAAAAATATTACGTAGCATTGTGCAAATATTGTAAAATAAATATTATTAGGCTATTAAAAAATGCAGCACATTTTTGGCAGCATGTTTATCTTATTGCATTTATAAGCCAAAGGATATTTTATCTTTATTAATTAATTTATGTAACTAATTATTTATATTTTCTCATTGTGTTGGGTCTTTAAATGTGGGACTATAACTATCGACCTATATTAAGTATAGCTAAATTATTGTGTGAATTGATACTAGCATCTACAGCCCGGTAGACACGGTGCAATATCTACATATATTTTTGCAGGTATTTTTAGCAGATAACCATGGCTATTAAAAATGCACGTGTTTTTAACGGGCAATTTTTTGATGGCGGAACGATGCAATTTTTTCTAGCAAAATGCGCTCACGTATTTCGTTAGAATTTAGTTTTTGAATGTTGTTTTCTAAATTTTGATACAATAAACAATATTGCTGAACTTCCTGCAATACCACGCGTATGTTTTGTGGCTGTACAAGAAACATCTATAATTCCAATACTAGGAACGAGGATGTTTCTTTAAAGTGCTAAATAAAACATACTAATTATATTAATTTATTAATTTTCCAAAACTAATTCCTGGGTTATTTTCTTACATTTATTTAGGTTATATTTAAAAATACAGTTTTTTTAAACAAATTTTTATTTAAGTTTATTGACTTGTTTTAAATACTATTTAATTTTCTTGGTTATGTTTTCCAATATCTACAATTTTTTAAACCAATTGTCCATTGGCACTTTCAATAATTATTGGTTTGTTCGGAAAGTCATTTTGTTTTTTTTGGGGAACATGAAAGACAGTTTTCGTATAATGAGTAAATATTTTATTAAATTATATATTGGCCATTCTGGTCCAACACCTTTTGCCATCTTTCTGGCAGTAACATAATTCCCCTCTCATAAAAGTTTTGGTCCTTGCTGGCAAAAAACTGGTTCAGGTGGTTTTTGACATCTTCATTTGAGGTAAAGGTTTTGCCATCCAAAAAATTTTGCAGGGACCGGAACAAATAGTAGTCGGAAGGCGCCAGATCTGGAGAATATGGTGGATGTTGCAGTACGTCCCATTCAAGCTGTAAAAGTTTTTGGCGAGTGACCAAACTTGTGTGAGGTCTCGCATTATCCTGGTGGAACACTACACCCTTCCTGTTGATTAATTCGGGCCTCTTCTCTTTAAGTGAATCATTCAATTTGTCCAGTTGATGACAATAGACTTCTGAATTAATCGTTGAATTGTCCGGCAAAAGCTCAAAAAAAAACGATTCCTTTGACATCCCACCAAACGGAGAGAATCACCTTTTTTTGGTAAATGTTGGCTTTTGACACGCTTTGAGCCGGTTCATCTTTTCTGCTCCATAGCCTCTTGCGTTTAACATTGTTGTATACAACCCACTTTTCGTCCCCAGTAATAATCCGCTTCAAAAATGGATCATTTTCTTGACGTTTGAGGAGCGAATCACACACGTCAACGCGACGACACAAATTTCGCTCCGTTAGGACATGGGGCACCCACACATCGAGCTTCGAGGTTAAGCCCATGCCTTTCAAATGGCCATAAACAGTCGAATTCGACAAATTTAATCTCTCACCGATCTCTCATGTGGTTATTCGCCGATTCGCATCAACTAATGCCTTTATCGCATCTTTGTCAGCTTCGACCGGCCTTCCAGACCGTAGTGCATCTTCGACATCAAAATTGCTGGATCGAAATTTTGCAAACCAGTTCTGGCACTGGCGTACTGTTAACACGCCTTCTCCATACACATCCGTCAATTTTTTTCTCGCTTGGACAGCATTTTTACCTTTTCTGAAGTAAAAAAGTAAAATATGACGAAAATGCTGCTCATTGCTCTCCATATTTAAAAGGGCACCAACCAAAAACTACTGCGTAGAATTAATAGAACTTTTTCACACACAAACCTTGCAATATCAGCTCTCAAGGTTATGCGGCTTAAGTGTGAAGTTGGTTTCGAAAAAACGTAATTAAGTCCTCTGACGGGAAAAAACGAAATGACTTTCCGAACAACCTTATATATATTTGGGAGGCGAAACTTTCATCTGCAATTACGAAACTTGAGGTGAAGGAATGTGCATTCTGTCTATGGGAGGTGCTTCTTGAACATTTTTTCCACATAGATGTTGCTTGGCAATATCTAGCATCTCGAAGTTATATTAAGACTTTTAACAGCCATCTTTCGTGATTTGCATTTTCAATAGGGGTTAAGTTAATAGAGTTTATGAAAACTAACGCTTTGCGCCGATTTACAACTAAAAAAAATAGGTTACAATGTTACATGAAAAAATACATGTAGAAGTAGAAGGGTTAAAGAACAAAAACACCAAATTAATTACAGAATCTTGCACTGCTTTTCCACACCGTATGGTATATTATGCCACAAATGCGGTAAACGGCATTTGACTCACGAGTTTATTTAGCACGAGCATACTATACTTTTTCTACGACGGTCACGAAAAAATCACAATTTAACAAATTAAAAATAATAACAGATTCTCGGATTACTAAATTTCGTACCATTCAAACAAAGTATTTACTAGTTGCCATTAAACCTATTCGTTTATTATTCCGATAGTTTATTCAATTGTTGTCTCTTTTTAACTGTGTATGTTAGACAGAGAGAGATGTATTTATTCGATACATTACTCATCGCAAGATATTAATATAAAAACTGTAAAAACCACTAAAGTTGCGAACGGTATGTAAAATTTCTGTGGGAAACGTAAATTATAAATGTCACTTTACTTACCGACTAGTCCACTAGATTTTAGTTGTAGCTGGTAACACGTAGTATTTAAATTGTCTGATATATTGCGTAACATTTTTCTGGGAATTAGTTTTTGGGTATATTTTCGCAAACAACATTCACTGACATGATCGTCAGAATTGACAAACCTCAACAAACAAAATTGCGGTAAAATCTCCTGAAACATCCGATTGCTCCCAACCCGTGTGGTAAATTGCCGGAAATGTCCGAAGTGACTCGGATGCGTGGGAAACGAAACTGACGTGGTAAAGTGACGATTCCCGCACGCTAGATCGATGTGTATGTATTTTACAGACGGGAGAAGAAACGGCATTTGACTCACGAGTTTCTTTGACACTAGCGGAGCGAGTGTTTAATAAACGAGTGACTCAAAAAGTTTACCGAACTTGTCGCCTACTATACATTTTCTACGAATGCTAGTTTTTGGGTACATTTTCTCAAAATAACACGAATACGTTCGCTGACATGACCGTCAGGACTGACAAACGTCAAAATATTGACGTGTGTCATATCTCCGAAAACAACCGATTGCTTGCTCCCAAATCTCGGAAATGTCCGAAGTGGCTCGGATCCCTGGGAAACGAAACTGACGCTTCCCGCGCGCTAGATCGGTGTGTAATTAGGTATTTTTTACACACGGGAGTAGAAAAACTCCTTTTTTGCCTGAAAATTTAATATCTTGAGAAAATACTGCCGTAAAAATGTCGCATTCAAACACTGAAGGTCTGTCAGCGCCTATATTGTTTGGGGTCCAAAGTCAGAATTTGCGCACGATCAAGTCTATATGTCTACTAGTATGTGGTACTTTTCGAACAAACCTTATTGTTATAAAAAATGACTTTTTTACTTATCTTTAAATTTTTTTTTATCTATTTTTCTCTTGTCTACTCGATCCGTGGACATACTGCACACAAAAATTTTGTTAGTTCGAAAAAGTTAGAGTGTTAACAAAACATGCTGGTAAATATATACGTAGCCTTCAGTTAATGGTTGGTGACCTAAAATTTTACCTTTCGTGAGCTTTAGAGAATTGAGTCTCCTCAATCGACGAAATTCTCGCACAACCCCTTCATTTACACTATCGAAATGAGCACTTTCCAGCAACGGGCACAACTTGACGATGGCCCGTATGCCTTCTAAAGTTGTCCCAGTGTCGTGTAGGTAAGTGAGTTTCGTCGTAAAATGCGGGTTCTTTTCGTACAAGAGTAGGAGGGCGTGGCCGGTGAAGGAATAGGTTTTCAGGCTCGTCAAATTCGGTAGGTTTTCCAAAATTTCCGATACTAATTCGTAGCTGACCCGGTCGCCTTGGCACAACGAGGGTTTACCGAAATTGCCGATATCCAATACTTTGAGGGTGTCACTTTTGAGGGTTCTGACGCCGTCGCGCGTGTAAGAGGCCTCGCCGGATATGTCGAGGATGGTGATATGCTTGAGGCGTACGACTGAAGTCAAGACCGAATCGTCGGCCATGTGGGGAATGATCAGGGTTTTCAGTTGTCTCAGATTGTCGACCAAGTTACTCAAAAGGTGAGGATAATCTCTGACCCACACGCCTTTGAGGTTCAACTGTTGCAGGCGTTTACCTTTGAAGGTTATGGTTTCTGAAAAAACTCCAATTTATAAATTTAGCACTCAGAAAAAACAAGTTCTTGTAGATTAAACTTTTTGAAAATTATTCAAATAGTTAGGGAGCCCACTAGAATGTCCAGATCAACTGTTTCTTTATTGGATCCTATTTTCTTGACTAATGAATCGATGATTGGTAGTTGTGAAGTTATATTAGTGGGTGAAGTTTTTGATCACTGTCTAGGTTATTGTTGTTTAAAAATAGAAAAATCTCGTTTATAGCCAAAAGTTATTACTCACCGGGACTATGCTAATTTTAATGTTAATTTATTCTTACAAGATCTCTATTTAACTCAGTGGGATGAAATATTTTATCAAAATAATATTAATACCAAGATTGCACTTTTTAACAATTTTCTGCTGTCTGTTTTTAACAAGCATGCCCCTTTTAAAAATGTCAGAGTAACTAAACCTTGAACCCCTGGCTTACACCCAATGTTAAGCTATATATGAAACAGAGAAACTGCGCTCTGCAGGATTTTAAAAGAACTCGTTGCCGAATTATTGCCCAAGACTATTTGTGTAGAAAAAAATCCAAAAAAGACTTGGAAATCTTTAAGTTCACTTAACACGTGTTCTAGTAATAAAGATATTTCAATTAACTTGGCAAATCCAAATCAGATGAATGCATATTTCGGCAAAATTCTGCTAAGGGTCTCTGACTGTGATACCAAAGTTCATTTTTATAAAAATGATAATGCTCGATTTTCTTTTCATATGGCAGAAATATCGGATATTCAAAAAATAATTCAAGACATACGCACTAATGCCGCAGGCGAGGATAATATAAATATTAAAATGTTAAAACATTGCACACCTTTTAGCCCTTACCTAAGATAAAAAATCCAACAAATTTTAATGATCTTAGAATTATCAGCATTTTTGAAAAAGTTTTATACAAACAGCTATTTAACTATTGAGTTGTTAATAATGTCATACCTGAGTGTCAATGTGGGTTTAGGCAAGATTTTAGTACTTCGGTTGCTGTGATTGGTTTAACAGACGATATAATTTCCGCTATTGATAAAAGAATTCGTACTGCACTCATACTCTTGGATTTTTCAAAGGCTTTTGACACCGTTAATCATGCACTTCTATTAGCAAAACTTAAATAAACTTGACTTTCACAACAGTCGATTGATCTGGTAACATCCTATTTTTCTAACAGATTTCAAAAAATTGTGTGTAGCGGCGCGGTTTCAGAACGAGTTCAGATTTTGTCAGGTGTCCAGCAGGGCTCTATCTTCGGGCCTCTGTTTTAAACGTTAATAAACGAGGACCTGAATATACTAAAACAACTTTCCTCAGAACATAACCTTAAACTTAATCCTCCTAAATCTAATTTAATACTTTTCGGTCCAAAAATTAATAAGCAGCTTCTAAATGATGATTGAAGAATTTGGTTGTGCCGTATTCTCAATGTTAGGAAATGTAAGTCTATAAAATAATAGTCTCAGAATTATGATATCCTTGATGTAATAAGCTTGACATCGTCAATTTGAAAATGTTTTTAAAATATACTTCCCATTAAGTATAATGATCGTACAGTACTGTTTGGTTTGAATTGATCGCATATTATGGCTGCACGAAGTCTGACGAAATGTAATGATTGGTCATAAGAACATTCAGTTGTATTTAAGTCCTTACCGCTGTAAGAGTGTAAGGGTTTGTTAACAAAAATGTCGTTTTCTTAAAAAACGGTTTACTGGAAACAAGAACTGGTTTGGAGCGAGAAATTAGAAACATTGAAACATAACCTACAACTATTTTGGGCCGAGACAATGTGAATGTAAAAAATGGATAGTTCAGATTATTTGATTCTTTAGAGATTTTTATGGATTCTCGGATTTTTCTTTGGTAGAAGAATTTTAGTTTGGTCGAACCAAATAGACATTTTTCGTGCTGTTTGTCCAATGTATTCTTTGCCGCATACGCATAGAATTCTGTAAACTCCTGGTTTATCATTACAATTTTTGAATGTTTTGAATGTAAGTAAGGACCAAAGTGGCATTTTCTTTGCAAGATTGTGGTGAAGTGCATTTTTGCATGTGCATTTGAAAGAAGGGCAGATGTTAGGTATTTCTATTCTGGGTCCAATGATTCGGGTTTAGATGGTTTTACGGCTCAGTTAATATCAGATGACTTTTGAGTTTGAGTGATGTGAATGAATGAAAGATTATTGTCAGTTTCTAATTCAGAGTTCAAATAAGGGCAAATAACAAAAGTATCAACCCAGTTTTGGTTTTAGATGGAAACTGTCGAGTTCTTGGGATGGTGAAAATTGAGAACCAATAGCCGTTCCTGATATTTGTTTCTAAAATTTAATCGTTATAGAACAAATATGTTTCAAACAAACAGACGAGACGCCCAGGAACAGAACCTTAATTAAACAATTGGATCTAACGTAATGGTTTTTAACTGATCAATGAAGTGAAAGGAATTAAGTACGAACCTATCAGTTTGTGAAAGGGTTTTATTGTTGAAGCTAGATATTTTGCTAGAGAATTCCATTTATGCCATATCTTCTTCTCCGCCTCTCTCAAGCAGTATATAAAGTTTAAGTTAAGTTCTGAAGAAACCAAGAGGATGATTGGTGAAACGATATATTTTGAGGCACACTTTACCTACCCAGTATTTTTTCGTAGTAAAACCTCGGAAAGATACCGACATCCAGTTTCTTCACATCCTCTCGCAAGAGAATTTCCAGACAGCTATACCTTATGCTCGCGTCCAGATTCACGCAGGACAAAATTTCTTTTAGCAAATCTTGGAGTGTTTCGTATGTGGTCGCGTCCATGTACTCGCCAACTTCCTCGAATTGTTTCCCTTCTTCGTCGCTCAACGCGTGAATGAGCTGATTCGACAGGGTTTTCAACGCGAGGTAGTTTAGCGGCAGTACGGGTTTCTTCGGAGACATGTTTTTGTTAGTCGTGGAACGTTGAGTCAGCTACAAAAAGTAGATAAAATAGATTTTTCTTGAAAAAACAATTTACACTCCAAAACTAATGATTCAAACACACAAACGAGTTAGGATTCTAAAAGAGCATAGGATTTTTGTTGACATTTTACTTTCATTACTGGTGCATAACAAACTGTTCGATATAAACTGCATACCAATATTAACAGTTCATGGAATATACTGATTAAGAAAAGAATCCACAGAATCCTTAACTTGGATTGGAAATTGTTTCAGTGTAGTTTTGAACAACTTAGCAAATTGTAATGAAATACTACCGAAGAAAGTTTGAATTTTATTTTATTAGGATTCCTCATGGATCGCTTGTTTATGAATGAAACTTGCTAAAAGTTGTTGACTTTTTAGACTGAAACCTTATATTTTTTAATAACTTTTGATAAGTGCTTGAAGCGTTTTGAATGTAAGGAAAGACTACAGTGGCAATTGCTTTCAGACTTATTGTCTTTGGAAGGTTGCGGTGAAGTATATCTTGTATCGGTCTGTGTGCGTAGATTTTCTGTAAATATAATGACTCAATGTTAGGTCTGATTTTCTATTTATAAGATTATCAAAGAATGGGAGAGTATGTTAGCGTGTACAGAGTTTAAATGGCTAAGAATATTTCGGAGGGATTCTTGACCATGAGGCCAAATAATAAAAGTATCACCAAGGCAGCGTTTCTGGTGGCGATAACTGGTGATATTGCAGAACCTGTTCCAGACGTTGGTTCATAAATTTGACCGTTACGAGAAAAATATGTTCTATACAAGCATTTGTATTTTTTAGAAAAATTTGACTGAAATTGAAATATAAAGAACTCATAATAAAGCTAAACCAGAGACCTTTATGTTATTAAAAATTAATGTAAGCTCGAAATTGATAACGTCATTAACGCAATCAAGGATTTGACTTTGGTGATTCTAATTTCCTTTGCGTATTCATGAATATTGATATTTTTATTAATATTTCTGTTCTTGTACTATCTTTGTGCCAGACTGTATTACAATCTTCAAATTTCAAAGAATGTACTGCAGATCTAGTGACATGCACGGATTCTTCTTCTGCAATCTAGCTTCAAGGCTTTACATAACCCAAATTCAGAGGAGTTGAAGAATATTGTCATTCCGGGCAGTGAGTTGAATTTCGAAACTTATCAACAATGGTCCAGTTCTTCTTTTGACGACTGAGTTAGAACAACTTTGATAAAATATTTTTAGAGAAACGAGAGCAACATTGCGGAAATTTTATCAAATTACTTCCGGTTATATTGGAGAAAACTACGCATACTACAAGAATAGAACAATAGTACATTAGACAACAAGTTTGATTGAAAGGGCATTTGAGTCACGAGTTTTGTTTTGGCACAAGCAGAGCGCTGCGGGTAGGGCACGTAGATATCCGATCGAAAGTGTGAGTCGTCAATGTAAGTTAAATTAAATTTTGTACTTTATTTAATTTAAGTGAGATAGAGATGTGAATAAAAAAACAAAACGTTTTTTGAAGATTTAAACTACATTTAAAAATAAAATTAATTTATAATTTTTAGATAACGAACACAATTCATTCCTGCCACTACATAATGACGATAAACTGCTTTTTATTTTTGATGACTCCACTTACCTTATCAATTTTTCAAAAATTAAAATCAACGTTGAATTTTTGCATGTGCTATTCGAATAAAAATTTAACGCAGTTTCCATCACACTTGTTGATTAGTTTCCATTCACATTTTGCAGGAAACACTGCACGAAATTTAACAAACAAAAAATATCGACGGCGATCAAAACAATAACATAACTACCGAAACCACTGGTCGAGCTCGAAAAATATTTTTAGTCGCCGAATTTAAATTTAGATTTTATTAAGGAGCACGAGTCGCGGTTTCATTACTCTACAAAATGAATTGAGTCGTTCCGCCACTGAATCGACGTTGAAAGCTTTCGAAAAATTATACAAAATAATAATAAACTGTCTTTATTAAAAATTAAAATATTACAATATAAGTTATGATAGAACAGAGGCGACATTCGCAAAATTGCGCTCTTTCATTTAACCACAACAACAGACAACAGCATAACACCATAATTGTCAACAACATACACACACAAATAAATGTACATCATAAATTCATAAGATTTTGCTAGATACTGTTCGGACTAATAAACAATATTAACGGTTTTTCGAAGGACTTTATTGTGGGGAGGGACGTTATTGCTTAAGATATTTCATTAATTATGGCTCTGGATCTCTGGAAAATTAACGAAGTCTCGATAATGAATATCATTTCCTCTGCAAAGTTTATCAAACAAGTAAGACGGGGTCTTATTGGAGTTTATTAGAAAAACAAAGGTTACTAACTGAAATTTATAACGGCCCTCCAGCTTGAGCCAACCCGAATCAGAGAGGCACTGGGAAATATGATCATACTTTCTGAGATTATAACTAAAACGAATACAAGCATTCTGAAGTCGTTGGAGTCTCTCCTTACTGAGAAGATGTTTATGAATGTACAATGTCCTCAAATTATATACGGATTTTAGTAACACCGAGTCAACATATTTAGAAAACCGCAAGTCACCGTTGAACCATAATCCTACATTTTTATGCCCGAGTCGAAGAAGGAGAATTAATATGATCACTTACAATTTATTCCCTTTTATTTCCAAATAATAACCTCTGCGTTTTGCGGGTATTCAATAAGAGACGCCTCCGAAATTATTTTGAGATCGAAATTTATTTTACTAGCTTCACTAGCAACAAAAGATCATCGGCGTATTGCTGAGATTTCCAAAATTTAAGAAAAGAAGAGAAGTCAGCTGTATAAAATGCGAAAAGAATAGGTAGGTTCCAGAATACTCCCCTGGGGAACACCCCTTTCCAAAGCAATTGCATCTAAATAAGTATTTTCTATAACCACTCTTTGGTGTCTCTGAAAAAGAAAATTTTTAAGAAATGAAAGAGCAGTACCTTTTATTCCGAAGTATTTCAGTTTAGTCAACAGAAGGAAATAATCCAATGTGTCGAACGCTTTGATATAGTCCCACAGAATGAGACAAGAGTTTAGTTTAGAAACAACTGCTCTCAATAAATCATGAAGCAAAGCAGAAGTAGTGCAGTGAAGAGTTCGAAAACCCGATTGAGTATCTGGGAGGATTTTGTTATCGCATAGGAACTGACGAAGTTGTTTCAATGCAATTTTTTCAACAACCTTTGAGATGGTTGGTAACAAACTGATTGGTCTAAAATCGTTAATGCCATTTGGACATTTTTTCTTCGGAATGGGTATAACTTCAGCTTGCTTCCAAAAGTCCAGGAAAACCCCAGACAAAAGACACTTGTTAACTAGGAAAGTGATATAATAGACTAAATACGTCTGAGCCATGAGCGTTAGCATTAATACCAATCAAGTTCCTCCCGGTACACTTTAGCAAATTGTTTATTAGTACAATTTGCAGATACAAAGCGATGATCAATACCACCAACAGCCTTAAAAGAAGTAAAAGTGCACTTGAAGTCTGGTCAAAGTACGCCAAATATTTTTTTGGATTAGCCTTAAATGTACTTGCCGAATATATTCTCACAGAGGAGTTCACAAAATTTCTCAATTCTTTATACTCGTTTAAAGCAATAACTGACTTAAGACGTTTTTATCATAAACGTGACTTATTTAAGTTGTATTAAAAGTTTTAATCCAAGGCGCTACGGTCTCCTAATTCTAAGTGTTTTTAATGGAGCATGTATGTCAAATAATATTCATATCGTAAGAAAATCAATTTGTACGATTATATGATCAAAAGAGTATTAAGGATCCCAGTTAATTGCACTCGGACTATTCATAAACAACAACAAACAAAAAGGTTTGGGTGACGCTCTTTCTGCAGCTTGAGATTACAAGAAACGATACAGTGATCTGAGGTATCACTCATATCAAGAACTTCAATATTGTCACATATGGATAAATTAAAGGTGACCAGTACATCAAGAAGTGAACTAGAGTTACCAGTGATCGGAGTGGGTTCTGTAACTAGTTGATGCATCAAAATAAATAATAACTAAATGTTCAGATTTTCACGAAATTATATATTGTGACATGACAATTGTTTCGACAACACCGTGTCTTCATCAAATGTTGATTTGAATTGTCGAAACAATTATCATATCAAAATATATAATTTCGTGAAAATCTGAACTTTTAGTTCTTATTTATTTTGATAAATGGATTTTCATCAAGTAAAAGCCACCTCAGTTCAATAGTTCATGCATGCCGAAGTTGGTGACAGTATCGAGAAAACCGAAAATAAGCGGGAGTATTAGTTTTTAACGGATCACCATAGAAATCTCCGCCAAACATCAAAAAATCAAATTGAGGAATAAGTGCGGTAAGGACGTTTTACAGAGAGTCAAGTAAGAGTTGGAGGTCCATAAACTGTTAGTAGACATATCGTTTTCCCTTCGATCTTAATAGACAAATATATTTGTTCTAAACTATTTATCACGCCTAACAACGGTATAATCATCAATATTAAGACCAAACAAGAATAACGAATTTGCAAACAAAAAGAATGAACAATTTAGGAGACGTCCAAACGGGGCTGTTGGGCCAACCAAAACAAATAGGCAAAAACGAAACCAGATGCGATATATCTTATACAACGAAAAGCATACAACAAAAACGGGCCAAGATCTAATTTCAGGTATAGATAACACAGCTATGCCTACTATACTAACTGTTATATTGGAAATGTCAGTATAGCAAGAGAACTAGATCTAGCATTAGCATTTTACAAATCTCATTAAAAAATTCCAGAGAAAAGTAGAGATATAAGCAAATTTGTAGGAAGTAAACCATAAGTTTATCGATAAAAAGTAATATAAAGCAGTTTTAGTTAACCTCTGAAGAAGCCAACAGGATGATAGGCGAAACGTTAGCATTCGATTCAGCAACAACCAACGCAGGAAGAATCCAGAAATTTTGTAAAACAAAGCAATAAGTTTTTCTCCAGAAAGGCAAAATTCAAACAATATATATAGTATTCCATTTAAAAAAGGATTTTAGGTACTTGGCAATTTCCAGTTGTTAATATAAAACCTTTGACAATATTTTTTATTCGTCAAACCAATCTCAATCAATCTCTAATCTAAAGCGTGATTATACAGGGGATTAGATATGTTTTTTCCAGAAATCCCATATGAGTAGTTTTAAATCCGCATTTTGTCATCTTGTTATCTCGACTATTTCGACAGTATATTTCCGATAAAATAACGCACCCAATTACCGAATAACAGAGACATTTTTTGCTGGGCTCAGCAGACATCTCTCTCAAAATGTTGTCGTTCAAAGTGTTGAGCTGCTTTTTACTTTTCAGTTTGGGCTCTTTAAGCATTAAAGGGGATAATAATTGCGGTAAGTCTAATAACATGTTTGAAAACTAATTACTACCCACAAATAAAATTTGAACATTGTACATTGTCTATTCGTATAACCTTTTACATAGATTTTGAGGCGGTTCTCATTTTAAAATTTGCATGTTTTAGCTTTTGTTTTCTATCCAAATACCTAATAGATTCTACCATAGTTGCACACTGTGTAAACTTTTGCAAATCTATGGGGACAAAGTTATGTTATCATCAACGTAAACCTAAAATGGTTTATATTTTATTTACTTTAATCGATGGATAACCTTAGATTAGTTGGGCTAGTAATACGTTTTTGATAATATAAATGAAATAATAAAATTAACAACTAGATAATAATTTAAAAGAAAATGATGAATTAGAAGGTGAATCTATAAAAGAACTTACAAACACAGATGAAATAAGATTGCTTTCGAAAAATCGTCACTGGCCAGGGCAAGTTCGTAGCGCGTAGCGCGAAGCAGCTTTTTATTGTAAAAAGAAAGAACTTCGCGGCTTCGTGTGGTAAAGGGGCGCATTGTTTTTCTATCGTGCTCATGTGGACCACTATGGAACTTTCGCAAAAAATTTAATTATGCATGCACCCTGTATAAAATGTACTTCACATCTCGTCGAACTTCAAAGTTACAGCTAACATCAATAAATATCAAAATTTGCACAAATAATAGCGTTGAATGTTATTTTTTCAAATATCTCGCGCCCTGTATAATTGACGAAACCTGAAACTCTCACGACACGGTTTACGATACGGTTCGAATAAAATTATCCCATCTTTAACGGGTTTTCATTTATCGCCTATAATTTAGTCACAAAAACGGAAATTTTTAGGATATTTTAGATGTTTTGCCCATAAACGACACACTCTGTATATGATACAATCATTGTTCAAACTGTAGGTTATAGCCCTGGATTTTCCACACGTCCTGGTTCGAGAATTTTTTGAAAATAGTAAATGGTTTTCGAGAAAATAAGTTTTTTCTGAAACCATGCAGTGCACTGTAATAATCAATGACGTCATGGCGTCCGATAGAGTAAGTGGGATTCGAGAAAATACTTATTTTCTGAGACCATGTAGTACATCGTGGCAGTAAATGACTTCAACGTGGCTAGTTTAAGCGAGAGAAATAGTTATTCTCCCAAGAATTTCCTCAAATATCTCGAGCACTTGATACGGCCTATAACAGCGTTTGAACCAATTAACCATATTTTTTACGATTTTTGATTTGCGGCTAATAATTTACTCTGTAAAAAAATAATTTTGTAGGTCTTTTAGATTTTTGCCTATAATTTGAAAACCCTGTATATAATCCAAAAAATGCCTCAAATACATGTTCTTGCACAGGATCTTCTGCGTCTGCCGGTTAAAGAATTTTGCCAATCGGATGAACGATTATAAGAAAACATATTTTTCTGGAAGCTAAAATGACCAAAAAAGAAAAAGAATTCTAATATATTTAAAAAATACTTGGTAATATTTGATTGCGCCCAATTTCTACAGTTTAAATGTAGACCCGGACTTTTACTTCTCTGCTAAATTTGAAGTTGATATCTGCAAATTTGGACACCTAACACATTTCTCATTTAGCACGGAATATCGAGAACACCCTGTACAATAGGTGAAAACCTTAAATACAAAAGTTTTTGCTATCTATGCGGGCTATATCACAATATAAAAGAAGGTGAGATCTGAGTCATAGTCTTTCAGTTATATCCAATTTTCAATAATAGGGGGACCCATTTTTCATTTTTTTCAATTTGCGGCGCACTCTGTATATTTTTGAAAAATTGTCACGAATAAAAGTTTATAGACCCGTATATTCTGCTTCTTCTGGTAGAAGAATTTTTGTGTTCTCGTAAACAGTTTTTGAAAAATGGTGTTTTTTGTAAACCCTTGCACTCGCGATTTTTAATTTTTTTAGAATACTTCCCGACCTCCCATTTTCAATAGGTTCCGTCACGGGGCAAAGCTGCATATATGTGTTAGATATGAAGTCGATTGCTTCAATTTTCTGCCACTTATCGTGTTTCATAGCAAGGTCCAAGAAACTGTCGAAAATCGCGAAAAAAGGATGGATACCGGCGTCAGATCAGCGCCATTTCTTATAAGCTTATGTGCCTCATGGAGGATTAAAAAGGAGGCAAACTTCAATTTTTGTATCTCCAACGGTTCGAAAGTTATTCAGGAAAAACCAAAAGACGAGAACGGAGAACGGACAAAAAAACAAAAAAATCTTTTTTTTTACCGTTACCGAGATATAAAATTTTTAATATTTTTATACAGATACTTTCGAAAATTCGATTTCATCGATTTTCGAAAGTAACAAGTTCTAGAAGAAGTTCCCTCCTCATGTTAGCGAACAGGAAGTGGATTCAGCTTCTTATTTAGTAAACAGCAAAGGAGATCGGCAATGAAATTCCATTTGAGACGAAATGAATTTTTCGTACAAAGGAAGATTGGATAAAAAAGGCTCCACTTTTGACCAAAGTGTTTCAAGTTAAGGATCCTGTCGTACACGATGTCAGCCATTTTTAGAAAACAGAAGTTTATATACATATCTACCGGAAGAGCTAGAAAGAAAAGTCAAAATTTTTATATTAAATGGATATCTTGCGCAAAGCATTAAATGAGCTTGCCATGTCACTTAAAAAGATCAGACTGGGGTTATTGGTTATACAGTAACATTGCAGTTTGGATTGATTTTTTTTTTGTTATTTTGAAATCAAAATCAGAAATAATTGCAAAAAATATCGGTGACTTTCAAATAAAGGCTAAGAAACTATAGATGTATCGTTTAAAGAGTTGATAAAGTAGACTTGCCGAACCAACAAATGCAACTCAAACTTAAATTTAAAAAACGTTAAAAATGATTTTGAAATATCTACCGATGAGTTGACCCAATTTCAAGAGATTCGTGAACAAAGAATTGAGCAAACCCATGCAAGGGTATTCATAAATGTGTTAACATTGTGCTAGAAAATTACCGGGGCATCAAAGTAAGATTATATTAGGTTATAGAATTTCTGTCAATGAAAAATACACCAATAAGAGTCCAATTGCCATTTTTCTATTGCTAATTTAAAAATAAAGCGTTATAAAATGATGATTATACAGGCGATTATTCTAGAAGGAAAAGAAAATTGGACGGCTTAAATAAGAACTATAAAATATAAATAAAGATATAGATATCAGAAGCTGGATGCTTTTTGTTTTACTTAACCAGAATATTAACAAACTTAATAAACTTTTCGATTATTGCAGATACCAAAACCGAGATAGTGTGCTACTATGGAAGCTGGGCAATTTACAGGCCGGACATTGGTCTTTTTTCCACTGAAAATATCGACCCCAACTTGTGCACCAGAATCGTCTACACATTCATCGGTCTCGATATCAATTTGAAACTAACGTCTATCGATAGTTACAGCGATATCGATCTTGGTAAGTGGATGCATGCTAGAGTTCTGTTTTGAATCCCAACTTACCGACTCAGAACAAAATGGAGTGATGTTTTTTTTATATATATTTCTTCATAATTGAATTCTGCCATTAATTGTAAACACATTTTATATATATTACACATGGCACGGCTGAACTCTTTTCTATCTTCCCAAGTTACCACCAATAGCTAACCAAAACATTGTCTTCAGAAAAATTCATGTTAAGGACTGAAAAAAGTAAAGCGTAATTAGGCTGGCTTCTGGTAAATACAGTATGTACAGTTAGTTTAAAAAAAAACTGATACGGCTTGAAAATTGCACTTTATATTTATATTTTACAGTTTCTTTTGACGTCCAATATGGGATAAAAAAAATTAAACAAGACAATAAGAAACACTTGAAGGAATTTAATATATTATGCAATTTCCATCAGAAGTCTTCGGCTCATTGTCATGAAAGAAGTTATGAAGTATTCTTCAAGCGACAATTCTCCCCATACTTCCAGAATACCTTGCAATAGCTCCTTGCTGTTTTGAGGCAGAAAATTCCTTTCGATACAGCCGTTTCACCATTATCACCCATATGTTTGGCCATGGCAAAGTTTCAATGTTGGCATTTTGGAATCATTGTGCAGCTACGTTGTCTTGTTGCAAAATATTATTATTTTCAGGGTAAAGCTGTTCCATACTGGGCACCATAACGTTCTGCAATATTTCAGCATAAGTTTGACCAACAAATCTTCCCTCAATCCGTCATACCACTCCAATTCCTCTGGATGATATCCATCCCCTACATTTAAACTGAAATGGCCTGCATTTGCTGGTTATCTGGTCTGTCCCCTTAGATTTTACACATTTTGAAAGATTGGAAGATTTTTTCATCGGAAAATACGATCCTATCCCCAGTGGCAGATTTAACCTTCTTCCCGCCCTAAGTCTTGTCCGATATGTCGCCCTTTTTAATAGACGACATTCTATGGATCCATTATCATTATTTCGATATTATTTTTATTTTACTGAAGTATCATTGTTAAACAATGCAAATAAATATTTAATAAGTCTTAACAAAATAAATAATAATCATTTTCTTTAAACTATAATGTATTGATTAAGTCTGTCTTGGCCCATATTTGAGCGTAGATTTTTACCCTTTCCAAGGTGGAAAAAGGTCTTTCTCCTGAACAGTTTATAGCGAGAATACTCAAAAAATTGCAGTCAAGCTCTCCAGAAGTCAATAGGATCATTGACGAAACCTCCGCAAATTCGAGTCATTCGTTTGAAAAATTAACATGTCCAATTGTGTGTGTTCTCAAGCTTTTTTATATTTGTGGTAGAATTCAAATATCAATAAATATATATGATAGGGATAGAGTGCGAACGAGTGTGGAGCGGTAACGAGTTATAATAGACACTCTTCTTCTAAGTAGTTAGTGTGCTGATATTGCAATCCCGTTTAACTTTTGGATTTCCACTCTACGGCTACAGCATTACACGTGTTCCAGGTGGTTTCAAAAATGTCACCTCCCTGAAGGAAAAGAATCCTTGCCTCAAAGTGGTAGTTGCAATCGGAGGATGGAACGAAGGTTCACTGAAGTACTCTGTGGTAAGTAAGAGCAAAACTAATTAAAAAAAATGAGTGAATAAAATGAATGAGCTGAAGATTTTAAATTTGGGGAGTTGGCAATTCACAATGTAACTTGCTCCATAGCTATAGACGTTTATATAGGGTCGTCTCTCTTAGTGTAGCTCGTTACCTTTGTTTTGATTTCGTCTGACAGAGAGAGACGCACTCTCGACAAGAATTCACGTTGGCATAGCAAGCTTGTGGTTTCTTCCTCTTCTTGGCATCATTATTAAAACCGTGAGTAGACCTACTATTATTTTGTAAATAAAAATATCCCTTTGTAGCTTAGCAGGTCTGCTGCAAATTTAGCCGATGAACTTCTGCCGAATTCCTTAGCTTGATATTGGGGCGACATGGTCTTTCCACCATTACACCATTCATTTCTTGATGGTTGATTTTGCAATGGGTTCAACCACCCCACGAAAGGGTTGTGGTCCACCCATCGAGTCCTCGTGCCCTGGTCGCCATGACAACGTCACTTTATTCCGACTGGACGTTATTTTGCTGTTTGGCTTGACTGCCGATGTAGATCGCAATTGTTTTACTACGAACCATTTTCCTCTTCATTTCTCTTGCCTATTGGAATAGAAGTACATGCAATGTGCCCCAGATTCGCTACTCTATACAGGGATCTTCGCTCCTATTATACCTTTGGCAAAAGTTAAATTGGATTTCTCGATTTTTGGATATTATCATACTTCGTAAAGTAAGTTCTCAATTATTTTAAGTGGGCCGTGATAAATTTGTCACGTTTTACCAATCTAAGGAGGGCTCTGACTTTTGCGTTAAATAATTCAATGTAAATTAAATTGAAGAGAAATTTTGCGTCGTACTTTCAGTCACACAGAAACGTCGTCAGTACCTACGTTATTTAAAGATGTATCCTTATAAAATTCGATTTAGAAAAATGGTAGTTCATTTAATGAACCATGGTGCCTAACCATTGCAAATGAAAATCGCGACAGAAACATTTTAACTGTAACTGTAAAACGGGAAATTGGTGTGTCAAAATCAACGGTCCATTGAGTGTTAAATAGGAATGAGTACTATCACACACTTAAGGAAACTGATTTTCAAAAACGAATGCTTGTGTCTGGTATACTAAGAAGTGTAATTAAAAATATCCTGAAGTTTCTCATTAATTGTACATTCATAATTTTATCTTAGTTTTTCAAACGAAGCAAACTAAATGAGATTCGTATCCAATAATTTAAACACAATTCGATGAGCTTGTTGACTTTCAGGATACATGCTCAAAATACAATTCCGATATCTTGACACCGTTTCTATCGGTAAAGTCCGTTTTTAACGACACAGTAATGCACTAGATATTAAAATGTCATGCACAGAGTTGAAAATTCATAGCTTACTATGTCCACTATTTCAAAGTTCAGGGAAAAATATTTTCAAAATATTTTCAAAATGACAATTTCAAAAAATTATTGAACACACCGATGAGCAAATTTGCCCTATCAAAATAAACTTTTAGTTCAGATTTTCACGAAATTATATATTTTGACATGACAACACTGTGTCTTTATCACATTTGTTATAAAGACACGGTGTTATCGAACCAATTGTCATGTCAAAATATATAATTTCGTGAAAATCTGAACTTTTAGTTTTTATGTGGATGGATTTTCATCAAGTAAAAGCCACCTCAGTTCAAATTTGCCCTAATTTAAATCACCTTGTATCTCTTACCATTACCAAAGTCCTTATGGTGCGAGTCCAATTTGAAAGAGATATGGGTTTTTGGATACAGTACTAAAATTTGGTGTGTGAAATATGGATGCTTATATTTTTACAAAACTAGATGCAGACCAAAAAATGTCATGACAGTGTTGAAGTAGTTGCTTTTGTTTATACTTTTAATGTATTTAAATCTTGGGAAGAATATGTGCCATAACTTTGCTCAGATTAAGTGTAGTTCTTTATTTTAAGTAGGAACAATTAATAAGTTCATGTGCTTCTTAAGCTGAAGAAATTTTTAATAATTTAATCATTTGTTAATAAGAAAAGTTTAAATTTCATTCTCTTCTTTTTTTTGTAAGATTTACTATAAGGAGAAGCCGACGACCAAATATTAACGGAAAATTTACAATACGAAAAATTGCCTATACCAATTACACGGTGGTAAAAATATTGTCTAAAACCCTCCCTCCTTCCTTTTTCGAAATTAATAGAAAAAGTTATGAATTTTCTCTGCATTCTGGATCACAAAAATTCTCTGCATGTTATATAATAATAGAAATTCTAGTTTTGGATAGATAAAATTAAAGCAAATAATATAAATATTTGATTCGGCTTACTTTCTTAATAAAATGTATTTATCGCTGGTTTTCAACAATGGTAGAAATTAATTTTTGTCATAATTATTAATGCGTTTTAAATAACACCCCTGAAAAAGCATTTTTCATATTTAGCAAGTCTGGTTTTATGATAGGGTCCACTTGTCTCTGAGTGAGAATGTTGTCTTTTATGTTTATAAAATCAATAGGTGGAATGCTAGGAAATAGATTTTGGACGTCAAAGGAAACTGGAATTGCCTTAGGACGAATTTTAATGTCTTTAACCTTGTCCATTAGTTCGAACGAATTTTTGAAAGCATATCTAGGTTTAAAGGCAATCTGATATTCTAAAATTTTTATTAATCTTGATGAGTTTAACTAATGATACTGTTACAAAAGAAAGTACGGGCCTAATTGACATATTCTGTTTGTGTAGTCTAATAAAGAGCGTTCTATAAAGTCGTTGACTTATCAACTCTCAAATAATTTGCAATAACGCAAAAAAATAAATAAATAACGGTTTCGTTTGGATCTAGATGGCTTCGACGGCGACATCTCGCGAGGAATTCGCCAACAACGCGTTAAAGTTCTTGGCCTACTACGGGTTCGACGGACTCGATTTGGATTGGGAATATCCGGGATCCAGAGGCGGGATATCCGACGACAAAGGGAATTTCGCCCTGCTGTTGGGCGCAGTTCGGGAAAAATTTGAACCGTGGGGATTCCAACTTAGCATAGCCGTTTCGATCGACGAGAGTATCGCCGCAGCCGCCTACGATGTGTCTGCGATTAACGGGTATGGTTTGTCTCAAAGTATTACATACGATGACGCTCCTACTATAAGTGTCGAAGGTTGGCAACCATCAGGCCTAGCTCTAGACAGTTCGTTGATATTGCATCCAAACCACTCCGCTACGCTCAGAAAAATAATGCATTTTATAATGCACAAGAAAGCATCTTGTAATGAATCAACTTTTTTCTGCAATTGGACTAATCAAAATATAACATTTTAAATATTTTGACATTGATTTGTTTATAAATTACTAGTTTACAAAATGACGTTTTGCAGTTCTCTTATAATAATAAGATGACTATAACAATAAAACTGCAACGTTTATTTTTTAAGGGCGGTCGGTTGTCATTTCCAAAAGATATAGTAATATTTTAAAAAGAAAAGAGGATCTTCTGTCATGTGACTATTACCAGTCTATAGAACAAAGGGATAAAGCCGCCATGAGTGTCCGCTTGCTACTTCCCAAGAGTACACTTGTTGGGTAGTTAAATAGTGACCGCCGTTGGCATTTTCAGTGTCCTCAAGTCTTTGTAACCGCTTGGCAACGAAACTTATATCCCGGCACCGGCGTTTCGTACAGCGTCGCTATTGGTACAGATGGAATCAGCGTCGAAAATAAACGTTGTTAATTTTTTTCTGTTCTCTGTTCTCGTTTCTCTGTAGACGGGGCATTAATTGACTATAACTTTCGAAAGGTTTGCCACACGGCCTTTAGAGACACGAGACATATAACCCAATAAAAATTAATTCCGATCACATCCCAGCGACCATCTTTTCGATTTTCGACTGTTTTTTGAAAATTGCTATGAGGCACGAAGTCTATTGAAACTGGATGGAAAAAAATCTTTAACCAAAGGATCCGCGAGCTCCACCAATACTATAAACATTTATTCTCGATAATTTCCAAAAATGTACAGGCTGTGTGGTATTCGCAAAAAAAAACTAGAAATTGGGTTCCCCTTATAAGGATATATAGGCCATACGGATAGGCCATATTTTTGTATTTAAGATTTTCACATATTGTACGGCGTGTTCGGGATATTCTGTGCTATATTCAAAAATGTAATACGTAGATGTTTAAACCCAAAAAATTAAGCACAATCAAATTCCACCAAGTATTTTTGTAAAAATTTTGAAAATTTTTAAAAATTATTTTACCAAGAGACGCTCCGGTACTAAAACTTTTATTTTGAGCACATTTTCGATTATATGGAGGTTCTTTAATTATGGACAAAAATCTAAAAGACCCGAAAATTGTTCTTTTCCAGAGTGAACCGTAAATCAAAGTTCATTAAAAATATGGCTAATTGGGCACATAAAGAGCTACAATTTTTGTATTTACGGTTTTCATTTTCATCGTCATTGACTATTACGGCGTAATTTCAGAAACAAAAATATTTTCTCTGAAACAATTTACTCTTTTGAAAAAATTCTTAGACCAGGAAACAATAATTACCTAAACGAGTAAGTTTTTATTCAAAATCTAATACTGTTTCACTCTCGGAGTCGATATTAAAATTAATTTCTCTGAGCTCGTTGCTATTTTATATGCAAATGTAAGTGTCAATTTTTGAAACATGCTGTGCCTCATTTTTTCGACTTTCTCCGTGGAAATACTGTATATTGAACTTCTTTCTACTGAGTTTAGAAAATTTTGTGAAATTGAGCGAGTGCATTTGGTGCTTCAAAAGGCTTTTTCAGGTATTTAAATAATTTTTTTTGGGCGTTTGTAAACAAACCGAGACCAAAATATTTCTATAATTCATCTAGGTACTTAACCGACAAAAAATAAACACAACGCCAATTTTTATGTCGCACTTTATTGTCCACTTAATTCCAACATCAAGGTTTCAGGCTGGTAGATTACGTACATTTAATGGCTTATGACTACACGACGGGCACTTCGGACGTAACTGGACTGATAGCACCTCTTAGTGCCATTGTAAGTACCAGAACAAAAGAAAAAGAATAAAATTTGTAGTAGTTATAAAATAAATAAGGAAAAACTCCAACTTTTGAAAACTTTAAAACACATTTCAATGTAAATCCCATCGCTATATTTTTGAAAATACCAATTCACTTTTTTCTATGTTCGCGGCAAATTTCAAAAGACATTTTAAGAAGAAGTTTAGACACTGAAAATCGAAGTATTTCTACCCTTAGCAATTGGATCCAATCCAAACTACCGTAGGAAAAGGAAAGAAGGCCAAATGAGGAATGGGTTTGCGAGAGAGATTCTCAGTTAAATATAAAAAAGGAGGGCAGCGAAAGCGTCAGATCAGAATCAGTATCGAGAGCTGCAAAACAAAGTAAGGTATAAATATCGCCCAACTAGGGAAACATGGCTCGAAAATTGAGAACTTACAACAGCGACAAGACCTACATAAACTCCATAAAATGACGAAGCAATTTACCGGCACGGACAGATAACAAACGTCACACAAAAAAAAGAGAAGAAAAGTTTTGGCTCCGGACGAAGTACATGTGGACGTGTTGAAGTGGATTGAAAAACACTTGAACTCTATAATAGCCCTACACAATGGAATAACGGCGCCAATAACCAAAAAAAGGGAAGAAATGTGTCACACGCTCATAATGTTCTTAAAAGTTAAACACCACAGAGTATTTCAGAAACTGCAAAGTCGTGTCTCGGATATCAAGCTTGTTGATGTTTCGTCAGTCATCCCGTTCGCTTCTTCAGAGCTTAACTCTAACGTTATATTTCTTAAGAATTTTTGATATATGGTCAATGATATTTTGAATGTATGGAAGGACAACAGTGGCAGTATTGGATTAGTTTCGCATCTTTGGAAGGTTGTGCAAATGTGGAAATTATTACAGAGAAGAAGCAGATGTAAGGTGTTTTAATTCTGGGTTCAGTGACTCGGGTTGAGAAAGTTTTACGGTTCTAATGGTGATTAAGGTATGATCTGTGTGCGTAAGTTTTCTGTAATGTTTCTAATTCAATGGTAAAACGTATGTTAGGGTGTATCTAGTTTAAATGGCTAAGAAAATCACGGAGGCATTCTTGGTCATGAGACCAAATAACAAAAGTATCATCAACGTAGCTTTTCCATAATTGCTGTTTTTGGATGGAATGTTTCGAAGGCTTTCTTACCATGTTCGTGTTGATTGGTGATAATGGAGAACCCATAGCTCTTCCCGACGTTTGATCATAAATTTGACCGTTACAAGAAAAATATGTTCCAAACAAGCATTTTGCAATTAAGATTGGAAGGTTCGGTTCTCGGTTATCAGATTTTATTATATCTGAAACAATCATGGGAGTTTCAGGAATAGTGACTTTAGTAAAGAGGGATTATTCTATGTCGAATGTAACCGAATATCGTTTGGATATAATGTAATAGCTTTTAATTGTTCAATGAAATGAATTAAGTACGAAACCATCAGTCTTCCCTGTGGATTTTAATATAGAAGCTAGATATTTTGCTAGAGAATATATGGAGAACCAATGGTGCTGAAAATAGGTCGAAGGGATAATAATTATCTTAGAGATGAGAAATTTTATAGTCTTATATCTAAATATCTAAATATCACCTACACTGTCGATAATTGCTTCGCATAGTGCAGCTTGTGTCAACATGAAAATGCTCACATCTTGGAATACGCTTGCTAAAGTGTATGCATTCCATTGACTATGTACTACGGCATAGAAACTTGGTACCCTTAATATAATGTACCGAAGAAAAATAGAATTAAATGATGTTAAATGAGGTGAAGAGACGGAAGATCATCGCCCTTCGTCACATAATGATTGATAATCCAGGGAAAGACTGTGGACACAAGGTCAATTGGGAGAAGAACTTCTTGGTCAGGATTTCCATGATACGGAGAAGCAATATGAAGGAAAAGAATCTAATTAATCCATCCTCATTTTTAAAAAACGCTCTAATTCAATATTTGAGGGATGAAATGTCGCGTGGTTGTTTCAGAACATGCCACGTTACTTGGTGATTTGGCAATCATCTTTGGAATATTATTTTAGAAAACGTCAGTCAACTTTTGGTTGGACCAAGGTTTGTCGGCGTCGAAACTGGTGCTGGGAATACCGACGTACGCTAGGTACTTCGTTTTGGAAGACGAGAACAATCACGACCTAGGTGCCCCGGTGGAGGAAAAAAAGTATGGCGGAACCTACACCGGCGAAGACGGTTTCTTGGCTTACTACGAGGTTCGCACTGGAAACATTACGGGTTAAGATGTTACGCCTGCGTGTACTTTTAGAGAAAGATGTTAATGGCGAGTTACCCCAACTGCAAGACGGTGACAGAAGACAGCAACGTGTATTCTTATTGCGAAGACGAATGGATGACCTACGACACCGAGGAAACGGTCGCAGTCAAGGTTTGTTTTCCATATTGGTTTCAATAATTATGAAGGAATATTAATGGCTGGGTGATAATAAAAATCAACAGTCAACTAAAAAAGAGGTTATTTCACCAAATCGAATGACAGAGGGTGGGCCTCCATTTTCATAAAACAAATCATGGCAAAAACCGTACATAGATATATTAATAGTAATAATAGTAATATTCATAATACTACTACTAATAATAATAATAGTATTAAAAGAAACAACGTATTTCCAATTCGTATTGTAAATTAAAAACAAATTGTATCAAAACAAAAGTTATTCTAGCATATGTGAATATTCTATTATTCTAATTGCAAATTTATTTTACAGTGATATCGAATGACTTTTATGAACCAAGTGTTTATTGGTGCTATAGGGTTTATATGTTTTTCCTATGTTGGGACGTAACAAAAAATTCATGAGGATAGTAGGACGTTTGTGGCCTCCGTTATCATTATTTTTGAAACAATGATATATTTTGTTATTTCAGACTCAGTACGCATTGGATCTGAAACTTGGTGGTGTTATGGTATGGTCTTTGGATACGGACGATTTCAGCGGATATTATGGGACAAAATACCCCCTTCTCACCGCTATATACCACACAATTAACGGTTCGTAACATAAAAATGTAATTTTGTAATATTTGATCAAAATATATGTCTACAATATGGTGATATTTTTTATGTTGTGAGCATCGTTTCAGTATTGCAATTTAAATAACATCTATGTGCAAATATTAATTTTAGAGCAAAGTGTCCAACTTTAAGTTTCGAAGTTATGATATAAATAATAGTTATAAAAACCTATTTTCTTTACGGACTCAAAAAGTATAGCGTTGTTTCTCTGCGGTATATTAGAATAGTGTTATATCGTTGCCTACATTTTTCAAAAAACAGAATTGCAACATACATCCCCGGATTTATTTTTAAAAGGTGGTCTTAAGTAAATCGAAAAAGATTAAGTAAATACAAATTTCATTGTCTTTGACTTACATATGGTAATCGCAATGTTTTATAGCTCTAGGAAATTGCAGTTGTATTCATTGAGTACAACAACTCTCCGGTTAATCAGAAGATCGAATCGGAAGTTCAAATTCCAAATGTATATACTACATTCGAGTTGTTGTTTAATTATAATTACGTCTGCCCGACCGGCCTAAATTTCATGAGCTCATTAATTCGCAATTATTCGCCAAATTAGAGTTTATTTTTGGTACTAACAATAAACGGTCTTTAAATATTTAGCTTTTAAATAGAATGCCGAAAGGATACAGAAATGTTTCATGTAAAATATATATACTTTTTTGAAAGTTTTTCGCGACGGGTCGTCACGTTTTTATGGAACTAAAAATGGCGCCAAGGAAATTTTCATAACATAAATTGAGCTTTTGGGACACTCTCATATCTCGGTTGTCTTACTTATTAAAAATGTGAAAGGTCATTCCAGTGGCGTAGCTAGTTTTGTCCTAATGTTAGCTGTAAATTTGGCAGGTGGACTTCTGAGATCTTGCTTGTCCTGGCCTGTATCTCCATCATTGCGGGGACTTTTTCCAACTATTTTTTTAAATAAAATATTTTTTTTAGTAGGCTAGGATTTACTAATAAAACGAAAGATTACTTCATTACCAGATACACCAGATACCGGTAGTTCTGGGTTCCGCTAGCGGTCAAAGTTAGGCTTTCCAGTGAAAGCGATTTATGCTTATACTTTTCTCATATATAACTAATAATTTTGAAAATTATCCACAAAAGTTTCTAGTCATCAACAGAATAACTGCACATCCTGGCCGAACCCCATTAAAATAGTATCAGGGTGGGTATTATTTACAAATATTGTGGATTCCTCCTGAAAACTGATTTCAGTTAAGCTCTGAAGAAGGCAACAGGATGATTGGCGAAACATCAGCTAATTACATTCACAAACAACCGGCGCAGGAGGAATAGAGAAGATTTGTAAATAATATTATGGTAGTCTGTGGTTGCAAAATTAGGATGGGTATTTCTTTGTTTATAATACAAAGAATGAACTTTTCTACGAATTACAATTTTGATGTCTTCATCAAGGAATTTTCCTATCCCACTTGAATTTTTTTTTGGCAGGATCCACCCGCATTTTGCTATAGAAAATTTTGAGTTTCTTTGAAAATATAAATACAATTTTTCTAAAACTAATAATTTATTAGTAATCAAACCCAGAAATAAATTGTTACACGGAGCACCTTGTTTATTTTAAAATACTTTTTACCACTTATCACAATTACTGTATTATGGTGGCAAAAGTTCTATTTATTAAAAAAAAACTCTAGCTAGATTTCAAGAAAGGTAAATTTTAAGTTCTTTTCGATGATCCAAAACTATGCAGAATGTCCCATATAAACAATTGGATTTTCGGTTGAGAACTTATAAAAAATTCTCCGTATAAAAACAAAAAAATTCCGGTAACATGTGCGGATTTTACTCTTAGGCTTTTTTTGAAAATCAAGCTCCAAACAGTTACATCAGTTTTCCTCTATTCCATTTAGATAAGAGAAGTTTACCCTTAAATATGTCCGAGTACAGGATGAGTCAACGATAGAGTAAATTTCGTTATCGCAGTGGTTTCAAAAGTTCTGAGAAAATGCTAAATACAAAAGTTGTATTAGTATATTATTCAACAAGTGCGGTAAATGGCATTTTCTTTGGTTGACACCAACATTTCTTAATCAAGAAGTTCACCAGTTCTTTGGCCAGCAAGGTGACGTGACCTTAATCCCCTAGGTTACTTTTTATAGAGAAGACTGAACTTTAGTTTAGCAGAAAGTATTGAAAACAGGTCCTACCAAGTCCTTGGTAGGAGAAACGAAAAAGGTGATAGACTGCTGCAATTTTGCCAAGAAAACAATTTTATTATATCGAATACGTTCTTCAAACTTCCAAACCGCCGTTTGTAGACCTGGAAATCTCCGCAAGACAACAAACAAAATATAGTCAGGAACCAAATTGACTACATCTTGATAGACCACAGATATAGGAATGTAATCAAATCAGTTAAAACCTACCCAGGGGCAGATGTCTCATCGGGCCATAATCCACTAATAGCCCGGTTTTTAATAACACTTAAAAAACAACGAGTAATACCAACAACAAATTGTATAGACGTATCGGGTCTAAAAATCCAAGAAACAAGACAAAGGCTACAAAATAAGATCAATGACAACCTCAGAACCCTCAAAAACAATCAAATAACAGCGGAAGCGGAAAAATGCATTAATTGAGCCGAGCAAGACCATTCTGACAAAACAGAAAATAGGGAAAAAACAGGAATGGATGACTCCAGAAATTGAATTTGATGAACGAACGACGTGGTGTAAAAGACAACAACGAAGCATATAAGAATATTCAGAAAGAAATCCGATCACAGATAAGAGAAGCAAAAGAGGTATTCTACAAAAGAAAATGCGACGAAATAGAAGCCCTTCAAGAAAAGCACGACAGCTTCAATGTCCACAAGAAAGTAAAAGAACTGGCAGGGTTAGAGAAAAAAAGACAACCGTCAATACTCACTGGCCAGAATGGCAAAATTATTATGGAAATGGAAGAAAAACTAAGAACATGGAAGAATTACATAACAGGATTATTCGATAATGAGAGAGATATAAACAGAATAGTAACAGAACAAGAAAACAGTGGACCGGAAATAACTAAAGAAGAGGTCATCCATGCTATAAAAATCACAAAAGATGGAAAAGCTGCAGGGCCTGATGAGTTACCCTCTGAAATTCTCAAATTGATAGAAGAGGAAAACATACACAGTCTAACAGATCTGTTCAACACCATATACAAAACAGGTATTATACCCAGGAAATGGTTGCTATCAGCGTTCGTCACTATCCCAAAAAAACATAATGCAAGGCAATGCACGGACTTTCGAACAATCAGTCTAATGAGTCATACGCCAAAAATATTTCTGAAAGTGATACATCACAGGATATACAAAACATTAGAACAAGATATCAGCGAGACTCAATTCGGTTTCCGAGGTGGCTTAGGCACAAGAGAAGCAATATTTGCCTTGAACGTTCTCGCCCAACGATGTATGGATATGAATCAGGATCTTTATATATGTTTCATTGATTACAACAAAGCCTTCGATAGGGTCCGACAGGAACAACTTATCCAGCTTCTGAAAGAGAAGAACTTAGACACCAGAGATATAAAAATTATTACGAATCTTTATTTTAATCAAAAAGCAGTGGTAAAAATAGAAGGGAATAACACCGAAGAAATAGAAATCCGTCGAGGCGTTAGGCAATGGTGCGTGCTATCACCGATGTTATTTAATCTTTATTCAGAGGAAATAATGAGACCCTGGCAATATTTTCTTGACGACAAAATAAATCGCCTAGAATTAAAGCAAAAATGTTCCTCGTAGAAAATTACGTCCCAAGTTTTATCTCCGTTATTCTTTTCATAATCAATGCTGGTGGAAATTGTTTTCCATTAAGTGAAAATGTTTTCGGTGTCGCGTTGAGAATTACGTCACAAATCACATGTGCTCTTAACGGCCTACAAAACGTAAAACAAAATGTTTCAGTAATAATTATTATTTGAATAATGAATTGGCAAAATATAGCAACACACAATTTTATACGAAACAGCAAAAAAGTAAAAAAAATGATTCATTCATTCTCCCGTTGGGGAGTTAAAAGCAAAAAAACATTGACATGAATTGAATAACAACAATTTCTTGTTAATACTCTCGGGCTATGAACTTATAAATAAAGGCTATAGACAAGGGAAAGAAAAATCAGGATAATACAATTAAAGAATTTGACAACTTTACAAAAGATGAGATTTGATTTGAAAATGTTATATTTGATTTTAAGAAAAATAAATTTCAAAATCGCGAATCATTCAATATTTAGATATTTATAAAAACGCGAAAAGTGCTAAATAAATTTACGTAGAAGGCTTTTAAAAACAAAGTTTTCGAGCACTGTGAAACAAAGACTTGCAGTTTAATTTGATGTTTGGTACTTTGTAAGTGAGTGTTAGCAAGTGTTGTCGATTTTCTTATAAGCTGCGAACTACCAAAGAATCACTTTTGGTTAACTTGTTTAGAAAAAAACACCTAACAGAAAACCCCAAAATGATATATGGATATGACCCAAAATGCCAAAATAGAGGGAGTATTTTTTAATTTAGAAATTTCTTCTGATCGTAACTTTAGCGTTGTGCAACAAGCATTTCTTAGGGAAAAGGCGTTTTAATGGCTTTTATTGAAAACATCTATTTGTAAAATGGCTTGTATATTTTCTTTTGCACAACAGTTACAAATTAACCCTTAAATGGTGGCAGGTAAAAGACAAAACTTCCAGTAATGCAGTGAAACAATTAGAAAAAGAAAATCCAATGTAAATTGGAAAAACTAATGGCAACGACAAGATATTTTTAAAAGGCCTCAAAGCAATGCAGATACAATACGTCTAGAAAAAAGTTTAATAGCCAGATTTAATTTTCTTCTTCTTGGCATTAAATCACATTAATTTGGAAAATTTTAAGTAGTATTCGAAAAAACAAGAAAATTATATTTAGATTAGATTACATGCTAGTCACTTTGCACAACAATTTTTAGTATTGTGCCAAATGGGACAGCTGTCGGAGGAAGTCCGAGAATCACGCAATAAAAATTGCAAAAGACTCAGAGCATTCAACACATGCCTCCAATAACCCTCAACCAAACCTCTAGTTATTACTAATATGTTTCATCAAAATGACCTGTATATGTTCCCATGTAAGGTTAAATAAAAAAAATATATTAGATAATAATAAACGATTTTATGCATTTTCCTTTTTCTGTGAGAATATAATTTCGAATATAAGATCATGAGTAACAATCTGGGATAAGAATATGTGTATTAATAATCGTTTATTTTGAGAAAATATTTAGGTATAAAAAAAAATCAAAAATTTTCAAAGAAATTTCTACTATTTACGAATCTTCTGGATTCCTCCTGCATCGGGTAAGTTGTGTAGTAGCAAAATAAACTTTTTAAATAATAACAAGTTTATTCTAAAAAAACGTCAACCTATTTCTGGCATCCAGCCCACTGTGTGGCTGAAAGCTCTCCTTCCTTTCACTTTCATCAAAAAGAAGCGAAATGAACGATGCTCAAGAGTGTATTAGTAAAGTAGATAACACACCTCAAATAATTCGTTTCCACTTTTTCGACATTCCATCCGTTCAAGGTGCCGATCAGCACCAACTTATCACAGTGATTCATCAACAGAACGACCGAGTCGGAGCTCAGATGCCTCGCTCGCGTCAGCCATAACTGTTCCAGATTCTTCAAACTGTCGCCTTTGCAAATGCTTAACAAATCTTTATCAGTTAGTCCTACGTCGTTAGACATGGCTACTCTTCTAAGTCTGCGGCAACCCTTAAGTATCGAGAGCACCAGGTCCTTGGGCACGTCGCATTCGATCAGCTCCAATACTTCTAGGTTAGGCAACGAGACAGCCGCATCTGCGACTTCGATACCTTTCACCCTCGCCAGCTTCAACGTCTCCAAGGCTCTCATCGAGCTGTCAAAATTGACGCGCGCATATTGCAGTTCCAAATTTTCCACCCGCAAACTTCTCAGGCGTTTCAAGTTTTGCAGCATTTGCAACTGGCAAGATGGTGGGTCAAGCATCGACAATTTCTTCAGACGCGGACATTTTCGGGCTATCGATTGGGCCACGTTCGAGTCCAGAATTTGTATAGAGATAGCTTCCAAATTCGTAGGTCCTTGGAGTTTCAAAACCACGTCGCCCATGTAGGAATAGGTCCTGACTTCTCTGAGTGATGGGAGATTGGTTACCACCTCCGTCATGATGTCCTGGTCGTCGCTAGAAGTGACGTTTGGGCACCGTTCCAAACCGATGATTAAAATTTCCAAATGCGTAATTTTCAGAAGCCTCAACCCAGCAGAAGTGAACGAATTCACTCCGCTTATGTCAAGCAATACCAAATGGCGCAGCTTGGACACTTCCTCCAGCGTTTGGTCGCTCGCAAGACTCGGTATCGCCAGCGACTTCAAGTGATCCAGCTTTTTCAATGCGTCAATTAAGCTCCGCTCATTTATGGAGCTACCTTTCAAATTCAAATGCAGCAAGTTCTTAGCCCTTTCCAGGAACATCTGATGGTACGCCTTGGATACGTTCCTACAGTCCAACCAGGGAAATGTGTACTGGAACACTTCGTACATGATCCATTTGTCGTGGGAGTTGGTAGTGCTGGAGGTGACCACTTTGGCGAATATATCTTCGCGAATCTTCTGCGGCGCCTCTGACAAGTACCTCTTTATTTCTTTGATACGGGCAACTTTCACGCTGAACAAGGTGATTTGAGTTACGGCCTCGAGGCACAGACAACCCAAGCTGTCAACAGGTTTCTTCGGAGACATTTTTTCGCGCGAAAAGTGATCGGCCGACTGGGTTATTCTCGGACGACGGTGGCTTTATGCCAGCGCGAGGTTTTCCGGTAATTTTAGAATTTCGATTACGAAACGGGTTCGGCGATGTTAGGCCGATGTTAACCGTTATTGTGTTTAGAAATTTTGAAAGAAAACGAATTGTGAGAACACTGATAAAAATTTGCTGATTTTGGAAGAGTAATGAGTTTCCTGATACTTATATCTCTTATGTCTAAGTCGGCGAACTTAATCCAATTGCTCTATCCAAGAAAATTGAATTTCTTGGTTCAAATCCGCGTTCTTTTGCGGTTTAATTATTGCATCGATGTATTTCTATCAAAATCTCGGGAATTTGACTTTTGCCAGAGAACGTTTTTGATTTTGTTTTTATATTTGATATTTATTTATTTAAGGTTTAACCAATTTACAAAACTTTTATATTCATTAAAGGAAAATACAAACAGATAACAGCTAGAATCAAACAATAACAATAAATAGAAGGGAGTGGAAGCTCTCAAAATGGGACACATCAGAACGAAATGAGCGGAGTTTTTTAGCATCCTAGTCAGAGGTGAATAAACTCCATAATTGAGTTATGACGCTTCTATAATATGCGTTGAATTGTATGCTATCTAAATATCAAGCATTCAAAATTTTAAATTTATCAATATTGCAGGCGTTTGCTATAATACTGTAGATCTTAAAAATATTTGCTGAACGGCTTCGATGATATGGCAGGCATAATACGCAAACACTGTCCACGTCCGTCTGAAGCAGCAGAGCATTCTCGCACGATCCAATCCTTCCGAATATCTTCAAATCATCCGCAATCAAAAGACACTGCGATTCCGAAATTACACTAACAATATCATTTATGAACAAGTTAAAAAGGATGGGTCCAGGGTGAGAACCTGGGGGACTGGGTACAACCAGACAGGAAGCGCCGAATCTACTGCACCAGACCAGCCCCAGGCCTAAAGCTCTAAGCTTAGACACAAGATGCACATGAGGCACACAGTCAAACGCTTTCGAGATATCAGTGTAGACACAATCCACTTGACCAAGCCCCCGAAAGTTATTCAATAAAAATTGTTGGTAGATGGGTAAATTTGTTACGGTATATCTACCATGTACAAAACATGCTGTTGATCAGCCAGAATTCCTCTGCAATACCACGAAAGTCTTTCACATCCAACAGTTTAGTAATCACCGACTCTATGGAAATGCCTCTATAATTAGCGACATCGCTCTTATCATCACTCCTGTAACTCGGTTCCAAAAGTCCAAAAAGAAAAAATACTTGAAGACAAGGAAAAATTAAATATATGCTGCTTAATCAAGACAGATCCAGTCTGTAAATTCGTAATACTCTCAAACACATCGGTAAGTGAAACTTTAAGTTGCAATGAGACAACGATGGATTATTCGATTGACATGAATTTTATTTATCCGAAAGATAATCTTAACACTGCCAATGTTGTCTTCCAAATGGTCAAGCGTTTGTGGCTTATCTGCATAGACCAATGCATTTACATAGCCCCACAGAAAGTAGTCTAGCGGTGTTAAATCACAAGGTCTTGGAGGCCAATTCACAGGTCCAAAACGTGAAATTAGGCGGTCACCAAACGTGTCTTTCAACAAATCGATTGTGGCACGAGCTGTGTGACATATTGCGCGGTCTTGTTGTCATCGTTTTTGAAGAAGTACATACCAATGATTCCACCAGCCCATAAAGCGCACCAAACAGTCAGTTTTCCTGGATGTAACGGTGGTTCGACATACACTTGAGGATAAGCTTAGCTTCAAATGCGGCAGTTTTGTTTGTTGACGTAGCCATTCAACCAGAAGTGCGCTTCATCGCTAATCAAAATTCTTGTTTTGAGCCCATAGGACCAATCCTTACTTGATGATCGTTTGACTTCAATTCTTGGACGAGTTGGATTTTGTAAGCACGTAAACCAAGATCGTTCCGCAAAATCTTCCATAAAGTAGATGGACAGAGATCCAATTCCTGTGCTCGATGGCGGATGGACTCATTCGGGTCTTCCTCAATGCTATGCTCTACAGCAGCAATAGCTTCTTCTGCACGCACCGTACAGCTGTGAGCCTGGCGAGCTGCGGGCTCTGGAGGGAAGGAACCTTCAATCGGGGTCCGTACGACATTTTAGAGGGCTGTCGTGGGGATCGCGGAGTCATGGGCATGCCGAGTGACGTCATGATCCCCGAGATGACCTTCTTTGATAAATTGACCTTTCTCTTTCCATCAAGGGAAGATTGGAGAGAGGGCAGAGTCGGCTCCTGGGATGGACTTGTCTGGTACACTGACGGGTCCAGAATGGGAGATCTGGCCGGAGCTGGAGCGTACTGCGAGACAACGGGATCAAGCTTGTCGGTCCCTCTGGGTCAGTACTGCACTGTGTTTCAGGCGGAAATTTTCGCTTTATTGATGGCGGCCAGAGAGGTGCTTCGGCTCAACTACGGAAGCAGGAGAGTCTTCTTCTGCTCAGATAGTAGGGCTGCACTCATGGCGCTGAAGTCAGTGCGTACGCGCTCCTTGTTGATAAAGGAGTGCAAAGGGGTACTGAGGAGGGTGGCTGAGGAGAGAAAGGTCACGTTGGTCTGGGTCCCGGGTCACACCGGTGTCCGGGGCAATGAGGCAGCGGACGCCTTAGCCAGGGAGGGCTCCTCGCATAGGCATATAGGGCCAGAGCCCCGCTTGGGGATCGCCCCGTGTGTGAGGCGGGGAGCTCTCGAAGCCTGGGCGAGAGACCGGGCCGCGGGGGGCTGGAGAGTTGCTCCGGGAATGAGGCAGGCGAGGCTTATGATGGATGGGCCCGCCCTTCCTCGGACCAGGGAGCTGCTTAGACTGACCAGGAGGGAGTGTAGAGCACTAACAGGGGCCTACACAGGACATTGCAGGCTTAGGAGGCATCTCTGCTTGCTAGGCATTGGAGACGACCCGGAGTGTAGGTGGTGCATGGAAGGGGAGGAGACCCCGTATCATCTGCTCACCGAGTGCCCTGCCTTGACATGGGCAAGATTGGGAGTCTTCGGAACGGCCCTGATCGATCCGGACTCAGGGCACGGTATTGGGCTAAAGGAGTTGCTGACCTTCTACAGGAGGGGTGGCATTCTGGACGCCCTCTAGAGCGGCCTGGGGACACAACGGGCCCATCTGGTGGCCTAAGTGCTTGGACGCCCGCGAGGGCGCCCCCCTTTAATACCAATACCAATACCAATACGCACCGTACGACATCTCTGGGGATGCGAGTTATCAATAAGAGTAAACGTGGTGCGAAAACGTTCCATGGTTAATCGAATTAACTGCTCTGATGGACGATTTTGTCGACGATAAAATGGACGTAGAGCGCGATACGTATTCCGCACAGAACCATTATTTTCGAAATAAAATTGCACTATTTGCAAAGCGTTGTTCAGGCGTGAGTTTATTCATGATGAATTGCCAAACTAAACTGAAAATAATTCACTTGCCAGCTGTTAAATCGGTCGCCATCTTGAACAGTAATGCCAACTTAAAGTTCTATACATCGAAAAAAAACACCCTTTATTTTGTGTGCGGAGTTTTTTTTATAACAATCAAGTTCTGGAGTTCGCGACCAAACCATGCAGGAAAACTTAAAGAATTAAATCGCTTAAAAGCAACAAACATCTCAATCGCACCCAATTGTGTGTATAAGGCAACGGAGGAATGAGTGAACAGGTGAAATTATTTATCAGGACATGCGATTACCATTGACATGAAAGTCATAAATTTGGTTTTACTTTGGGTGGGGCTCACTAAGGAAATTACTTACTTGAAAACTCAATTTTACAGAAATACATATTCACACTTCAATAGAACCAATTGAGGAAGCTAGCATTTTAAAATATTTCGCAGCAGCAGATGTTTTTTGCATAAATTTTATATGAATTTTTTCCTTCAGCCGCACGGAGTAATACAAAATGCTGTACTTTAAATTATATTTAAACGACCGAAATTTTACCCTACTGCGTTACTTCAAGATATGCAGATATATGCAGTGTTTGTACATTGTTTTTCTTGAATATATATGAATATCGTTTCAAACAAGCACTAATTAATCATAACTATCAAACTAGTAAGCAGTCGAGCTATCAATCAGCAGATTTATTTAGAAACAAAATTTTATAATCTGCTTCCTATGTACCTACATAACAAAAATTAAAGAAAGTATCGGTGGTATCGTTAATTCTTCAATTTTCTAATTTTAACTATACATTATAACTCAGTTGTTACTGATTGATAAAATTAAATATAATAAATTCAATTAGATATGGCACATGCAGGTTTCTAAACCCAGTAATATTGTAACTCATGCCTTGAAACGATATTTATTTGCATTTTCGATGGAAAATTATCAAGGATCGCAATTGATCATGAACCTTTCGTATATATATTTTTGACAATTACGACCATGTAGGTATAATATGTTGCAACAATATTTGAGACAACCACGTACATTTGAGACGAGGTTAGCGCCAAAATTTCGCGGCCTGACATAGATGCAGCTTCAGTATCAGGATAAAATTTTGTCTTCTTTTAAATATATATCTTAGTAGGCTGCGAAAAAAAAATTGAAGTCTTGCGTCAAATAGTTTTTTATTGACAGCATTTTAAAGAAGTAGTATACGAAAAAATGTCGCATATAACGCATATTGAGTTTAGAGCAGTCATAAAGTTTTTGACAAAAGAAGGGTTAGCACCTAAAATTATTAAAGAAAGGCTGGATGGTATGTACGGACAAAGTTCTCCTTCGTATTCTGTAGTGAAAAAATCGGCAAAACGTTTTCGAATGGGGCAGGAGTCCCTTGAAGATGATTCAAGGACTGGTTGACCAGTGGAAGTCATAAGGAGATACTGTTGCGATTGTGGAAGAGGAGGTATTGCTAAGCTTTCTGATACAAGTGTTCGTCGAAACCTGCATGATCATTTAAGTATGCATAAGGTGCAAGATGCAAGATGA